TTACGTATTTACATTTCTATCCGTGCCGCAATCATGTGAGCGCAGATATGAGTTGGTACATACTCAAGGCGTAAAACAAACTCAGTCATAAGGACACTCTTCCGAAATCATTATGAAACGATGGAATGGAATAAAAACTATTTACAAGTGCATTTCGAACGTGTTTCCTTTCGCAGCGCCGATTGCGTTTGGCGTGTTGCTTTTTTCCACCGTGCCCTCGCTCGTTTTCCGACACGACTTTATAATTGTGTACATTTGCTCCGCAATACAAATAAAACGTATCGACGGGCGGGCGCGCGTGTATGCGAAGCCGGCGAGCCGCGCGCTCCGAGTTTATCATATTCGACGGATCGTAACGTCGTCGCCCGTCGGTCGGGAGAGTTGTGTCGGCGTTCGCACGAAACTCCTTTGATCTATCGTGCGCGCGAACGCCGCCGCGCACGAGAGCAAAAAATACAACTCACATACACAGCCACATGACGCACCCGCGTGCGCGGCTAGTTTTTCGGTTGACGAATCGAACGAGATCGAAGTCGGCGATCGCGTGCGGCGGCGACTATGAATAGCCAAGAAATGCGCCGCCACCGCCGGCGCTAGCCATATAGACAAACAAATGCCAGGATGATGCCACGTGAGGGTCCAGTCCGCGGCGTGTGATGTGATGTGATCTACGACCGTGCGGAATGCGGCATGAAAGAAAAGCGGCAGCAATGTCATAAGGAGGACAGCAGGGAATAATCTGTGCCAATGTCGAGCGTCTCCTCATACGCAAAGGTGAATCATACCGACAACAAAGATCTTAATACTTTGATGTGTCATATATTTATTGAAAAAAAAAAAAACCTGTGTATACTTCAGTATACATTTTACATTTTGCGATATTTTCGATGGTAACAATCTCGTCATTTATTCATCTGCCCACTTATCGACGCACACCGTGTGTGTGCAAAGTGAAAAAGTTCCTCATCTCCCCGATCCTCCCATTTCCGCACGATGAGTGTGCATACGTGTATGTTAGCGTGCACTTCAAGTAATATAACGAACTGAAGAAAATGGTGAAATCGTACCCTGATGGGCACATAATCAACCGAAAAGAAAGGAATCGCATCGCAGAAAAGTCCGCCATGCATGATTTAAAAGCAAGGCAAACTCGGGAAGCACCGTTTTCAGGGAGCGCGCGCCGGTGTGTACACACCGGGAGACGAGCAGCTGATCAACAATTCATGAGGCAAACACGCGGCTGGATGTGCTCCAACCCGCCTCGTTCTGCGCAGCATGCGACGACGCAAGCAGGAGTAAATAACCAGTAACAGGTTCATACAGAAATTAATCGAGCAGAGAGTTAAACACTCAACATTATAGAAATACAAAACCATACACACAAATCCCACTATTAAACAAAATTATTCATAATATTTAAAACCTAAATATGTAGATATGTCTATTTAAACTTTTAAAAGAAAACATTTGTGGATTCAGGAAGAGAAGCTCAATGAACAAACAGACGGAAAAAAACTACATGAAAATGCACTCTCCCGACCAATTGGGGATCCCGCACGAGGATTTACTGAATTACGAATGCGTCTCCTGTTCGATCCGATTCAATTCCAGGTTCCAACCACAATCAATTCGAAAGCATGATAAAAAAAATACCGAATCCTATTATATCCCTCATTGCGCACCAAGTGTTTAGTTGATTGTGTTCGATAACAAATTGCTTTTTGCTCGACTTACCTAGCGAGATATCAAAACAGATGTCGACCACGCGGGTGATTAATAAACGACTTCGTTTGTTTGCAAAGCGGTTCCTATTAGAATGACGTGTCGTCCGACTATTATTTGATGTGCGTAATTAAATTACGAGCATGTCAGATAAAGTAATGCAATTAAATTTATCGATCGATGCACTTGTTCCGACAAACGTGGACTTATTTTTGTAATATCGTCCTAAAGACTAGTGCTTTTATTATTATTTCTCTCATATCATGCATGACTATTAGTTTGACGTTTTACTTTGGTTGCATTAATAAAATGGTGATAATTCTTTGGTAGGTTTCTTGCTTCTGGAAGTAGTAGGGAATAATCCAAGTCTTCTTTGGCTAAATTTAATTCAATATGTGCATTAGTATTTTATTCACATTTGCCAAAATTACTTTAAAAAAAAAAACAAATTAATCATTTGTGGTTTAGAGTGCATCGATACGTTTTTCTCCGTAGATATTACTCTATTCAGGTGTATATTATGTTAAGATAATGTTTTCGATAAGTAGGTACATTTTAAGTAAAGTCGGCGTATTGTGTTTCATATCAGTTGAGTTTTTATGTAGAAATACCCGAATGCCACCAAGGCGCAGGGCAATGAAGAGAGAAGTTGAGCCTTCTCGTAAATACCCACGATTTCTTTGACGCTGAGGATTAAGCGGCATTATAGTCCCCGAGTGTCGATATCGCCGACCGTATACGATGACAATGCACCAAGTTCAACTGGCAATTTTTATGTTTGCTCGATGCATATGTGCAGCTTACTTCAGACGGTTTTGAATTGAATGAACCGGAGGAATGTTGATTTTCGGCCCCGGCTCTCTCGCTGACTGAATGCATGGAACAAAAAGGTAGGATTGTCGGAAAGAAAAAAAACCCGATCAAAGACCGGGCAGTAACAATATTTTTATCGCGAGTCTCGAGAAAATTCCCAATAATGAACCGCGTTGACGACGCTAAATTGCGCACTGATTTGCGGCAGGAGGACACAGAACGCATTGCGGTGGCATCGCGACTTTTTCTAACGAAAACGCCGCCACCTGAGAGATGTGCTGGTGGACGAAGCCGACGCAGCTGAAGAAACCTGTTTGCCGACCCGTCCGAGTGTGTGTGCCGGCTAAACATCAACCGTCATCATCGGAACGGATCACACGGCCGACGAAACCGACCCGCCGCACCGCCGACCAAACGCGCCGCGCCGCACACGACGAGGACGGAGCGCACCGTGCGACAGAGACTCCTGCAGCTGGCTGCGAAGACGCGCTGCAGTAAAGAGCGAGCAAGCGGGCATAGAGCCGAACGAATGCACGGCGGACGGCAAAGAAAGAACTTGATTATGTTGATGAACAAATGAACATGATGAAGAAGACTATGGGCAAGGCACGCCGAGCGCGGCCGGTCGGTGCGACGACGGACGGACGGATGGAGGAAGAAAGCGGCGGTCGGCGAGCGAAACGCATCGGGGTAATCACATATCTTATGGGTAATAAATGTGATGTTGATGTCCATGCCCATGTCTAACTTGTTATCCAGAAACGGACTTTGGACAAAAACCTCGGCATTCCGCAATAATCAAACTATCACCAACCAGCTACGAATCGAATTCTCATCTGGACCTCTTCAATCATTAAATTCTACAATAAAAAATCATCCTACCGGTATATACCATCAAAAAAATTAAAAAAATTCCTAATTGTTGCAATGTAGAAAATCTTATGATAATAAAATTGAATAGTGGACTGATGTAAATATTAAAAAAAAAACGAGTATTGTTTTTGATAAGTGCACCCCTGTAAGAAACTCGGTCGGTATGGAAAAAAGCAAACCCACCCAACCGACATAAGAAAGCCGTCCGTTCATCTCCCATGCTCGGTGCGCATAATGCATACACATTCTTGCTGCGCGTTTCCTTCGCTCTTCGTATGCGAGCGCGCTGCTGAAAATATGAAAACGAATTCTTACTAGTTTCAACGTGCGCGCATTCCGCGCGGGCACGAATCGGAAAATCAGACGCGGACAATCGGCGGCCGGCGCCGGCGCGCTCGATCGGAAATTAAAGACCGGCGAGCAATTATTAATTACCATTAATTAACTACCACCATGCCGGCAAGCGGCTGGCGTGCTGCTCAGGCCGAAGACGTGCGTGCTCGGCGCGAGCATATTAATACCGTCCTCGCAGCGCGGAGCAATTAAATTTCATCCTTTGACTTTCTCATGGAATCACAATAATTGCCATGTAGCAATAATCGCAATATGCAAGGCTGGGCGTACGTAACGCGCATAACTATTCAAATAATCACCGGCTAAGATTATAATAGCTTGTTTTTACATTCTTCCGCAGAGCGCAAATAAAAATGATATACACAGTTCTATGATGGTCGCAACGGTTGGAAGTTGCATTTGACGATAGACAAAGAAGCATGCGCATGAACCGAAGAGCGAAGACCATGAAAACCACTAAAAACGAGGCGTACTTTCGTCGCCGTTGGGGCAAGCAGCATGCTGCTTGTTGCTGCACGAAGCGAGGCAAGAAGTACGCGTCCCGACAGAACCGCTCCGATTCTTGGAAATTCTCGGCACCGACGATAATTCTTTCCTTCGTTCAGTGCAGCCCCGTTGGAAAAGATTCCGTGAGGGGATCGAGTCACCGAAAATGTACAGAAATAGAGTGCGGCCACCCGACAGTTGATATTATTAAGTTTTATCGGCTGGCGCGCATGAAGTGAATGAATCGCGATCAAACAAACGAGTAGATCAGCAGAAGCCCAACGAGCGATAGCTGGCAAATATTTGAAGATGTCTCACGTGGTTTCCAGAAGCGCTGGATGGTGGCCACCTTCAAATTTCTATAGAAAACCGAAAAGGCATGAACAAGGTCGAAGAAAGAGCACTCAGAAGCGACGATTCGAAAACATTCCAAACCTACATCATGCCGACTACTCGCGGCACGCTCAACAAACACACACAGAGCAACACGCAGGCAGCACACGGAGCGAGCCCGTCGTTACTTTTCCTTTGATCTCGCTCGTCCGTGCGCACTTATACTTCAACCCAACCGATCTAACCAAACCAAAATACTCGCGCCGCAGAGGACAGAGTCTCTGTGTGAGCAAATTGAATGAAACTTTTCAACGTCGCGCGCGGTCTTTGCCGTCTGGCCGCGTGCGCGTATTTATGTCACTGTGACTGCGCATAATTACCAGCGGCACCTGAAAAACACGCTGCTATACACCGCTCACCTCTGCTACATCTGATCGACGATTATCCGATAGACCGGCGGTCCTCCGTGGCGGTGCGGGCGGCGGGCGAGAGCACTTCGGCGTTATATCCACATTGATCCCCAACGATTTTCATTATTTTCACATTTCACACTCGCGGCGGCCGCGCACGCACGAACATCGACGCGTTCGCGTGACTAAATAAAGCACAATTTGCGGGGCGATCAGCATTCGGGCGCACGCCGTCGACGCGCAACGCTGGCTGTGGAATCGCAGCGACCGGACGGGACCAACGAAAATAAACTCGCACTCGTGTCGTTGGTGCTGGACTGATGTAATAAACGCGCTCGTCGCGTTCGCGCTGCCGTCAGCGTGCCGAACCGACTGACAGGCGAGTGTGTAGCGGTGGGTTTATCGCGCGCCGGCTGTGCGCTGCTTCGTGCTCGCTTCGGGCCGATACCGGCGCGACGAACCGCGGCAAGTGGTGGGGCACAGCGCGCCGGCTGCACCATTGCATGGCTGCAGTCTGCAACGTGCAGTTCTCCTGCGAGTGGCTCTTCGGTCATTTCAAAGCGCGGCTGCTTTTGTGCGGCAAGCGCAAGCAATCGCCGCTTGTCTAAGGGACACCCACGCTTTAATATTTCGCAGCTTCGTGTCACCCCTTCTTACAAACTGCTAGTATTGTATTCTTCTCATTGTATTGCACATCCTTTTATTCCACACCACTTGTATACGGACTCCTGTCATTACTACATGCAGAAAATCTAAATAAAAATGCTTTACTTTTAAGTAGATATTTAAAGGAGAGAAACGTCCGGTAAGTTAATTCCTAGACTGGTTAATCTGCTATTATTGATTGCGCCTGGGGTGAAAATGTAGGAAACCCTGAAAAGTCAACTGGCCGTCCGCAAAACACTCGACTCGCACCTAATTGAATTAACACTTGTGCGAATGTATGCCTTTGGCGCGCGCATCTGTTCAGTTTTTACAAGCTGATTCGTAATAATAGAGTGAGCTCGTTTGATTCGGAGCCGGCACGCCGCCGCCGTCATCCCCCTTTTGAGCCAATTTTCCGCGTGCTTTGCGCGACGCTTGAGGTTCGCCGACGCGCCGCCCGCAACGCCGCAAACAGCCTTTGATCTTTTTTACAAGCACCGCTTGCTTTTTTGAATATCAAATCAAAAAGACTAGATTTGCTTAAATCCCGTGCCGTTTAACGAGATCAAAGAGTCATTTATACGAGGCACACTAGCCGCACGCACAATGCGATTATGCAACATCAAATGGTGCCAAAACATACCTACATACATGTTTGTTTGATGCATTGAATTATGCGCTTTTCAAGCGAACGAGAAAATAAAATAAATGAAAAACGTCTGTTACCTTCGTGCGGCGTGGAGCTTTGTCGACACGACCGCCCCAGTTCGATTTGTGAGTTGTAATTAAACATGTTGTTCGCCAGCTTGCACCTGCCCAGGGTGGGTGAGATGTTCACTTAGTTTTAATTGTGATCAATTAAAATACTTCGGAAAATACTCGCAATAATCACTCACTTCACATTATGATTATGTTTCTGTTGACATTGTTGCGTTGCCTAGCCACGCTTCTATCAAACAAGGTAAAACAGTTCTGTCATTTCTGTTTTCCTACCGTTTGTCGAACGACACGCCATTTCGAACCCACTGCTTCCGTCCACGGATTGTGATATTTGCAGCTTTATTTGCGACGCGTTTATTTTTCAAGCACCTCATCGTTTCTCCATCATGGCTCAACAAACCGAACGTGATCTACTAGAAGGTAAATAAATATTTTTTTCCTATCATGTATTTATTGGTACGAAAATGTGAGTATGTGCAAACGCCTTATTTTGAAATAGCCGTCCGTAAGTCGCTGACTGAATATGGAGTCATGGGCCACTTTAAGGCGGAGATGCGCGCGTCCGTAATGAATATCTTGAATAAAAACACTGAGCGCCAGGTGCCCCCCGATATGCCCGAAGAGACCAAGCTGCTCAACGAGCTGATCCGTGAGTACCTCGCTTGGAACGGGTACATGTATTCCGAGCAAGTGCTTGGTGTCGGTGAGTGTTGATTACAGGCCTGCCCTTCAACCGATTGAATGATTTTTTGAAATTTTTGATTTTATTTTTTATTAGAGTCCGGAGACAATGACACTACGATGAGACGTGAACAGCTCGCCTCCAAGCTGGGGGTTCTCGACGATCGCAAGACTCAAAAAATTCCCCTGCTATACTACATTTTATCGTCCTTCCAAAATGACAAACAATAAATAAAACTCATGTTTTGATTGTCCTAAATATGTTTACTATATTCCTGTTTGTATTTGGTTAATTTGGTTTAATTTACATTACTGTATGTTCCACAAGGTTATTTGTTCGAAGTGCGACTGACAACTGCTAGGTAGCAAAATGCCCCGCATCGAGGAATAGGCTGCGAAGCAAGGAAAGCACCTCCATCAGGAGAGTACTCATATAGTATCGGTTTCTTCTTGTTTTCTTTCTCCTGCCAGGCTCCTGCTTCGCCCAGAGATTCAGCACTGGATCCTGGCTGTAACAGGATAAAGAAAGGGTAATGAAAATAATGCTCCTCCATTTTGAAATAAGCTGGGTTTACTAAAAGATGCGATAGCTCTGGAAGGGGTCCCGGTGGGGGGCTTTCGTGGAACGGCGGTCTAAGGTCCCTATTTTGCACATTGAGTACCAAATAGTACATGAAGTCATTGCGCAGTTTCATTTCTTCAACGCTTCTTCTGCACGCGATGAGTTTACGCATCCATCGAATAACCCTTTGACGCTCTGCATTCGTCTGCAGATTGTCCATCATGCGCTTGGCCAAGAAAAGGTTGTAGTTAAAGTCATAATTGAGGTCTGCAATTTGTTCGACCATGATGATATAAAATTTGGCCCCCACTGGATCAAAAAATGTGTGCACTCACAATGAATGAACGTTACATTTGCTTCAATTTAATACAGAAAGACCAACTGACGTTTCAGAGAAATTTGTTTATTGCGTTGTTATAGAAATGCTAGCGATTAAAATTTTGAAGAACAGAGTGCATTTTATTGAAATCCCCTCCAGGTATCTGGTGGCGCTCTGGCTCGCCTTCGTGGCGCGGGTTCTCTCTCAGTGGTCACCCTAGAAGTGCTCAGTTTAACCCTAGTCGTGTTCCTAACTTCAGCTTGACTACGGCTCAACTCTGCAGTATCTTGAGCAGGTGCCCTTACTGGAGTTTGGATCGGGGAGTAATGGAAGGGTGAAGTTGAACGACCGGGAAGTTCATTTGGGGTATGGATTGGTGAGTAATGAAACGGTGATGTTGGAGGTGCTGGTCTTCCAGATCGTGTTCGTACAGGTGAAACATCCCTTGAAGAAGTTGTGTGAACCGGTGAGTAATGGAACGGTGAAGTTGAAGGCCCAGAAGGCACCCTCGAAGGAGCATTGACGGGTGGGTACTGGAAGACTGACGCATTGGCATCTAGACGAGGTGTTGTTTTTGGGGAATAGTGAAAGGGTGAAGTTGAAGGACCAGCTGCTTGCGCTAGAGGAGGTGTTCTTATTGGTGAGTAATGAAATGGTGAAGTCGATCGAGCAGTGGGTTCCCTCAGAGGTGGTGTTTTAATTGGTGAATAGTGGAACGGTGAAGTTGAAGGACCAGCGGCTTGCTTTAGAGGTGGTGTTTTAATGGGCGAGTAATGGAATGCGGTGCTTTGGTCTGGAGGAGGCGCTCGCTTCGATTTACCCTTGATTGTACCTCGCTTTTTCGAGTTTTTCGCACGGAGAGACACTTTGCTGACTTCGGCAGTGACCGCTTCCATCGCCTGGGTTGTTTCGATTTCAGCGGCTTGCTGGGAAGCCCAATCAGGTTTTGGACGTGCAGATCTAAGTGCCTTGAACCTTTCCGTAATCTTGGGTTTTGGTTTTAAAGGTTGAAGGCTTAGAGGTGTGGCTTGAGCTATTTCAGATTCCACAAAACTCTTCCCAAGAGACTCACTTAAATCTTCTAACCTGTACACGTTATGAACAAAAATAAACAACAAAACCGTATTACGAGATTAATGCATACCTTTCTTCTAGTACTTCCTGGGCAGCCTCCAACAATTTACGTTTCTCATCTGCCTTTTGCTCCTTTTCAGCGACCACATTAAGTTCGTCTTTCTGGCGTTTCTTTAAGTCTTTTAACCTCTTTTGAAGTCTGGTATTTTCTTGTTTTAAACGTTCACCTTCAGATTTCAACCAATGATATCGGTGGAAGGCTTCTTGCCGCCAGAGAGATTCCAATGTTTCTTGATCAACTTCCACCTGTCACAAATATTATTAATACAAAATAACGGTGTTTAGTACATTTATATACCTCCGCCAATGGAAATATATCATCTAAGTATTCATCTTGGGTGTAGAATAAGTCAAAATTAAAATCTGGACAATATTCTAGTATTTCGTTCAGATTCCGCACCAGTTTATCATCATAAAGCACATAGCGATCAGAAGTATACTCTTTGAGCTGGATTTGTTCGTTGACGAGAACATCGCTGATATCTTCAGTCATTGTCTCGTAAATTTTCCGAGATGTGCTTCGAAACAAGCTCAACTCCTCCCCGAGGATACGTTGCAACTCTTTACCATTGTCTGCGGTAGAAGGAGCAACCAAACCAATTAATTCATATACGTTCACTGGTCGTTCCCGGACGCTCTTCACAATCTGCTTCAATTTGTTAATGTCCTCGCCCTTAGGTTTATTTCGTCGTATTATTTTCATTTTCTCCTTTTGCTCTGTCCAGAAAACAAGATACAAGATGTATGTCAAATGGACTACATAAGTAATTCTTTAATATGTAAGATACTTACGTTCCTCGTAAGTTGCAGGCGGTGGCAGACCCAGGCTAAACGCGGGAAATGCAGGTCCCTTGGTACTCTTTCCCTGTGCCTTTCCGGCCTTGCCGGGCCCCTTAGTGGGGCCACATTTAGCAGGCTTAGTTGGCAGGGGGCACGTGCTTTTGCTCGCGCGCCCCCCGGCGCGTTCCTTACGATTCATTATCGCAAATCAGCGCAGCTTACAGCAACTATCACAATATGAATGAATAATATGTTCAATTTTGGTTAAGCTGGGAATAGATTTAATTATTATCATACCTGAATAATACGCAACAACAACAGGCAATCACCACAATCGTAGTCACCGACACGTATAACGCAATCATCCTTCCATATATGCACTAAGTTCTTAAAAATATAAATTACTTGATCATGGAGCGACCCAGATTTATTATTCGATTATCAAAATTACAACTGACATATTTTTTCTTACAACAATTTGACAATTTCCCAGACTAGATAAACAAAAGGTATTGTAGAAAGTATTGATAGAAGTAGGCGTTGAGCGTTGCTAGACCACTGATAAAATATTCGTAGAAAATTTTTATTAACCTTCCGTGAACGTATCCTGATGACTTCTTAGGTGCGTCTTCTTTGCTACTTGATTGTTCTACTTGTATAATTTTTTCTTCATCCAAACCCAATGATACCGGCAGTTTCAGTTCTTCGCTGCTAATATGTGCCTGTTCGTTAACATTTAGTTTATGGTAGATATCATGGGTCAGTTGATCATCTATAATCACTTTATCAGAATGTCGTGGTGTATCGTTGCGTAATAACAAACTTTCTTGATACAGAGAGAAACAGGCACTAGGGTCCAAAGACATGATGGCTGTATCAAACTCTGAGCTCGTTTCAGTCCCGGTAGGTTCAAAACTGAATTCAGTGCCGGTACTGTTCAAGCCGTGTGCCCGATATAGTGACTTTACTGAAGACGACGCGCGCATATCTGTTTGCGAGGTATCCAGAATTGATGGAGGATATTGGTCAAGATATACCGATCGAGAATGATCGTACTGATCGTACTCACTATCGTCGACCAGTAATTCGTTGATGTAGTGTACTTCATCTTCCAATACATCATAAGGACGGTCTTGTCGTAAGAAGAAACTGGATGTGCATTGATTACATTGATTGTCACATAGGACCGGGACGATGTATGATGGAAGGTTGATAATATTGGAGGGCAGCAGAAGTGGTTGTTCACACGCGTTGTTCCGCCTTGTGTCCAATAAGTGGGGACTATGATGCAGGTTGGTGGGTACCGACTTAATCTCTCGTGGCATTTTTATTTATGTCGTGTGGCTACTTCATGATCGCTCAGGGGGTTAGTTTACTCTCTCGGAAAACATTTCGTTGCCATTGCACATGACGTTATTGAAAAAGGCCGGCGAGATTTTGATTTGGCAGTGATAACTGAAATATTATGACAGGGACTTCCATTCTGTCATATATTTGATTTTTTAGTGCGGGTGCTCTATTGAATTTTCCAAAATTCCGCACCAATTAACGTTTTTAATGCGCAATGCGCTTATTGTTAAAGTTCTACTAGTTATATTTGAATTTATTAGAATCAAATTGGTAATCTTCTCGTTTTGGTTATGCAGTCGAATAGTCCCACACAACCCCGACAACCTACCACCAAGCCAGTAATGAAAACAAAGGCGCCGAAAGGGCCGCGCTACATGCCAAATTTGCATAATCTATACCCCACAAACTTTGCCATCCCTCAGCCTGCGCCTCCGCCCAATCATACGTTAATACCTCCGGATGAACAAATGCCCTACTATGTCGTACCTGTGTTATATGTCCCAAAGCAGATTGTCCCACCGGAAACCCTGAATATTCCCTCAGCGAGAACAGGAGTTCCCAATATTCTCAAACGCAACAAACCCTCCACAACAACCTCACCTACCTCTAGATATTGTCAGCCTTCATCGGCCCCGGGAAGAATGCAGATGAGAACTGAATCGTCCCTGCAGCGCACTGTAGAACCTCAGAAGCCTGCTGATGAAAGCAGCGTCCATACGTCCGTTTACTATGTTAACCAGCGATTGCGAAATACAGCCGTGTGCACGGCCAATCCAGCCCTTGGAAGGGTCATTGAAGAACATGAGCATGAACGTGTCGACGAAGTGGTGGTTCCTACACGTGACGTCACTCAGGGGTCAAAAGGAAGGAATAAAAAATCTCTGCGAAAACGCGATACCACCATACAGGATTTACGTCGACAGCTCATGGAAGCCTTGGAAATTGTAGAAAGGTTTCAAGGTGAGAACAAAGAATATGCGTCCAAAGGTACTCAGTATGAATCCAGCGCGGTGATCGAAAAAGGCCGAGTCCGTCCCTTCACTCAAGTTTTGCGATTGGAGGAATCATTAAAAAAAATGCGCAAGTAGCCATAGCAACCATACAAAGTATGGCATTCAATATTTAAAATGTCATTTTCCGAAACACTGAAATTATGAACGTGCAATAAAAAATACAAAAAAATTATTTATTTTTATTTTGAAATTGAACATGTATTTGTGGCTTTAATGTGCAATGGAGGTGACAGAGAAGCAGCAACAAAGTGCCGGATCAAGTAAATCATTAACTGAACCTACGGATTCATCGTCCCATCCACCACCAGGGTCTGATGATACATTTAATTTTGATTTTTACATCGGATTCACTAAACCGCTGATATTAAATTTGCTAGACCCTAAAGGTAAAGTCGGCAATCAACCTTCTGTAGTTAGATGTTCCATTCACCAACACCGTTCGTTTTGCAGAAAAGACAATTGCCGCAGCATGGGTGAACAAGCTCAAAAACGATTCTGCATCTGAAGAGATTCGTACAGCGCACCTGAAGCTGTTCTTGTTCGTCCTGCATAGAAGAAGGCTTGGTGGTCCTTTTAATGAGCTTCCCGAAAATGAAGAATTGGAAGAATTACCGGATGGGGCCCAGGTATGCAAAATGTAATTGTAATAATAGGGTTCACCAGCGCCATCTACCCGAGCAACCGTCCTAAAAGCTATTTTTCTTTTTGACTTTCAATTGATTTCCACAATAAATTTTAACTACTTTGCCATCTTCCTCTCAACTTTCGCTTTCATAATGTATAAACCTATTTTATTTGGATTCATGGATAGATTGTCGATGTGGCACGCGATATTTTGGAAACCGAACACGATGAGCGAGTTAGAAGCATGCAAGATAAGCAGAGTGCTGGCGGCGATTATCCACCCTATACTGTAGAACTCTCTGCAGATCTATTGGAATACAGTTCATCCCAGGAAATACCTAAATTCGGTTCACATATGTATTACGCCATATCTACTGAACCAATTCACACCTGGGAAAACCTAGATTTGGGAGTCTTATCAAAAGAAGTAATTGTAGACAGTGTGAAAGCATCAAATGCCAATGTCTCCACAATGTCCCTGAAATCGACAAAATCAAAGTCTTTAATGGAAGCCGAGAAAAACGCAACTAAATCGCCAAAATCTAGACGTCCCGTAGGCCAACCCTTTTCCCCACTGGCTAGTAAAGAAGCCAGCCCATCGGAGCGCCGACCTATCACATGGGGTTCCAACTTAATCGAAGTAACTGAGCCAAAAGAAAAGAAAGAGAAAGAAGAAGACGATGAGAAAGATGAATATGATGATGGTTTTGTTTGCAAATTCTTTAATACTAACAACATACAAAGTCCGAAAGTAACGTTTTCACCAACTTCGGGGAGTCCTGAGAAAAGTAGTGCACCCATAAAGCAAAGCACCCCGGGTATACCCTCTCCGGTTTCTGCAAGATCGGCTCAGGGGAGGTCAACCAATGATAGCTTTCAAGCCCGCGTTGATAATTTTCTGGATGACTTAATGGAAACCAGTATGCCTGCAGACTTACGAGATTCTTATGGATTCATGAGTCCTCCATCGTCCCCAACGTCAAGAACTGACCAATCGTTTGATGATTTAATGAACACTAGCATGCCCCAATATTATGATGATAACTATGATTATTCACCAAAACAAAGTCCTACAAAAAGTCCAAGAACTCCAGGCCAATCTAGTCCATTGCCACAGGTGAGGCATATAAGTATGAGTTCAAGAGACGAAGAAGCGAGAGAAATAATAGAAGAAGGAAACAAATTGTTAAAAGAACAAGAGTTGCAAGTAAAAGAGAATAGTACCCCGCCAAAGGCACCATCTCCACGAGATCATGGACAAGAAGGCTCACCAATAAAAACACCACCACGTTTGTCACCCATGAAAACACCACCTCGTATGTCACCAATGAAAACTCCACTTCGTATGTCACCAATGAAATCACCAGAACGCAGTCCAGATAGCAGGCCATTGCATTTGAGCAGATTTTCAGGAAGTCCTTCAACACGCCTAGATACGACGCCTACGACTTTCAGGCAAAGTCCAGGTGTAGGCCAAGCCTCGACTCCAGGTTAGTAATTAGAAACGTAAAACTCTAGATATAAAACGCTAAAGTAACATATGTTGCAGGAACACCAACAAGTGGTAGAGGAACACTGGAAGAATTATTTCCGGATTTAGAAGGAGAAACAGACGACAACTTCTTATTTGGCAATGATGAACCTGACGTAGATCTTCATGAAATCGACTTTTTGGACGAATCTTTATATGACGATTTGGAACATCGAATACGAGAGATCCAAGGCGGCCATACAGAATCTATGCCTTCAAGCGCAAACATTGTATCTACAACACCAGGAATGCCAGGAAGTCCGATAAGACAAAATAAATATGGCGTCAAATTTCCTATAATGGAAGATGAGGATATACCAGATCTTTTTAATCTTTCACTATCGCCTGAGAGTAAAAAACAATACGAGTACAATAAACAACAAGCAGCTCAAAAACCAACCGAAGACGAATATGGGTTAATTCCACTACAGTCGGAACTACAAACGCCATCACCAAAGAGGATAATTACATTCACCACCTCGTCACAAACGACACCTAAAAAAACAAAAACTCCAACAAAGGATAAAACTCCAACTCCTACAAAATCTCTAAAAAGGTTGTCGTCAGGTCGACGAATCCAAAAAGATGCGCAAGAAGATGAAGAACCCGCACAAGAACAATTCTCAACTATGTACAATACATTAATTGAACCCAAGAGCCCACAACCACCCCCATCAAATGAAAATGAACTCAGTTCAGAGTTGCCACCGTTTGAAACTTCTCCGAACGAGTTTTCCCTGGGATGGGTCACTCCACCTCACCTGAAAGTAAATAAGGAAATGCAGAAGCCCTCATCCCCATCATTTACCTACCATATGGGTCCACCAAGGCAAGACGAATTTTTGTCGAGTGAAACGTTTCCAGATATTATGCCGCCGGATACACCACCAAAACCTCCTTCACCTATGAAATATGAAGACTACATAGATCCATTCAATAACGAAGAAGATTTTACAAATCTAATGGAAGAGGAAGAGCCACTTGGTGCCAAATTAGAGGCGCATGAGTGGCACCCGTACAGGCCTCGACAGTTTTCCATCAAAGTAGGCGCAAGGGCAAGGAATGTTGTTCTGCCTCGCAAGAGTGCTCCCCCAAAAGTTGAAACAATATCAGAGGAAGCCGAATATTATTATTTAAAATCACCAGCACAATCCCCGGCCAAACCAGTAGAAGTTGATTATGATGCACCTTACATGTTACCATCAAGTGCCCGACTGCCGACGACAGGTCAACCGATGCAGGGTGCTACAAGAACCCCAGAATCAACACCCAAAAAATTTCAACAAAAGGACAAATCAGAAACTCAAACAATTTTAACAGAAGTAACAGAACATTTCGCAAATAATATTGAAGATCCCCATCAACAAGAATTGCTACAACATGTAGCCGATGTAGTAAAGGTTGTAGAATGTAAGGTTCAGGCAACTGAAACACAACCACAAACTCCACCCAGATCGCAAGTTCCACCTAGACCTCAAACTCCACCTAGGCCTCAGACCCCACCTAGACCTCATACTCCGCCTCGATCTCAAACTCCACCAAGGTCTGAAATACCCCCTAGGCCTCAAACTCCACCTAGACCCCCAACTCCAACTAGGCCTCAAACGCCTCCTAGACAAGAACAAGATTGGATAATGGATAGTTCACCACCTCTCGGATTCAAAGATTTAGATTCGATTGAAGCAACATCACCTGGATTAACACCTGGTAAAAATATTTTCAGACCAAAAACACCCCCTAGGACACCCGATCTTGAAATGGCCACACCTCCGCGCACTTTTGATGAAGTTCACCAGATAGATAGTGCACCCTCGCCAACATCACCGATGCCATACCCATCACCCAAGAAGCAACCACCGCCGTCGTCGCATCCTCAATATGACTTCGCTGGACCAGTTGAAGAGTTCATGCCTGAGTATGGTCCATTAGATTTTGGAGAGAGTGATAAATCAGGAATCATGGACGAATCGTTTCCGATGGATACCAGTATTGACTTTGACCAATCACAATCTCCGAAACGAATCCATGAGACGATTGACATTTGTCACCGTGATGCACATTCGCAAACCGTAAGTCACACGGAAAGGCGCATAAATCAGTCTTGGCCTCCGGCTAAACCAGCACTAGAGAAACTGAGTCGCTCTCATGGCACCAATACTCGTTTCAGTCTAGGGCCGGAACAAAAATCAAAAGTAACAGAAACCGAAGAAAGTGTAAAAAAATCCAAAAATCGTATTCGTTTTGAACAAGCCGGGCCTCCCGATGTTAGATCTGATAGTGCAGTACAGGTAACTATTTCCGAAGATATTCAAGTTGAAGGTCCGTCTACAATCAATAGCGCGAGTGGAGTCAGTTCCACAGATATGAAACAGATAAAAAAGAAAATAACTTTCGAACAAATTGATGCAAGTGTAAGTACTACAGGCGGCCAACGCTCACCACAAAGACAAGCAAATGCGTATGGGCCGGTACAAACAACCCCTCGCACTCCTCCAAGACAACAAAATATGTATGATGCGATGCAAACACCCCCTCGCACGCCGCCGCCTGTTGATTTGATGGGAATGGAAGGATACGCTGAATACACTCCCAGGCAATACATAATGGATGAAGGTTTTGATAGTCCAGGCCTACAAACGCCAATGAAATTACCTACCACATTCCCAGGCTGGAGCACCCCTGAACATTTGAAAATTGAACAATCTCCGCAAATGTCACCCCCCAACCTTCCCTGGATAGTGCCTGTAAGATACCCTGGTGCGCTCTATGATGAAACTGCCCCACCATTCGTAGACGAACCGTATAGTCCAGAACCCGCCGCTTCAATGTCACCTCAACAAAAAAGAAGAAGTAACTCTCCGGTACACAAATCACATGTTGAAAAAATCTTCCGCACTCCTGATGGTACAACAACCACCACAACAGTTGACACAGTAGAACAAACATCGCCTCCACCTATGCCTGACTTTGAAGCTGATTTCATGTCACCGCCAATGCCACCTATACAATATAATATGCCAGCCCAATCACCTTCATCATCACCACGTCGTCAAAGGCCCATCGTGAGCTTCAGCGATTCCCCTACTACTACAAGTCCATGTAACGCCCCCATGTCTCCAAGAACATACTCAGCCGGCGGCACGTCCCTGAGATCACTAGGTGCGTCTACACCTCCAAGAAGGCGCAATACTCCCACGTCCCCAAGGAGGAAAAAGACCCCATCTCCAAAGGCAACATATGACTCGCAACCTCCGGTACAATCGTATTCTCCGGAACAAATATGGAATTTACCTGAAAATTCCAATCAAATTATGGATTATCCGCAACCAGAGTTTTATGACGAACTGTACCAGCCAGAAGGTACACCCGCTGGTGAACCATGCCAGAGTCCCTTCAATCCATACGATGAGGTGATATATAATCCACCTTTACAAACACCGCCGATAGGGCCATATGCTGATCTACAATCTCCGAGCCAATATAAGACGCCAGAACATAAAAAGACCAGGACGTTCATTCACGAAGAACTGCCGTTGTACGATCGAGTGCAGCAGATTGTCGAAGACGTCGTTTACGACCCTAAAGATGTACCACCTGCTAATGTATCACCACCTAGACTTTACACATTAACTTCTCCTCCAAGACCCGACTATTTTGATGTTATCGACGTTGGCAACCGACCGGGCATAGAAGACGAAAATTTCGCAGACGATTTATACCAGAGTCCTCCAAGAAATATGCAGATGCCTGCCGAAATACAATCTCCTTATACGCCACCATTACTCCAGCGACCTGACTGGGACTTGTGGCAATCGCCACCTTCAGGCACGGCACCTAGCCCACCATTGCCTCCAATGCCGTCACCCATGGATCAATACGAGCCGTTAGACATGGAGAACTATGATTTGTATCAATCACCATATATGATGGGCGAACAAGAATGCCCAATTAGTCCACCTTCCGCTTTCAACCAGCCGCAAGTCGAATATGATATTAATATGGATTATGATGTACCGCAGTTCGACACAAACATGGATCCAATGAATCAATTTATACAGGACACAGATGTGAGTCAAGCCCCACAACAACATCCAGAGCAGACTAGAACAACAACTACAACGAGAATAACTGAAGAGATATACTATGACGAGGTGAATTCGATGGATGTGTCTGATGCAGCCCCACCGGGAGTTCAAATGGAGTGGGATTCGCCACCTAGAGAGGAGTTACCGTTTTACGAACCATATGTGCCGCCGTCAATGTACCGGCCACCAACACCAGTGACTCCACCTAATTTTATGGATGACCATTTGGAAGCTGGAATGGCATTTGAAGAAGAACCCTGTTTTTATGGTACACCGGAACCAGTTCACTGTAATGGCGATTACTACGACGCAATCGAAAATGAATCACCGGAATTCTATCAAACACCCTAAATGCACACAACAAGTACAGAGCCAACTTTTTATAAATACGCTGCCCAACCTATTTTTTCTTCAAAATTATGAAAGTAATTCTAACTTGCTGCCAATGCGTCTACCATATTTTACAACATATATTTTCAATAAAGCTGGCAGTGCACTTTTGTAATTCATTATTAGTACATTAGGTATCAAGTCGCTAAACGGGGGGTTTACTAACGTTTAGACATGTGATGCTTACGCTATTTCTTCTACTTCCACTTAAATCTTCGAAATTCGCTCGCACTACTGGGAAATGTATAACCTTTCAATGTGATACCGCGCCGACACAAGCAGCAGCAGCGCATGCTGCTTTGACCTGTTTGACTGGTGACGCAATGCATTTCATATGGTCTTGTGCTGCACCGTGGGCAAATGCGCAGGCGCAAGCTCCGCCCCGTAGATCATGCCCATGAGTAAAATACTTTACTCACGGCTTTGGCCATACGTACCATTTTTTGTGTCAAATAATCGTGGAAAAACTGGCGCTATATAGGTGGAAGTAGAAAAACTTTTTTTTATCCTTGACAGTCTAGCATGGTAACCAGTATTCTGCCAATCTTCAATTTCCACGACCTCTGTACGCATGTTAAAATAGTGAGCTATGAATTAATTTAATTGTTTCGTATAACCTAGGAGATTTACTATTTATCCTATCAAACAAATGTTAAAAAATCAGTGTGGAGATGGAATGGGAGCAAGAATCCTTTAGTTCGGAGTTATCCAGCCAAGAGGAAGACGGCGGGGATAATTCGCCACCGATTCCGGTAAATGCCGCCCAGGAGACCCCGCCAGACAACGCTCACGCGATTTACCAAAATCATGCTGCGATACCTATAATTCAGGAGCCAGTTGGTCCCAACTACGATTCCAGTGAAAGTGGCAGCAGAAGCATAAGTAGCGATACGCTTCTGTGGGGCCCTGAGGACATGGAGTACATAGGAAATCATATGGATGCAATACCGTTCAATCAAGGATCCTCCCCGGCCTCGCAACCCCACAGCCTGCACGAGAATCAATACGAAGAATTAGATATGGATCAGCAGGACTGGTTCTTCGAAATGGGCTCGTTTGAAAACCACCATCCGCAGCAGGAGGGGGAGGAACTTATTATGCCACCATATGAGAATTCATATGGAACCTTACATGATGATGACGATGAACTAGATTCGCCTTAGAAATGTGATAAGATTAAATGTTGATGAATTTTTTGACCGGTTAACGTCTATTCGTTAGTTTTCTCATAGCCTACTTTATTTTCGCCGAAATGTATTCTTTTGTTTTTCTCACTAAAAACAAATGTTGGCAATATAGAAACAATGTTTGTTTGAAATCTTTCAAAAGTCTCAAAGGAACACGGTGTAGAATTTTCACAATTTCCATCTTGTATAAAATGGAATATATGAAATATATCTATAATGAAGAAGTGGAAGACTGCAATCAATCCGTTATAATGTCATCCGGCCCGATGGAAACAGAAGAGGATAATCCGCAAAGTGATCTTATACCCTTTATCGAATCAGAGCCCCAATCAGAGACGGACGATCTGTCATCCTGCCCTGGGTGTATTTCTGTAAGCGACGTTCTTGATTTCTTGGTAGAGGAGCCAGATTTGGATAATGGGCCGGCGTCAACGGACGGTGAGAATATTTTAACAAATGACACAACTGGCTCGCATGAATCTGAGCTAGATATTGACATTAGTAGTCTCTCGATCTCCCGCACCAATAAATCAGCAAAGATCGCTGGATTAGTAAAGAGAAAAAAAAACCGTCGAGGAAGATCTATCTCGCCCAGTGCATCAACAGCAAATGACGGATATGAATTCTTCAATATCACCAACTACGAATTCGCCGACAATAATCCAAATGTATCCTCAATGGATACACTTCCAATCTCATGCTCCTCCAAACATGGTCCAGAACACATCGGTGAGAAGTTCTTGCACGAAATTAATACGGATATAGAAATGGGTGAACCTCCGCACCAAAACCCTGGATCTGCCGCCAAATCAGAGTCTTCAGACCACAATGTTCAGTATCCAACAACCTCCCATATGAGTTCTTTGCCGGACCGCAGAAAAAGAGCCAAAAAATGGTGTACAAGATGGAAGAAACAATTCCCAAAAAGCAATTTGTCTCAATATGTTCTAGATTGCATGAACTTTTATGGGAAAGTTTTCATAAGAGACGACAATCCGATGCTATCATCTACGGCGGAACCCGAAGAACCAGAGCTGCAACCAATTATATTCGAATCGATGGACAACCTTCCGACATTCGGCACATTACTGGATGATGTGCAATTCAGCCCACGTGATGACCAAATGTACAGGGAAATGGCGGAATACATTGCTCCCTTTTTGATAGACCCAACTTCGCTTTTAGCAGAACTTGCTGAGGACGATAAATCCAAACAGGAAAAAGCAAAAGAACCACCCACGAAGAAAATACGGGAAAGTATCGGCCCGACTGAGCTAAATTTAGCGGCGATGTTGAACGACATCGATAAATTACTCTCCACTGATATCCAAGAAGTAGGCAAAGACTTAGCAGGCCAGCCTTCTAAAACTACCACACAACCAAAAGTGGACTAAAATGATCTGCATCCTGTTAGTTTCGTTTAATAAATTACAATTACCTTTTTATTTTGTTTTTTTTTTTTATACACGTATACACAGTATGTATTCGAATACTGTTGCAACAGTGCTGTATAAATGAAGTCACTTTGGATGTAAAGTTATTTTGATTCGCATTGTGTTTGGAGAGACACGAGTTCGCGCGCACCGACACCGATCTTCCAACGAGTTCCCGGCGAAGTTTGCGCGCCCAACAAAATCAAATGCATGAAGGGATAAGTTCCGCGCGCGAAACAAGCGACCACACAGCACTTCGAGTCGTCAGGTTGTCCCAAGCCGCAATCGGACAACTACGTTCGCAAATCATCATAAATCGATTTACAGTATCTGTTTCTGCTCCCTAGTTCGTACTTAAATATTAGGTTTTATATTACAAATTTTAATAATCTTATCGTTATAAACGTTGTAATAATTTATTTGTTTGTGTGCGCATTAGTAGTATTAATGACCCCGTTCGGCCGTGTCGGTTGCATCCTCGGGGTGCCCGCCACGGACACCGGCCCGGTTTTGAATCGTGGATGAAACGCAAGAGGTAACGCTAGAAACTTGTATATGTGTAAACAATACCGCGATCGTCTTACAGCTCTCATACGCGTGTGGCATGTTAAGGCACGGGGGACGAATCGAGTCGACCGAACGCAATTATCGTATGTATCTCCGGTATGCCGACAGTAGTAATCTTGTGATAGCTTACGGTTTGCACCGACGCCATCATCTGGGGGAAAGGAGAGAGTACAAATTCAGTCGTGGGACGGCTTGAACGCCGTTACATTCGCGAGCCCTTCTGCTGCAAAACCTTGGCGCGATCACTGTGCTCCACTTCGATGCCGTCCGTGTTGCCGCATTCTCGGCTTACCACACAGAGGAACTCCGCATGCTCGTCAGCACCGTAAGTGTATTGCGAGCCAATATTCACAAGCTGCTCAAACTTCCAGCTATCCGACAGCGTCGACACCATCTACAAGACACATTCAATTAAACTCCAAGCACATGCTTACAATCCTAACTACTACTTAGCCCACATGCATGATTTATCTTGGATATAAGGCAGGAGGAACACTTCAATGTTGAGGAGTTTGAGGCTTGGTTTTTGGCAGAATTGGTCAAAATTCACCTGAGTTAGCTCATCTTCATGACATTGTATCACTCTGTAGACATGCTTCTTGCTGTCTGATGAAGGCAGGCAATCGCGGTGGTAAATCTTTTCCTTGATCATCGTAATCAGCTCGGCAATGTTATAAAACTCGGCCTCCTCCAGCACACCCTCTTCAGCAAGGCCTTTGTTAATGACTAGCTTGCCGTGCCGCAGGTAATTGAGAATAGGCGAGAAGTACGTGGCATCGCGGTCAATCAGGAACGCACCGGTGTCGTCCTGAAAGTATCCGGCGCGTGAGGATGGCGGTTCAAGTCCGTATTCGTATGTGAGCGCACTTACCTGTTCAGAGATGAGATCACTATCTTCCTGCACCAGGCGGTAGAGGAATGAATTAGGGTCGCGCGACAACGTCGTCTTCGTCGTCTGGAAGACGGTACCGCCGACGTTCAGCTTCACCCATTCTTTGTTGCCGTTCTTTATCAGCGTTGGATTATTGTCCAGCGAATTGTTCACCTCGTGCTCCGCCATGTTTGTTTAGTGTCTGTTTTGCTCGCTGTCAAAATGCCACTTAAACAGCCGAGCGCCTGTCAAACGTCAAAATTTCAAACCGAAAAATTACCAAACTATACAGAAATATGTATTTTATTAATCAATAAAACTTCGTGTTACCATTTAATTTATTAATTTATTTAATTTCGCAATCGTCATTAAACAATCTGAAAGTTTCTGCTGTACATTTACGGATTTAATAGACCAATGCAGTGTTTGTTTGAATTTCTCTTGAGCTAAATGCAAACTCTGGGGCACTAGAACACCAAACCATTGAACTGGATTCACAACCAGTGCTACATCATCTGCCTCCGACCGTTTGCCCACTGTCTTGAACTCCAGATCAAATAAATTGTCTTTTATAATATCTTTGTTGTCAGAATCATGATGGACCACTCCCATGGCTTGGAACTCATTGCAATCTTCATTTGGAAGTTGCAGCTGAGACACCTGCTGATGCCCCATGATGTAACGCGCTTTAGTAACGTGACTCTCGCCGCCTACCATGCACTTTTCCAGTTCGATTTTCACCGCGATGTGTTGCTCCATCAAAGAAAGTGACTCCAGCGTCAATCTGTCGAGTAAGGTGTTGATTCTTGACAAATCGTGCACTCCCATGATATGATCACGTTAGTTACGTATTGCGCGTGTTGTATTTTAATACTGTATTGATTTTGTTACGCAAAATCTCCAGTTTTTCGCGATGAAAACAGGAACTGGATGACTTAAGGTTATTTGTAAACTGAATCAGGTGACTGATCAATCTAGGCAACCCGATATACACCAACACAAGAAGTTAATTTTCAGAAACAGTTTCCAATGTATTGTTTAAAAATAGTATTTATTAGTGTCTTAATGTTAATATTACCGCAGTAAATTTACAAAATATACACAGAAGTTATTATAAATTAAGAAATTGAGCTACAAGGGAACAGTTGATTCGTTCTCGCGAAGAAAACGCCGGAATGCTTTGGCCAGGCGGGCGCTAGATAAACTCCAGACCCTCATACTTCAAATCGGAGACGAACGTATCATCCAACAGAACATTTCCGTCGATATCGAAGGCGGTAAAGTACGTCGCCGTCTTACCTTCGATTTCTTCGGTGCGTAATGCAACAATCACGCGGTCATCCGACGTCGGTACGAACTTGAACGTAGAAAATCCGCGCGTCCTATACTTATTTGGTAACTGTCAACCACAAAAAACAACATTTATGTTTATTAATTTGTTATAGGCTTAGGTATTTGCATTACCTGAACACTTTTCACATCATAAACATCCGAGTCGGTGGAGATGAGTACAGAACAACCATTGGACTCGTCGACTGTTTCGTTGTAGCTGTTCTGACTGCAACGCCGTGGCAGGAAGAACCAGCGTTGATGCACTGATGACCAAGCGCCGCTCTCGTGGATCATATACCCTGGCCAGTGAATTCCTAGCACCTCTCGGACGCGTTTGTACTGCTCGATCCAATTGACGTGGTTTACTTGTCCGCCGGCGTTGATACGCTTTATATACTGCGGATTGTTGTGCTCGAATTCACCGGACGGCGTCGTCCATTCTTTACCCATGGAACCAACGATCAATTGCTCATCTTTTACCGTCGCCCACTCCGACTTAAAACCCTTCATGGTCCTTCAAACAGAAATGAAAACAATCAATTGCTGTGTGAGAATTGTTTAACTAATTCACCTTCCATCACCATCCATCAGTAACAACCAAGGAATGGCTCTGTCATTAATAATTTGAAAAACCATTCCTGTTCTATCATCAAAGGTCAGCAGTCTACCATCGAACACAACCAATTCCGACAGCTCCATACCGCGTCCTTTCATTGCAAAGTTAGTGGTGAGCTTTGCAGGTGGATGGCTATCCCATGTGATAACAATTGTGTTCTTAATTGGACTATAGCTGAGATAACCCTTTTTGTAAAATGAGTACCATGTGTGTTTCTGGTCTGGACTCAATGAATTTGTATCCAAATCAGCAATGATACCTGTAGGATGTGCCACATGTGTGAATTGTAACCTGCAACGGATTGAATTCCAGCTTACCTATTCTAAATGTGTGCATGCTGCTGGTCTTGATTGGCATCGTCAGTGGATAAGTCCTGTTGTAGCCTGTGTTGGAGATGATAGTATACTCGGTGGTGCGCTGACGGGGCAGCATATAGAGCACGACCAGCACAAGTAATCCAGTGCACGCCACCAGCGAGATGAAGTGCTTCTGGTTGCGCAGCGTTCGGTTAACGATTCGATATGTCGGCGGGCTGCGGAGGGCCTGCCTCCAGTCTCTCAATCGCATCGTGTCGGCGCCTTCCTCCGCGTTATACATTTATAGTGTTCGCATTACGCGGTGGTGAGGCTACGTTTACGTATTCGCCCGCCTATGTTATCATTGCATATATTGAGATTGCGTTGTGCGATCACCCGCTGGTCGGCGACTACGTAAGGCGACTGCGGCTGGTGAGGTGGTTGAGGTAATTCATTTTTCGCTCGACGTGTGATAACCTGTACACGGACTGCCACTACCTAAATACACGAAACGCACGATAATTAGAGGTGCAATGCCAGCGAACAAATAATATTTAACTGTTACAGCTGCGTGAAGGCGAACTCAACTGGAGTTGAGTAGTGCTGGACGAATGAGACGAGAGTGAATAGAATGACAGAAATAGGGACAGATGATTACAAAGTGTTGGCGCGGAAAATTCTGAATGTTCCAGGATTTGCTGCATGATATTACATTTTTCTGCAAATTAAAAATGTTAACTCTTCAATTACCTTTAATATAAAAAAAATATTACTAAATACCAAACCTTAATAAGTCGACATTTTCCACGTCATTGAAGTACTCTATATGCTATTTTTTCTTCTAAAGAACGCAGAATTGATTATTTTTTTTTAACTAAAACTACTAAGTTCCATAAAACAGCATTTTTCAGATTTGTTTAAACTGGTTTTATGATTAAGAACGTCAAATATTTTAAATTATATTTTTATTATAGGCAACCAGTCTATCATGTAATGAACTAACATGCTTATGGTAAAGATTGGTTTGAATTTAATCAAAATTTATTTCCGAAAAAGATTCATTTATGATAATTACAGCTTTTACAACAAAGAAAAACATACAAATAAACGTACATTATAAACTAATTCTAAAATGAATCTACAAAGAACCGAAAGCAACACAATTTATGAAATAGTTTTATCCACACTGATCTAAACAAATTTTATTCATATCTATATAATTTTATATAACCAATACAACAAATTTTCAAAAAAATATTTTCTTTAACAGTACTAACATTTCAGAGCGTTTGATTTCAGTATAACTAACAATATTCCAAAAGTTTGATTGAGTTTTTCAAATGGCTTGAGCGCAAAAAAAAGTTATGATCAGAACGTTTCGCGTGCGACAATACAACATTCGTTTCCCGGCTAATATTACATATTGCATATGGTGCAAGTGTGACATTGACTATATGTAAATGGCAGTTTTTTTTAGCAAAATCGTTCAATCAAACAGACAAACTTCCGATGGTATCATTCATCTTAATGCTATGTAAAACAAACAAATTCCTTAACAACTGGTGCTTATTGTTAAACAATCTGAACGATCATGCATTTGTACCGTATTTTATTATCTTTACGTAATTATTCTAGTTGCCGGTGATTTCGATTACATCATTGCCTCATCAGTTACGTGTGTTGAAGGCCTGAGTGTCGATTGCGACTGTAGGTGTCCAGAAAAGCAGCGTTTCGAATGTGTGATGGCTGACGGCCGGTCGTGATGAATTCGCCACGATCGATGATGAGCTAGTTGAGGAGAGTGGCTGGTCTGACCGTAAATTAGATAAATTATAGTAAACTCTAGTTGGGGTGTCGTCGTTCGGCAATTTCGCTAAGAGCCGTGCGGTGCGGCGGCTCACAGCGCAATTCGCATAGCGGCGAGCGTCGCAGCCAGCAGTAGCACGGGGGCGGCAAGACTACCAGCACCATTACACTTGTCGCCTTCACATGCGCACACCTCCTGCCGACCACCGAAGCCTGAGCGATGATAGCAACGATTCTTGTAAGTGCGATCATCCCAACCGCAGGAGCGAATCACACGGCTATCTGGCGGCACTGGAAACATACGGAGCACCATCAATCAAAGATTCAAACATTAGCAGACGACAATTCTTACATCCGTTTACTTCGAAGTCAATCATTTGCTTAATTTTCCTGCAAAGAATGTAGGGCTTGTCGTCGGCATTCTTTTCCGGGCAGGGTGAGGCCAAGTCCTCGGGTACCTGCTCCATTGCACACCTCGTATCATTATGGCTGTTGCACTGGAAGCACGAGAGCGCCAAACCTGCGACCAACAATAAAAACTTTAATCAAATACAAGTTACGTAAATCTACTACAATACAACGCCTAAATTGATGTGAATGAAACAAAAACGCAGCCTTGAAACACAATTTTACAATCGATTTTGTGCCCATGTCATGCTATGCGGTAGCGTTCGTGTCTTAACTTCACGTGCACATCGCGCATCGATTATACCAAGAACCAGCTGCAGCCAACGTAAACAAATTTTATCGATTTCATTTGACGTCTGCTTTAATTACTCGCCGATGACCTAACACGATGCTCCGCATCTTCTCCGGGTCTCTTTCTAAGTGAGACCTGGTTTCACAACATCGCTTATCATCGGCACATTAATATTAGCCACGCCAATGTTAAGAGTTTATCGCTGATATAAGTGAACGCGATAATGGTATTCACGTGCGGATGCCGGGTCGAAATCCGACGGGGAGTCCTATTATTATTATATTAAATAATAAAATAATTATGAATATCCCTATGATATGGGTCGCCCTTGCGCGCACGCACTAGACGCTCAATGTGCGCGCGTCTCGCACGTTTAACTATTTGACGGCGCGCGTAATTGGAAGGAAGTGACTTATCAACACAATTAATGTCGCACTCTCTGAACTGGCGAGCAGATTGGACCTATAAATTTCCCTCTTTTGCCGCGATTAACACATTACCAGAGATTGCCGAAGTTTTGCCCATCAAGTGATTGAAACATCTATGAAACACCGCGCAAACAAAGTCGAACTTTCATTTTTATTCCTCTATCTATTTACGTACCAAAATGAACAAAGTTATTTGACATTTCTGATTGTAAAAAGCAGATTTAATGTTGTATTTTATTTTCTTCAAAGTTGTTACTTGCAATTGATTTTTGTTACATGTTGACTGAACATGCATCTGATAGCGATTCACATGCATTAAAATGGTTGTTTGTTAATAACTTTGTTATCTTGTGCACGAATATTGTGCCACCGAATCGAAGGGTGCTGTTAAACATTGCATAAGTTCGAGATTGTATTGATTTTTATTTTGTTTCTTGAAGTTGTCATGCGTCGTGCGACTTGCGTGAATGCAGCTAAACCCACATTGTGGCTAATTTAACGACGGCACCTTTTTGGCAAACGTTCGGCGAACGTTATTCTCGCGTTTGATTTTCGAATTTCCCAATCGCCGATGCTAAAAATACGCGCGTATACAACGGCTTGACGCAAATCGTAATTCAACGTCGCAGCAAAATCATAGAAATCGGCCAAATTTTGACGAAATTATGAATTAAAATTGATGTAAATTTGTTGTGAAATGAATTGAATCTCACCTTCTTGCAGGAGGACCACTAGTAGGAAGACCGTAGCGACGACGACGTTCTGCTTCAAACCCATGACGATGCAGGCAAAGTTGCGGCGGGGAGTTTTCTTTTTCTTGCGGGAGCGTCGTTACGGCAATTCCTGCGACGGGCAACGGGCACGACTTCGGAATACGTGTGGCAAGAACTGCGAGAGTGCGCGCTTCGCTGCCCCCCATATACACCGGTTTCGCGCCAGCCAGGAAGTCCGTCATGTGGTGGGGGCGGCGGACAGGAATGCTACAAACATCGAACGGCGACAACCCAAAAAACATCAAACACAATCAACAATCACGAACATAATCTACACCCACCAGTAGCGCACTGAAATTCAAACATAGATGATGAATGGTACGTTTCCAAACATTTTCCAGTTAACATCTGTATTTGTAGATATAATTTACGTAATATATGCTGAACTTGAAACTTGTTTACAGTAATAATTATGAAATGGAATTTTTTTTTAGCAAAATATTCGCATCCAAGTTAGTTGATAATGATTTAATTTTATTTCACCGTCGCGATAAAACACTCTCAGCGAGCGAGAAGCGAATGGCATGCATAATAAACGCATTAAAAGTATTCATGCTTGTTGTACTTGAATGCAGTCTATTCAATTCGAATTTAATTAGATGCATGCGTTTTGAAAACGTATCTGTATGCGCTCCGGCTGTGTGCCATTCCTGCAAGGTGTATAGTGGGCTGCCGGCGTTATCATGGCATTGAGCCGATAAAGGCACTGACGATCTTTTGAAAATTGCGGATTAAACTGCTTCGAACCAGAGCGCAACGCGCTCCAACCTCGCGCCGTTCACAGCTACAATCCGAACGATGCAGCAAGCGACATTTCTCACATTTTCGGAGCGCATTTTCGGAAAAAAATAATAATGTGCGCACATTGTAACACCGCAGCGCGCACATCTCGGATTCGATTCTCGCTCATCGATCGTGTGCACGTGCCACTTAATTACACTTATAAATAAGATACATAACATCAATTAACATTCGCTTAAACTTCAAGATACGATTTCATCATCATCTTTAATGCATTATTTTGAATGCGATCGCCGCGAGCGCGGACACCATCATTAACCAGGAGTATTGAATGGTCGAGGATGAATTACAACCGTCCGTGAAGCACTGGCAGGATTTTTCGAATTTGAATGCGTCGTCAGTCTCGTAACAATTGTCTTTGGCTTCCTTGTGTTGAACGGAGCCGCAGGATCGCGTCACACGGACGTACCTATCGCTATCGATGACTGCAAAATCAACAAGCCGCTCATAGTTGGCATGCATTCTTTTTGTACGGGATTAATCTGCTTACTTGTAAATACAGTTTTTCGACAGAATTTCTCACCCGGCCCGACACAGTTGATATAGAACGGACTGGCAGTGTCGTTGGCTTGCAATGTTGCACATTCTGGATCCGTGTAGGATGAACAGTTGAAACATCGGATACCGAATGCTGAAACATTGATAATGTTAGTTTGTTTTGTGTGTGCGCGTTAGGTTTGTAACTTTGTGCGCTCACCGGAATGCAACATGGAGAGCAGCAGGATCGGCGTCCAAAACAAACCGACGAGTTTCATTTTGGGGCGAAAGTTTTTCGGAAGTTTTCAAAACTCAGTCAAACGTCGCACCACTTTCGGACGAAAGTTGTTTGTTGTCACTTGGTTATATTGCACAGAATGAAGCGCACCGCACACAGAGATTTGACCTTATCTCAAAATTCGTGCGGCTACCAGGCGGGCGTTTGTTTGCGCGAATGTGTGCTTCTGTGTGCGCGCTCGACGTTTTTTGTAACAATGTGGCCGTACAGTGTTTGGGGAGCGATTAACGACGCTCTCGCCGCGCGACGCGACGCGCCACGTTCGAACGCGCGTGCTATCAGCGCACCGACGCACTTCGCTTTACCTGCGCGCCGCCCTCCAGCTAACAATCGTACGGAATAGTAACGAACACGAGTTAGTCCAAATCCGACAGGTCTTTCACTGGTTGGCGCTGGAGTTGGCTACGGCTTTCCCGATTATTATTATTATTTTTAAAAATTCGCAAGTTGTTTTTCACCGTGTGCGCTGGTGTGCTCGCCCTCGACCACTCTCGAACTACGAATCGCTCGAGTTTGCCGCGCACTGCGGACCAGTGGCGATTCGATTACCGCACACGTTCGGTGGAACGCGGCGGTTTCTAGCTAGAACCTGTAATATCCAGATTTTTCAAATATATTTAGGTGCGCGCATACCATGCGGAGCGGGTCGCGTTCAAATTCATTACATTGTTGTTTGCGTAATTAGTGTATGCGCGTGAATTGCGCGCGCGGCGCTCAGCGATGATGATTTGCATGCAATTAGCTGCTGCTACCTGCAGCAGATCGGGCAAATCTCCGGATTATGTTTTGTCTAGCGCGCACACGGCGAGATTGCGACGCGCCGCGATTACACGCGTTGATGAAGGAAACCTTAAATAGGCCAACGACCTTCGAAACGTCGGAGCCGTCGGGTTATTGTTGTTCGAGTCAAACAAACTTTCTAACGCGCTCTAAGGCCGCTCAGGATTTCTGAGGTCGACATTGGCGCTAGGGGAAAGTAGCCATATTTGGACCATTTTTATACTTTTTGGTTTATGGAGCCACATATAAACTGTCAATAAAAATTAAGTAGCGGAAAAGTAACTCACAAGGCTTACCAACAAAATGATATTTTTGATTTAAGTAAAAATTATATTTACACCCCTCAAATTTTAATTTTAAAAAATTGTGTTTTTGGTCCAAATTAAGAAACCGGTTTCCTAAATTGGACCACGCGGTTTCCTAAATTGGACCATGCTTTTTAAACGGCAATTGACACAATAGTAAATTTTAGATTTAGAACTAACACAAGCACATTTTGTATAAACCAAAGTGCGGCATTTCATACACTGGATCATTTCGAAGATTTGTACTCGTCCACAAGCTTTTCTAGGAGGTCGAAAAAATGATATACGTTTTCCCTGTTAAAACCCGGTGCCTGTCTTCGGTCCAACTTGGGCAACTTGAAGAATTTATATTTAATGATCAACGACAATCTTAATATAACATAACCTCTCAAAATTAATACTATAAATTATAGATAAATAAATAAGCTTTCTGATGATATAATAATAATCGGTAAAACTATCGTTTAAACGGCTTGACAGCTTTTGCACTTACGTCGTTATAATAGATTTGATAATCAATGATACACGAAGTTGTTGTCACGGCGCAAACACGCGGCAAGTTTTAACCCAAATAGTTGCATTAATTGTTTATAAATACGAGTAAAACAAGGGGCCTGTCTATTTTTGCACAAACTTCAACAGTCCGCGGATATCGTGGTGGTCCAACTTAGGCTTTGTCATAGCCTCCTTGATTACGATCGAATTGTTTGTTTTTGTTTTTTGTCAACAAAAACAAAACAAGTTTTGTTACTGTGGAAATGAAAAATAATTGTGCCCAACACACGATCCTGCATTACATAGTTGTTCAATTATACAAAATGGAAAATACCGACAATAATAAAGTGGAAATTATCAACCCAAGCCACCCTACTCAAGAAGAAGAAGAAGTCGTCGCTGTTGGGCAACCAGACAATCGAAGAAATCCGGCAGAAGTCACTGTAACAGAATCCGATTCGGCTCCAACCGAAATTCTTGACTTGTCCAAACCAAAGTCTGATGCAAAAACCTCTACCGCATCAGGCCCCAACACAATTATTTCCGTAAGTACAGCTACTGTCCGCAACATCCTAATACCGTCGCGACGAGTTCCGCCTAAAATCCAGCCAAAACCAAGTAAGGAAAACATAAACCCAGGCGTAATCAGCCATAGCGAGTCTGGTATTCAACCTCATGTTGGTAGGACCTGCGCATCGTTATTCGGAACAAATACGCCAGGTAGTGCTGAAACTATTCCAAAAATGATAATGCCCCATAAACAATTTCCTATCTACAATTATGAGAATATATGCCGGGGTGTGATCACCCATGACAGCCCAGACCATCTACCTATAGTGGATATGAATCACGCGTCATCATCTAGAAGAAATACTCCAGCCAGTAATCGTCAAAGAATTGCTATTCCTTCCGTCCAAATTCCTTACCAAAAATCCTTAATCAAACCCAATAATCAAATCGGTCGCGGAGTGATCACGCATGACAATCCACCAACGCCATCCACCAGTATTCGAGCACTTAGAAAACATAATAGAGGACGGGGTCGTGGAGTTTCCACAAGAGACATAAGCATGCAAAATTGTCGTTTCGTATTCAAATCAGATGTACCTGAAAATCAACTTAACTCCCAATCAACTCCCAAGTTGCATATTCCAGCGACTACTGGTTCAATGAGACCTATTATTCATGAACCTGTAAGGCAAACTCCGGTCCGAGGGGGTTTGCAGCAACACCTTGGTAATCGACCTACTACATTGTCAAGAGGCCAGAACTGTCAATTCAATTCGAGCGTAAATAATCCTGCAAGAACTGGAACCAACCAACCGGTATTTATAAATCAACCGCAACAACTTGTCCAAATGGAAGTACCACAGGTAAATTGCCAAAATGTGAGCCAAGGTGTGATCTCGCACGTAATCCCCATTTCTCCACCGGTTACGACCGCGCGCGAAACCATTAACCTGCCTCGTCCACGGTCTCATTTTAATCAGAATACCCCAGCAAATTCCGGAATAAATATTCCAATGACTACAGAAACGATCAGGCAGATTTTTCTGCAGCAACCACAAGAACTGGGTCAAATGGAAGTATCACGGACAAAGTCCCAAAATATTGGGCAATGTGTGGTCACGCAGGTAATTCCTATCAATCAACATGTTATGACTCCACGTGAAAACATTACGATGGCTCGTCCAAGGTCCAGTTTTAATCAAACTGTACCAAACTCAAGAAGAAATATTTCGAACAATAATAGTACTAACAGGGAGAGTGTCATGCCCCAACCGCAAGCATCAAGCGCAAATCAGCCAAACATTGGTGGTGGCGCAATCACGAAGATAATTCCTATTGGCCAACTTGCTAAGGCTCCAAGAACTATTGGCTTGACCAATCCAAGGCTCAATTTTGACCGGAATTGTCCACCTTTCTGTGCTAGGGCTACTCCGGTAAATTCTGGCACTATAAACCAAAGAATTGCACCGGGCCGAGGATCTCTTCCTATGCGCACACCAAGGCCAAATTACCAAAATATTCGCCGTAGAACGGTCACACAAGAAGACCAACCCATCAATCAACCTGACATAATTTCTCAGAGCCCTGTTAGCTTTGCTAAACCAACTTCTAGTAGCCATGTTGTACCTGATTTTAGAGGTATACACCGCCAAAGAATCAGGTGTAGAGGAGGAAGGGAAAGTCGAGAAGGTAGAGGACGAAAACATTTCCCTAAAGACACTCTAAGTCCTTTTGTGCCTACTTATCCAATATGCGAGCCTGCCCAGGAACTGCAATTGAATGAACGTTCTCTCGTTCGGAACGACGACCCGATAGTATCGTCATCGGCACAATCCGGAGAATCAGATTTGCAACCAATTATGGATAATATTCCACAGAATCCTTTCATGTACAAAGACCTGCCCGAAGCCGTTGCCTACCTTAGTGCTGCAGTTTCTTACGAACTTGGTATGGACAATGATACGGATTTAAACGCGACAAACACACCAAATACGCAGGTGGTGGATGAAGACAATGAACAATACAAAAAAAATTTAGCACGGATGCATGATGACATCGGTAAATTTTTAGATTACTTTATTGGTGTTACAGGCGGCCTTCCGCCAGAAGGGGTTTCCTTAAGTCCATCGAGTCTAGACGAATATGACGACCAGCCACCAGAGGTTATTCACGATGTTGACAATGTTGACAATTATAACTAGAAATTTCTCTATGCTTTATTTTCATAGATTAACATTAGTGGTCTTAATTTTATTGTTACAAAGATGTAATTTTGGAGCATTAAATATAGATTTATTGGTTTCGTTTTGCCAACTTTTAGTTGTTGTGAATTGAAAATTTGCTCACTGTTTTCAGCTCTAGGCCTGTAGAACCAACCCTGCTAATATATGAAACAAGGGCGAAAACAATGGCTGTAAAATCGTCAATGAGTCAGCGTTTGTAGAAAAAACTTTCAAAACAAACTAAATCCAGACATCTGTACATTTTGAAATAGAAATTTCGGATGCTGAAACAGAAGGACGAAAAATGATGGCAGATCAAAACAAAGCTCAAGTTTTTACGCCGTCGATATATTTAGACGTAATAAATGAGACGGAAAATGGTTCGATGATGCCGGGGCCGAAGCTCTCGGAAATCAGCACAGCGTCCCGCCATCCTGCCGCCGCGTGACGGTGCGCGGTCCGGCGCCAGCCGCGCGGCGTCGCTCCCCGCGGCCGCCGAAGACGCGCCATCGCGGTCGGCGGCGCGTATTCGCGTCCCGCGTGCGGCGCAACCCGCAACCCGATAGCGCGTCTAATCCGCGTCGGCAGCGCGACGACAAACCAGCGTCAATCGCACCCGGCAGCATGGCGAGGATTGTAGTGTTTAGTCTGTGCCTATTGCTCACCGTCAGATCGAGTAAGTCTTCAGCATTCTTCTCAGCACACAGGCAACAATTTCGGCTGGTGGTCCATTTCAGTCGCCTGCATCGAGTGCTACAGCTGCATCTCGACAGAGAATCCTGACTGCATCCATCCGGAACAACACATGGAGCGACAGAAGTGTAATACGGATGGTCTACGGCAGACCAGCCAGTACGCCAGCAAGCTGAGCACGGAATTCAAGGAGATTTTTGACTTTCCTACCATCGGGGGTCCCATTCCGCTCAATTGCCTCAAACAGGTCGTTAAAGGTAAGTGCGCCGTAATATGTACCGTTTTGCCGCCTCTTTTGCCCGCCGTTTGGGGTCGTCAAACCTGACGATGTCGTAGTGCTTCCTACGACCGCTCACCGGAAGAAGAAAACGCGAGGGTGCATAGGATTTGGACGCGACTCAAAATCGATACGCAACTATGGCAAACTATTGTCAACGCGAACACTTTTTTCGGCATTATTCAACGATTGACATTTTACTTTCCGGCGACTTTCTGCCCTAGTGCAGAAAGGATTAAATGTCAACGAGGTGCTGCCTCTGCTAGCAAGTAGATATTTTCGCGAATCATTGACTTGAACATTACATTTTCGCAAATTTAACTCGCAGCCAACTTTTGGTGGTCTAATCTAGCATAATGCATTCGGGTTCACTGCCAACTATAAATGGGCAGGACTCAATGTCCTTCAGTCTAAAATACGTACTATCAAAGGCATTAACCAGATTTGTCGGTCATCGGGTCAAACTCTGAATGATTGCCATCAAAAGGAAATGTGATGGGTTGCCAAAATTTTACTCAAATTACAGTGGAGGGAACCGAAGTGGTCTTCCGCGGCTGCCAGCTGCCCAAGGACCCCCACAACCAGCTCGATGTCTGCAATAAGGTCTTAAGCAGCAAGAACAAAAACAACGTGCACGTGATGTTTTGCGCCTTGTGCGATACGGACGGATGCAACGGCGCGCCGCACACCCGCCCCTCACTACTCGCCGCCGTCGGCGCGCTGTTGCTTGGCGCGTTAATGGTGGCCTTCTAGTCTGCTGCCGCTACCGCCAATGCGCGCTTCTGCTGTAGACGCAGGCATCCGCCAGCGCAGCGCGACCGACGTAGTACTGTTACGCGAGGCATCTCGCTCCAGCCGCCGCCTCCGTGCCTGAGACTGGCGCGGGGACAGCCAAATGCGACTTAGATTATTATATACCCACTCGATATTTGTACTTCTTTCGTTGTGTCTTGTCTAGTCAAGTAACAATAAACCAAAGTGCTGTCAAACCCATTCATGCGATGACGAATTGCCGCCGTTCCTCATCGACCAAATCCTTAAAGTGGAACGTATATAAAACGTTTCCGCTTTCTTTGCAGAACAAAAATTGGTTTTCAACAAAACTTATATCATTTGACATAATATCGCAATAATATTCTACTATTATCACTTATAATTTGATGTATTTTGAGTTGTCAACGTTGAAATCAAAATTTTGCCCATATTTATATTCGTCACGGATTTGTACTTCAAACAGATAGTGCACAATTAGTTGCATAAGGTATATCACGAAATTGCTTAAAAAGGAACACAATTTTGTATTATCGTGTCTAATACTTCGAATAAATGAGTCATAAAATAAAATAATGTGTTAATCCATGCAAATAACATTTTTTGCTATAAATTAATATTCTTTTATTAGAAATTTCATGTTTAGTTGATGCTAATGTAGGCGTAATTACACTGGAAGTAATAAAAAGTCAACGTTTATGTATATTATTATATCCTAGAAATAAAATTTTCCATGTTTCTATGGACTGAGAAGTTCATTATTACCTATTTTCACTAATTTTACTTCTCAAAAAATGCTTTTTCAAATTAAATATTTATTAGTAATATCCAAACACAGAATGTTTTTATGCATAATAAGAACGTCAAAGAGAATAAATGTTTCATATGCTGTCCGATACAATCAGCTCGTGCAAAATGAACAAAAACGACTTTTCCATTCTGCCTACATTAAATGCAATTCTCCACTGTTTAAAATCTATACACTTACAAGATCGCACAGCACCTGTTTATTATACAATGTCCAACAAAACGATTGAATATTCAGTCGATCGTTTACATAATAAATTAAAACAGGTCATGTGCAATAGATAAAGCAAATTGTGCATTTAAAATTAGGTAACAACTGCGCAAATGATTAAATCAAATATTAAGTTACAAAACAAGTTAAACGATTTTGTTATCAGGTGATTAGTGTGAAGCAATTGATGACAAATTGCTGGGAAATTTTGCAATTGTTTTTTTTTAAATTTTATTAATCTGATATTAGTACAATTTTATATATTATTTGTATTATGCGTCCTTAATTATAATGAAAATGAAGAGGTTGACAAATTAAAAAAGCAATTTATTAGTGTCAAGTTTAATACATGTTGGAAATAAGAAATACTGTAGGTAATTAAGAAAAATGTTGAATATTGTGATGCGGATTAAGCATCGTGTGCGATCAGCAATACTAATAGATTTTTGCAATTTCAACGCGCCTTAATTGGCGCATGTATGCTAGTTGCGCATTGAATAGTGCCATATCAGATATCCTCAGCCTTATCATAAAATATCAATAGTGCATTTTTATTTTGCGTATCTATCAACTATTTACTATAAATTGGGCCGACCATGACAATTCAGGCACAGTTTGCACATTCTGCACACATTAGAACCACACCAGAACGATATACAAAGTGACAACTTGCCCATCTCATAATGGCTAAATTCGTCGTTTTCCTCGCCGTCGCCTTGGTAGTGCTTGTAAGCGTCAATGCCGCAGACGAATTGAGGAAATGCTATCAATGCACTTCTTGCAAAGATGTCTCCGAGAAAAAAGCAACTGACTGCGCAGACGCGTCCCTAAAAGGATGTTTCATCAGAGGTGACCCTGACAAAGGTACGTAGTGACCAGAACTGGACAAAAGTAGCAATTGCTTTGGAGATGTTTTGTTAAACATAATCATTTATATTTGCAGAAACTTGGGCGCGTGGATGTGCCCCCGACGAGGAAACCGCTTGTGCAGCCTTAGCCGATGGTCACGAATGCTCTTTCTGCGAAGAGGATGAATGCAATTCCGGTTCCTTCGTGGCCGCCTCCATCATGATGACCGTCGGTCTTGCCGCCATCGTTAACATGATGCGCTAAACGATCGCAATCGTCCGCGCCTGCATGCGCTTTTCGCTTCTAAGCCATTTATATCATTGTTTGAAATTTTGAAATAAAAAGGCATATTTAATTAACACATGCGTATGCAATTCACTTAGTCACGCACACCATGAGCGTGTTCGATCGATCGATAATATTATCTAGGAGACGACTCGTCATCCGCCTATCTGCTCGCCCCAAAATATCCTCCAATGTAAAGTGGCCGCTTATCGGCTGTGTAAACAATGCTTCGTCCGTATAAAAACCGCAAGCCGAAAAAAAAAATTACAGAGTTGCGCCGTTTGCTCACAAAAAAAAACGTTAACAATCAGTTTACCAGAGACCATCTAACTATAGAATGGCTAAGTTCGTCGTTTTCCTGGCCGTCGCCTTGGTGGTGCTTGTAAGCGTCAACGCCGAAGAAGACGCTTTGAGGAAATGCTATCAATGCAATTCTTGCAAAGATGTCTCCGAGAAAAAAGCAACTGACTGCGCAAATGCGAACCAAAAAGGATGTTACATCAGAGGTGACCCAGACAAAGGTACGAAGTGACCAAAACTGGATAAAAATAGCTAGTCCTTTGGAGATGTTTTGCTAAATATAATCATTCAAATTTGCAGAAAATTGGGATCGTGGATGCGAGGTCGACGAGAAAACCGCTTGTGCCAAAGAAGAATCCGACACGTACAAATGCTCTTTCTGCGAGGAGGATGAATGCAATTCCGGTTCCTTCGTGGCCGCCTCCATCATGATGACCGTCGGTCTTGCCGCCATCGTCAACATGATGCGCTAAACGCCATTTCGTTTTAAGCCGTTCATGTCATTAATTGAAATATTAAAATAAACGGAATTATTTAATTAACACTTGTGGTCTTAACTCTTCTCCCAGTTTCTAAGGGCAGCCACATCAGAATAGAAATATTCATTATTGATGCAATCCTCACAATAAAAAAAAAACGGTGTAGATTCATGAAACGAATTATATAACAATTTCTTTTTTTGAGTGACACACGTAATCATACCACATCGACAATTGATATTGATTCAGCGTGCCTCCTATCTTATCAACACAAATTAAACACCAGGTACTCATGAATCAACAAATAGCTTGTTTCTGAATTCTACACCATCTTAACACGAACATTTCAGTCGTTAAAAAAAAAAAACGAGAAACAAAAAATGGAGCGGTAACAAAACCATCTACAGAAATTCATTCTGTCGAATATTTTCACAAGTTTTTATGCCCGATGTCAATTTTTGGCAATGTCACAAGGCGTAAGCATTATTGACACAATCGATGAAATCGATGCCGCCGCCGTGTGATTAGCCACACAAACACGCAGCGCGCTCAAAATCGTGCTTATCGCCTTATCGGCGCTGATGCAATAAAAGTACACATGCACGTAGAATATCGAATAGCTTTTATTAAAATTTGTCATTTTCGAAAAACGCTGCCAGCGAAAATTGAATTACACACTTCGAAAGAGAGCTGCCACTTGTTGCGCCAGAATGAGTCCTGTCAGGAGAAGGCCTGGTGTGTAGAAAACACTGAGTGCCGCCGCATTGCAGAGGTCCTCATTACAAACGCGACACTCTTTGCTGAGCTCGCTATGGCACGTTTGCTCAGGCGCACATGTTCGGTCGACGTGGTTGTCTAATAAAGAATTGGAAACATTTTAAATATCATTCATATCATCGTTATGAGTGTGCTTACCCGACCAGAATTTTACACAAGAGAACATGCAGTTTTCTTCAATTCTTACCGAGGATGCTAACATTGCGCAATCGCTGTCACTACCGCCTGCACACGTATAACAACGCAATGCTGAAAAAATAATAATTTTTTTATTCAAAAGTTCTTAGAAATATATCAAACATATTACAGGTTGATGAAATTGTCATTTTACCTTCGGTTTGAGTTGTAGTTGTAGATAGTATGAGTACAAAAACTCCGAATAACGCCAACGCTCTCATAATGCTTTTGATTTTTATGCAGAATACAACGATCACCGTAGGAGTTGAAAAGTTGGTACTTGATTAAATGTTAAAACCTAAGTGAACCTCAGTGAATGCCGAGAACCGTTGTTACCGGACAGATAATATTTATAACTCCTCATTATCTATAGTAAATATTCAAACATCCGTTTAGTTTGCAAAGATTACTCTGGCTGTTTGCTATCGCAACTAGCAAATTAAACATTGACTTTATTATTAACCATAAGAAGTTATATTGATAAAAGTGAAATTCATACGGTTTAGTATATGTGGCTGAGATCTTTTAGTAAACTTTATTCCTTAAAAATCTTATCTCAGATGTGGGTAATACCACTTTAACACTTTCAGCCGCTAGGTGTGAATTGTGTGCATTCGAAAATATTTGAACACTTGAACTTTGCTAGCAGGTATGAATACCTTAAAAACAATTTTAAAAAAACCCAACGTTTTCATAGATTGCTCATAATTTGACTATCTATAAACAATAAGTTCTGCTAAGAGTTGTGTGTCAAAAGTTTCAGTTAGCGAAAGTCTAATTACATATGTTGATGTAGATACGACACTTGTTGCGCCAGAATTAATCCCGATATGTGTAAGAAACACTGGGGGTGGCGACATTGCACAGGTCTAGGAGCACATTCACGTACGAAGTGGAAGTGTAATAAAAAACATAATACATTAAAAATCGTTAATAACAGCGGATTGATTCACTTTACCCAACCAATTTTAAGCAGACAAAAATTTGCAATCTTCTGTAATCTCAAAAAATCATCATCAAAAACACCGCAATGGTGAAAATTTGAATAAATCATATCCTGCCAGAGATGATGACATAATGTTTACTTTACCTGCGGTTTGGTTTGGAGATAGTAGATGTACAAAGACTTCGAATAGAGCCTATAGTTAGGAGGTATAATGTTAAGCAGGAAACACTTGCAATGCGAAAACCAAAGCGTTCATTCTTTTACACCTGCGATTGAAAGTAGCACTAATAAAGGCAAATATCTGCTTTGATTCAAAAACTATTTTTATTAATTAATCATTGTTAATCAGGTTACATTTGTAGATCTATAATATAAAAATGAATCACAAAATTTGTTGGTAACCGCATAACTCAACAACGCCTAGACCAATTTGGCCAATTTTTTTTTTAAATATTCGTTAAAATCCAAGAATGGCTTTTACGGCGAGAAAAATTTGAATAATTGCCGAGAAAACGGGGAAAAGCTAAGTTTTCTTTGTCCAACTGATAAACGAAACAAATTCCGCCACCTTCTTCGATTAATTTTTGATTCATGGTTTTATATGCTGTTTTGCGCAAAATGTTTTTTACTGAGTTTTCTTTTGCCAACTGATAAACGAAACAAATTCCTCAGCCTTCTTCGATTCATTTTTGTTTTATTTCGTGTTTTGTGTAAAGTGTTTAATTATTATCTATGATCACTAAATATTGCATGTGACACAATTCGGGGTGTTTTAGTGGGTTCCACTAATATAATTTGTTCTTGAATTGGTGGCAAAAGTTCGTGGAAATGAAGATACCTTCGTCACCCGAGCTAAACTCCACACACCACCCTATCACCAGGGTGACGGATCTGTTCAGGAGATTTTTTTGCGCCGACTATAAAATAGGCAGGAACAAAAAAATGCCACATTTCAAATCTTTTTGACAAAACGAAGTCTGCTGGGTCCACCAGTTTTATATAATTATGTATTTAGTAATACGTCAGCTACTTTTCTCGTTAAACCTATTGACTCATGCTCTCATTTTAGATGTGCGTAACACCACTTTAAATTTCCCAATCTCAAAAAGTAAATTGTGTGCATGTAGACATATTTCGACACTTGAATTTTTCCAGCCGGTGTAAAAATGTCACTTTAAACTAAAATTTTGATACATTTTTATCAATTTTTCGTTATTTAAGGGTAAATAGTATATAATTTCGTCAAAAACTAATGTTTATTACAAAAGCTGCTGGAAAAAAATTCTCCGTTTTTATTGATTTTGTTTTATACTTAATCAAAATTTGATTATACTCGGAAAGTCCTTGACAACTCATTCACTCATAAGAATTTGTTTGCACAAGAGGGCGGATGTGGATTCGCTAAATTCTACCCGCGCCTTGCCGCCACGAGTTTGAGCGGAAAAAAGAGGCCCCTTATCGATGGCGTTTATCGATAATCTACTTGCGCGTACATTTATCACACATTAAATATTGATCGCTCAAAAATACCAAGTTCTCGAATGAGCGCTTTTTTGCTCGCACGTACCGCGACAAGGACATCCTAATTATCCGTCGGTGCAAACAGCACGTTGATTTGGCGTGATCCATCCGTTATCAGGCTCAAGTGTCAAAACTTTCCGGCGGTTGAAGTGGGCCGTACACAGTCGATCTTATTAATCGCATCGACTTCGATATGCCAAGGCAAAAAAATAAAGTCAAAAATTCCTTGCGTGACACAATGATGACAATCATCACGTTCGTTTATTTGCAACGCAATTGTCTCCGACTTAAGCTACTATTGACACTTTTCTATGCTGCTTATGCAGCATCATGTGATAAAAATGCAGCGTATTATCTGTAATAATACACGAATGCTTTAATTACAGAACAAAGCGCAACTAATCATAAAATGGTTTCATCTGAAATTACACACTTTGCAAGCGTCGCACATGCAGGATTATCGCTTTGGTACGGTTTGCGAACAAATAATTGCGATTTTATGTAAAATGAATGATTTTGGGAGTGTTTCGAAAGTGGATGCGTGCGTTTTCGTGACCACCGTCCATCAATAATGCATTAATGGCATATCATTAGTGTATTGATGATTGATGAGTGTATTAAATTAGAAATTTTATATTTACAGTTTAATTAAGCGTGAATAACATGCTAGGTATTTATACGTTTCTAGAATAGTACCTATATTAAGTATCAAGTGACAAACGAGAGTTTTATTCGCATTTGTTTAACAATGTTTACCCGCGTAATGCTTTTGTTATTTTTCTTCATCCACTCTATTTCCACGTTGGGGTTTTTGCATTAGAGCTTTTGTATTTTAAATCTTCGAAATTCCCTTGCACAATACTGGGAAATTTAAGGTTAGAAAAGCCGCTTCGCAACAACAGCGTCTTTCATTTCCTATTGTCTTATGCTGCACCGTAGGCAAATGCGCAGACATAAGCGACTTACCACTTTTTGTGTCTAAAAACCGTGGAAAAACGGGCGCTGTAAAGGTTGCAGTAGAAAAATTAATTTTTGCGTCACATGTGACTGGATTACAAATCATTTCGACTAATCAGACATTTTATCAGGATTTATTAGTGTTTTCAATATTATTTCCACTTGACTTATTATTATAAATTGCGTTGACTCACTGACTTATTAATCTTTGAAGTGCTTATTGCAAAACGCAAAAAGCGCTTTAATACCTTTTATGGTCCGATTCGAAAGTTCTCGCTGGTGTGCAGCCACATCAAAGTACAAACAACAGCCCTGTGTATTTGCAATGTACGCGCCTAATTAAAATGGCGTGCAAAATGAAACCTGATCGCTTGATTTGCTTGTTTGGCCATTCGCCGACCTAACAACGCTGTCGCGCCATGAGCGCCGTTAGCACGCGTGCAAATACGCGCCATATTTGTAATCGTATGCCATAAACAGACAGGGGTGGAAAAGGCGGAAAAACGAAGGCGGATATTGGCACGCTGCGAATGCGTCAGCCGGTTTATAGCTGGAGCGGTGCCTGTCTGTCTGCGCGCCGTATCGAACGCGTCTACCGACGCCGCCGTCGCCACTACCACCACCAACTAGTGCTAGTGCTAGAATATCAGCAAAACAGGAACGTAGGGGTGACTTGAGGGATGTTTGGGAAACGACGCAGTTTTAGGTCACGGCGACCAAACGACCAACTCCCCTGCACGATGCTGCCATCTACGCGCGTCAACTGTCTCTCGACAGCCAGTTGAAAACTCAAAACCGCTTCAAACGCAACCGGAAATCTTTGAAATAAACGCGCATCGCAGCGGTAGTTAAAGTTCTGTGTGGCGGACAGCGACGTTGCTGCGGCGTGAAGAATTCGGCGGGTTTTAAACGCTTGTAGGAGCTGGCGCGCGTCGTGAAGTTTCTTTTCCGACCGCCGACTGGAAGCGCTGCTAGACGTTTTGGTAACGAGAAGGGGCGCCCCGTACGTTCGCGCCGCGCCTCATACTCGGCAGCTCAGCAGCAGCAGCACAGCTCAGCTTTTGTTCCGTTCTGGGTCGAGCTATCGCACGAGACCAGCGAGAATTTATAGTAGCGCATCGCGTACGTACTACCTACCCAGGCGAATAGTGCGTTTTCGGCGGTTTCATCGTTTTGCGTCCAATTCCATTTGCTGCGGGCGCATCTTCCCGTCTGATTTCATCATCGTGCCCCTGGCCGCAATCATGACCAGATCGATCATCTCCGCTTTGCTGCTGCTCGTCGCTGTCTCATCAGGTAAACACCAATCCCCATATTACTAGAAACACGTTTGATAACGCGCGCTTATCAATATCAAGCGATTCGTCGGCTCGGAGCCGATGGCATCGCCCTTTGCTAAATAACGCTTTTTTTTTTTCGTCGACGGCTATTTGGAAAATCGTGTGAACGTGCAACTCAAGCAAGCTGCCATTTAGTTTGAGCGCGCAACGCGCGTGCACACTTCCGTTTCACGCTCGCTGCCATTGCAGGGTCTTTTTTAGCGAGGGGAGGCTATTGTTTGTAAATAAACTTGGAGGCCTTCTGGGTCTTTATTTCGCGTTTGTAAGTAGTTTTTTTTCTCTCGCAAGAAACGGCGCGCATGCGATTCATTAGCGGTGTTTATATTCCGAGAATCTATCCCAATGGAAACATACGAGTTGAATGATTCATACAATGTCACTTTAATTTGTAACTTCAATTTACTACTCAGACTTTAATCAAGCAATCTTTTTTAACATTGTTATTACTGTCAAGTAAATAAGTAAATGTCATGCATGCGAAACGAAAATCACAACTTTTGACTCACCGTAATTTGCTCTTGCTTCTTTTTATAAATCTCTATTTTTATTCAACTGAGAAAAATAAATCATTGGGTTCGTTTATCGGAATCGTAAACCAACGTACTTCTTTTGTACAGAATACGAATTCGAGCAAATAAATAAAAAGCACTTCTATTACCTCATTTATTTTTGTTTCCTTCAAGTTGCGATGCCAACAACTTGTTTCTGTGGTTGTGCTTCCGCCCGCACTTTTTTTTTTACCTTTTGCGGTTTTATTGTGAGTGCAAGTCGCTGATTTCCTTCTGTTTGAATTTGATTTAGTGCACTCGCTGAGGTGCTACAGCTGCGATTCCAGCAAGGGGTTCGCATGTGACTACAGTATCCTGTCTTTCACATTCCCATCGGTGGAATGCGAGAACAGTGGCGGCGGCATCTTGGACGCCATCGCTTCTATTTTTCCTATGACGTGCGCGAAGATTGCTGGCACAGGTGAGCGGCATGATTAATTTATATTGAATGTTAATTTAATGAGAGTGTATACAGACCGTTTATGGCTGTAATGATCTCATCGGTTCGCTTCGTTTGTTATTTGGAGTTCGCGGTTTTGCTGATTTCGGTACGCGCGTGACGAAAACTTGTTTGGAACAGTCTCAAGGCTATCGAAAATTCGAGAATGAAATGGTTAAAGCTTAACTTGAACAAAATATACGTGGGACGCATTGTTTGGATTCCATTCAGAAAATACGAGAAAGTTACATTGATGAACTTAACTTTTATATGAATGTACTTCCTGTGTTATCACTCAATATCAATGTTTTTGGAGTATTTGAGCGTGGGCAGCGCATTTTGTGATGCTCAAAGTAAAAAATTAAATTTGAATATATTGCCTGATGGCAAGTGTCGTCTTAGGAACATGAATATACTGTTTCATGTGCATAATATGCTGTTTATTATATGTTTTCTAGATAACGAACTGTTTGTGTTTTTTAGATAGCGACGGCAAGACCTATACGGCCCGAGGCTGTGTGCCGAAGGGCACCAACCTTGCCTGTCACGTAATTGCCACCACGATGAAGTTCGCCGACTCCAAGCAGTTATCCAACCAGGTGTGCGAAACCTGCGACAGCGACAATTGTAACTCTGCAGGCCGCGTCGGCGGTATGACCGCCGCCGCACTGTTGGCCGCCTGCTTCCTCTTCCTCTTCTAACCGACTTCGTCGCGGGACTGTCGGGTTTTTTGTTCTTTTTGTTTCTTTTTGTTGTCTACCATTCGCCGTTTTCATTCGACGTCGGCTCCACGCCGCCCTGGAGCAGCAGCCGCGTTACGCAACCAGTACGCTTTCAATTAAGCAATTTCACTAAGCAAATAAAACGATTAAAAAAAAACTACAAAAAAAATAATAATAACAATAAGAGTGGCGTTGCACTGGTGCTGTCGATTGGCGTCGCGTCGACTTAAACAGCGCATCGCTCGATCAGATTACAATCATACGCTGGATTCTACTCAATTGTATTCTATTTATCAGTTTGTGATCCGAACAAACAAAATCGTTGGCCTTAATTGCTTCAAATCACCTACATACTCTTATCGCTGAGATGATGTTGCGTTATAATGTTACAAATATTTTTCTATTCTATTACGAATTACAAATGTTTATCATACGATTATGTGTAAAAGGCGAGTGAAAATGACCAATAATTCATAAATTGAAACACGCAATTACGATTAGAATACGATTGAAACAAGCCGACGAACTATTTGCGAAGAAAACCAAATTAAATCCAGGGGAAGTAAAGAAACTCGACGGGAAACTATGTACGCTTTGTTTATCTCTTTTATTGTTGGTTCGACTATTATTTTCTAATAAAGTTTAATGTTTTAGTTGATTTGCGAACTGTGTTGTTAACGCGCCGAGTATAGTCGCATTTATTTATTATTTCGTGACGACTACGAAAATTTCAACGGAAAGTTGCGAAATACGAGCGTGGGCAATCTAAAATGTGCTTGATAACTCTGACGTTGTTTTAATATCGTGAATAATGATGCATTTATGCCGGAAGCATCTGATGAACAGTATTAACTAATTCGAAATGACTGCTGCGTTGCCAAAAAAGGAAACAACTTAACTTACGCTTATTACAACAAATGTTGATTCCAACCTACCAGTTGTGGGTGTTGCAATGAATGCGTTGTAAATTTAAAACACCAGTTTTGCGATTTTCATAACAATATCACCGAACCGAATGCGTTGGCAACCGCAATTGAATGTACTTTTTGGGTGTAACTTTCACCATGATTACACCAATTAATCGCAGAAAAAAAAACACAAAAAATCTCTCCAAACAAATATAGAAAGCCACGAAATTGATAGTATGTACTTAACGTTGATGGTAATGGAACATAAGCAATTCTTTTTGACTATTTGTTCCTAAACTATGTAAGTTAGATATTTACAATTGCATTTGAGGCGTTGATTGAGCGATAGAGAAATAATCGGCATAACTTTTAGAAATATTGCGATATTACGTATTAAAACATTATTAAGATCAGTAGGAGAGATCTACACTACTGTAATTCATTACATTAACTGTTCCAGTACGATATATGTACAAATAAACATCAACACACATGTCACACGTCATAAATCGCATCAACCATGAGCCATAGGTCTTGTATCTTGTAACATTGCACCCATTTATCACGGTATTATGTTTTAGTGAGAGTTTTGTGATTTGATTTTAGTTAGTTTTTAGTTTGTCCCTTCAAAGTGGACACTAATCAATTGGTCGTAGTCTAACGCGCACGATGAAATAAATACTTACGAAGAATGAAAAGAAACGTAACAATAATTTGCATATTATTATTAAGACGAATTCTGACTACACATTTATAGATTAATTTACATTTGTCTGCTCAAATTTGTCAGCAAAGATTCCAAGTTACCAATATTTTGATACAATAGACTGATTTATTAATGAATGTAATTTATTTCAAGGCTCCATTATACACATTTCGATGATACAAATGCAATCTTCCCAAATTCTGCTTATTTTTCTATTGTATACTCTATATTTATAAAAAGGAAATTACAAACAAATCAAACGGACAAGAGAACATCATAACTTTGTAAAATAATTAATATAACACGATATTTATGCAAAATATGCACGTTTTCATGATCCTCGTGGAGTTTTCGCAATGGAAACGCATCCGATCCGTTCTGCTTGTGAAAAATCCACGCGGTGACTAGGCATAGAAGGCGAACACTTTAGTCGTACGGCACGTATCAACACGAAAACGAGGACGAGGACAAAGCGAACACATTGAATTTACTCGTCATCTAAGCAGCAAATAATTAAATTGATCATTGCGTTCAACCATGCGTATATTGCGTACCTTGATTAAGAGAGCGTTGAATTTTAACATTATTCTACGAACAAATGTTGTAAGTACGTTTTAAATTTTAACGATAACGAAAGTAAACTACTTGTAATGTGTAACAATGTTTAAGGTGAATTTAAAACAAAGTTGAAACCGAAACAAATCGTAGAGCTTAGTGGAACTATTCATGAGAATAAAATTAAAGTATTTATTAACGTAAGGATTAAAACGAAGTATAAATCGATGGGAATTTGATGGAACTCTTTGCAGTTGAATGTTTTTCTTTTGGTTTCGATTTGGAAAATCTGTTTACGTTCGAGAATTCGCTTTGGTTGAACAAGAATCAAAACTGTAAACGATGTTGTTTATCGTATATCACTTGCGAACTGTGTTATGATTGTTTGAGCTCGTTGTTCACAGGCGCCTATTCATATTTGGTAAATGCTTTTTACAGCTTTAACTCGGATACTTTCACTACAATTGTGAATAATTTTCAGTGATTATTATAAAATATAAATATATGGAAAATATTTCTGTTGGTTTAATATTTAGGTAATTAGTAGGGCGTTTTAGAGATTCGCTGGACCCGCAAGGAGTGATGGGGAACGTTACTCGAGTGCAAGTCTCGTGCTGGTAGCCCACAGGTATAAAAGGGCAGTGCGGAGCATTTGCAGTCTGAATTGTCCAGCAGAACAGTGGCGTACGACGATTCAGGAAACAAGAAATTTATCTGAATCGTTTTGTAGCAACTTTCCAAATTAAAAGTTGCAGATCTTTATTTGTTCAATATTAAATTTGATAAACATTTTATCTTGTAGATTAAGCTTTCATACAAGCTATAAGTATATGCAGCGAACAACAGTTACCAAATTTGCACCACACCCACGCAGTCCAACAGGTCCAACAGCAATAGAATAATGACGAAATATCCTAACGCGTAATATAACTGTACCACGCCAGCTAACCACACAGCAGATCTGGACTAAAATGAACTAACATTAGGAAACCCATCGAATTGCAAGCAACTAATGCCGGATCTTATTCGAACGACATGGAAGCATGCCAAGTGTTGTATTATTACATCATTTTATTGCTAAGTCTGCCTTGCGCCTTGTGCCTTGGATGATTAATATGTATAACACACCACACGCTGTATAAATTGCTCCCATACTAGCAATTCAAAAAAAGCGTATAAAGTAGGAGTACTTAGTTGGTAGGCGAGAAAGAAGTTCGGTTGACCTGTCATCATGACATACGGACCATGTGCCTTTGATGTGCACGCGTCCCAATTCCATATTACGTCGAAAACAAGCGCCGCCATGATGGATTTAATTGAACACTGAGTGAGTGTTTGCGTCCGCCGTAATGAAATTCAAGCGATGAATTCCTTGCATACTCGCACTCGTCGCACGTTCTCGGGAAGGACAAGGACACCGCCGATGAAATCATTGTTTACAAATAGAATGTGTTGATCAATTCGCCTTCGCGCATGAGACGCCGTTGAATAACGTTGCACACGCCTGGGAGTACCTGGTTGAAATTGTACACTTCGAAAAAGTTTAATTTATGCATGATGATATCATACGTGATAGCATTTGATAGTTTACCATTAAAAAAAACTGGTATTATCATTGGAAGAGAAAAGATCGTCATGTTTTTGGCCATATTTAGGTCGTAACCAAAGCAAAAGTTGCAAAAATTCATTGAATGCAGGATTGATTTGAGTGCAAAAGGCGATATCTTTAACTGTTTAACCTCGATGACATCATTCGAAACGATCATACCGTCGAAATTAATCATATTTATTAGTAAGCAGTATTTTATTGTGGAAATAAATTATGTACATGTGTTTCGTACATTAAATTAAAACAACATTTGTTGTATCATGGTCAATTTATTAAAAAAAAAATCGTTGAGTTTAGGTTTTAATGGGTATAATGTAGTGAAAAAAGTGTTTGTTGTGCCCTATGAAAGAAATGTTTTCCTTTCGGTGGAAAACCTAATGTTAGCATTCGCCGTGGCACGTGACCCCCCTCGAGGACCTCCTTCCTCTGGCCGTTTGGCAGAGCGCGCAGCGCGTTGTGATCCTCGCTAGTAATCCGGTTTAGTAAGTCTCGTCGATCGCGGCAAATTTAGTTGCTTGCATTTCGCCCATTGTGCGCGTCGTTCGTTTTTTTTTCCTTCGAAAACTTTGACAGTCAATTGAAGACATGGCGAAACTTGGTCTGTTACTTCTCTGCGCCGTCTTGCTGCACACAGGTAATATAATGCGTTTTTTTGTGCGTCACACAAGTTTGTTTAACATATAAATCCGTCTAATCCTGGCTTTTCATTAACTATTTTTAAGTTAACGCTTTGGTTTGGTTTTGAGTTGTTTTGGTCAGTGATATCAACGGCTGGCGCGCCCGCACTAGCAATTATTTTTAAAACAGTTACGCAAAGTAATGGCGCGCGCTTTTCCGTGTTTCGCATGCATTCTATGCGAAATTATCGCTCTGGTACAACAAAAAAAGCAGCGCGATGATAGATGTGCACGATCTATGCAGGAATTGTTTCCAAGGTTGTCGCTATAACATTGGAAACAAAGCAAATCATTTCACACACTAAAATGTTTAAAACGGAGTAAGTTTTGTTCGTCATGCATGCACAAATGTTCAAAGAAGCAAAAAACATTGGCCGGATTCCTAAAAAACGACCTCTTTGCATTTATCAAACATACAATGGTTGAATTTTAAAAATAGAGGTAACTTTTGTCCACGGTTTGTCGCCATATTTCTCTGTGATATTAATAGAAAATGAAAACAGAAAACACGATTCTCCGCTCACACAGACAGGAATAAACTGCATTTTCGCCGAATGCAGGCGTCCGAAACGCCGTATATTGATTGCAACCGGCCAACTTGTATCAATATTTAAAATAAACCTAAAAGTAATTACGTATGATGTAAGCGTGCACGAATCGTCTGGGAAAAGTAATAAGATTAATGAAATACGGGCGATGAGATTCATCGCCCACTGAGGGGTAATAATAGCGAATCGAATCGAGCCAAATCCAATCGAATCGAATCGTCTCGTGCCTTCCGTGTTTAATCAGAAATTTACTTAACGAAATTGACGGAAATTGCCGCGATTACCACGTTTACAAAGCTAGATGTACCAACGGAGTGCGGTATTTCTCCGCTTCGTTTAGGATTAACATGCAAATTGGAAATGTTCACAACATGAGACGTCAACAGGAGACTTTTTCCAGTGGGGAGTAAATTGGTTTCACCTTTCCAAACGCGATTTTCTTCACCGCCTCCTCCAGGTTTTGTGCACACCGCGCGCGCGCGCGACTGTTTTTAATTTTGTCTATTTTTGAAATGTCAACGTCCTGCTTCACTTTAGTAGTTCAACAATGCACTTAGCAATGTGGGGGGATTGCGGAATGTAAACAGCATGATGTTTTTTTTTCGATATATATATATTCTTTCTGGTTATAATTTTATTTGAATTTTTCAGGATACGCTCTGCAATGTTACAACTGCGTGTCGACCGTGGCTAACAAAAACTGCGACGACTTGGCAGAGAAAGATAAAATTGCAGTGGCTACTTGTGGAAAAACCGTCGCTCCTGGTTACGCTGCCGCTTGTATCAAGAAAGTCATCCAAGGTATACACATTTTTATTTGCCAAACATTCAGTTTTGTTTTCTTCGAAAACAAAAACCGTTTCACTTTTAAACGGGGCTCAAAAAGTCTTCTGCTTAAATATTTGTGCGAAATCCATTGGTCCGCTTTGTTTACACACTCCATGTAAATTTACTCCCTTTAAAACGTAATTAGTCCATGCCTCGCTCAGCAACAGGACATCTATCATGCCACGGAAATGTCGCGCACGAGGCGCCGTAAAAACATAATGTGCGCTCGCATTGGCATCAACATCAGCGTTATGTTTTATGCGTACAATGAAACGCAGCTAATGAACCCGAGCTATACCAGTGCCTCATCAGTTTGATTACATTGACGGCATTGACGTGACCACCCCAGTGCGCTGCATAGGGTGAAAACTGCTTGAGGTCATCAATATTAACTTTATTAGGTGTAATATTCCTTGCTTGTTCTGTCGGCCAATGCGCGCGCTGGTGTGACGGTATTAACATTTCTTTTCCTTCATTTTGTTCCGACCCGGATGTGACGGATGTGTGCAGGGGTGTGAGTTACAGTAAACAAACATTCGAATTGGAACAAAAATTACATATGGCGATATTAAGCTCAGTCGATAAAATTTCAAATGTACGAATGTAAACAGTCGTAAATTCAAAACGGAGGTAAATGTGTACGTGGTCATTTTTCGTCCTTGGAAGGCACCTAAAGCTGCATAAGTTACTTTATTGATATAGTAATTATCTTATTTATTTCTTTAAATTGTTTTGTTTTTAACTGAGCGCGCAACCAAAACAAATATCAAACAATGTTAAATAATCATTCTTTGCTTCATTTTCACTCTAATTACTCAATAATTCCTAAATTTACAAATCTATAACATATATTTATTTATATTTTGATTTTAGACAAGACTACCAATGTCCAGAACACAACCCGTGCGTGTATCCTGACGAAATCGGACGCAAACGCACGTGAATGTGACGCAGCCTCCGACAGGATCAACGTTGTTGCTTGTGAGATCTGCAGTGATGATCTCTGCAACTCTGCCGAGCAAACACACTTCGGTATCTTCACGTTGGTGGCCGCAGCGATGGCTTTCGTTGCCGTCCAGCGTTTGCACTAGAACCACATCCGTCCAGCAAATCAATCGTCAGCATAGGATTTGAAAGCAACGAAATAATAGCAAATAATTGGAGATTGGATGCGGACGAGATGGACGTGAACAAACTTCACAATTTTCACAAACTTGATTGCTGTGGTTCAATTTTGAATGTACATCTCAATGTACTAATATTCAAGTAGTGCAGCGTTAATCTTAAGTTGATAAACACATGTTTGGATTGGCGGTTATTGTAGGCGTTTCAAGTTGCACGAATCTCTTGCAAATCTCTGTGTAATGAATATCTTTAGTAATTTATGAACATGTAGCATGTTGTACACGCGAACGCGAATAGGTAAAATGTACGAATTGTTAGCTGAATATGTACTTGGTGTGTTAAATTTTTTTGTATTTTTGTTATTAACACGTTTATTATTAACGTTATTTGGATAAATCAATCGATTTGAAACTGGTTGCTAAATTGTTATGTATAATTGTCGTTTCTTCGATGTGTAGCACTCTGGCATTGTTCAATAGGTTGCAAATTTCTTCTTCTTGTAATTAATCTGTCATAATTTATAGAATTACTTAAATTTCTTTGTAATTTACCAGTTAATAAACGTATATTACTTAGCTTAACCAAAGAAATCAAGATTGCAAGGTTATTTATGTTGTTGTGGTGTAAATTTTGATTAAATTGACAAAGAAAACACTGCTTTTGCGTGTTCGGCACTTGCATCACAACTCAAGCATTGTCCCTTGTTCGACAAGTTGCAATACAATGTCTAACCAACGTGTTAAACCTGATTTATGCATCCGAAAAGCATAACACATAAAAAATCTTCATGTTCGTGCATTGTGATTAAAACATTTTAAGTCACCTCACTTAATTCGCGTTTGTAAATTGCTGCTGTAATTCGGTGAGTCAGTTTGGCTTCAGCAAACGTACAATGAGCGCTCATTGTGCGTTCACGTCTCCACTACACAATGCAAAGTAAACAAATAATGTAATCCTGCAAGTAATTCAATTAACATAATTAATTGGTCGTTCATGTCGTCTGTCTCGAGCTGACCAAACCTTGATCATTAAAGTTTTACAAAACGCGTGTGATAAGCATTTCGGATTGAAAACAAAATCTGCTTATTCTTTTGTTTAATTTATGTCCTAATCATTTTTATTTTATAATGAAATTCAACTATCATTGTCCTGATATTTATTTCGTTTTAAAACCAAGTAGGTACTTTGATTGTATTTGTTTTATTCAATTGTTTTCCCTTTCAAAAGTGTTTGTTTGCAATAATTGTGATAACTCTAAATGCAAACGGAATGCCTTTGAAGACAGGTGTGTTGAGTAACAAATCGCACCCAAAGTTAACAATAACAACTACATAAACTCCAGCATATTATAATTCTATATACTTTTGTAATTTCTGTCGAGGTGACCCAAACAATGATTCACTTGTGATTTAACACAGACGATGCGTAAGCAAACGACATTTAAGATATGTGTTATTGTCATAATTTTATTCACAAATATAACGTAATTTGTGAAGTATGCCAGGCACAAAACTCGTGACTAACAATTGCCTTCCAATGATGTGTTAAATAAGTGAAAAATCAATAATAAAACTGCGCGATGTGTATTAATACAGAATATTGAAAATAATCATGGAACATTTTACTGGATTTGACTCAATTACAGATTAACAAGAGTGAAAAATCAATTCTCCGCTGACAAAAGAAAGTTTTTCAACTTGTACATTAAATAATACGCAATTTATATGTAATAATCTACTATTTTCAAGTGGACTGCAATTTAAGGTGCTTTGCTGAATTCACGCCCGACACGAAGATGAACGCTTGACCTCATCGTCCATGTCGCTTGCCGGTTAATTGATTAATTGAAACGACAACAATCGTTAGGAATTGCTCGAATTGTAACTCTCCAGTGCGCTCATGATTATAAACTTAACCAACTATAAAGATAAAAAGTCAAAGGAAAATTAAAACGGGAAGAGGCACATATTACAAGACAATGGCTTCGACTTAATCATCTGATGAGAAGTCGCAGATATAATTTAATTAATTAAATTATTATTTCCGTGTATGGCGAGTGGAAATTCACTCTTGCCGCGCGTAAAATGTAAACGCGTGCGAAAAAACAAAACACCGTCAAACAAATCAAAGCAACGATGGCGCGAAAACGGGGTCACGTTTTTAGCATAATTACGCGCACTTTTCATACTTATTGCAATCCAATATCGTTTACACCGCCAGCACTGGACTTAGAATTCGATTCCAACCAAAGCCACCTGCGGCTGATTGTGTCGTGCTTGCGTTTTTCCGTCCCAGATGCATTAACTGCCTGATAAAAACGCGATAAAATGCGAAAAACCGAATCGGAACAGTACACACAAGTCAAAACAACTTGCAAAAAGTGCTGCAAATGCAACATGTTGATTTGCTTACACTTGTGTTTGTCGTAAACATTGCAAAAATTCAACACAGATTTCAGATCGAACGCAATCATAATAAAAATAACATGCGACTGGAATAATCAGCATGCAGTTAATTAAACGCGCCCTTGGCCACGCGAAAGAGTAGAGATACATTCAAAACATCCATTCGATGGTAATTTCACAACATCACAATAAGTAGCATAATAAGCTCTAATGGAAAGAGCGATTTATTTATTTTTTCGTCAGCCGCTTATTTAGATACACTGAAATTGTATTTTATTAGACACTAAGTATAATCGAACGTAGACTCAATCGAGCAAATACCCGCATTGATAGCTCAATATTGATTATTTAGTTATTGACTGCTGACTACTGGGAAAACTGGCTTTTGTTCCCAGTCATAGTTCAATATATAATTGATATTAAGTGTCAAATATATGAATCTACTTGAGTAAAACTTAAAAAAGTGGGTTTGAGTTTTTTTTTAAGTTTTAAAGCTGCAATTACAGAAAATACATCGCATTTTATTTAATAATGTGTAAAAATAAACTTTACGCACCGCCAACATAAAATTTTGTCGTTTTGCAGTTTTTACTGCAAATTAATGGCCAGCAACTTCACTATTTCTATTCTGGAAAATCGTACCTAAAGCAATAAACTTCTATTTATCGATGATGATGCAAACAAATTGTTTCGCACTGTATAATTATAAAATACGATCGTATTCTCATCAAACGTCTTTTTTTTTAACAAAACTTGCGGATTTCGTTTGTATTAATAGTGAAGGTGGCCGAGGATGTCCTCAAAGTGAAATTAAGCATGACAAAAGCAAAAACAATTGAGTTTATGCACATCGTAGATTTGGGTGTTGCCCGATTTGACTCACGTTTGCCAGCAATACCCATGGTAACACATTGAAGTCCATCCATCTCGCATCGTGAGTAGGCAGCACCTATGGAGTAGGGGTCCATCGCTTAAAACATACAATAATCGTGGAAATGAAAGCCTTCGGCTAGTCGCTGCTGCGATTTGACGAACTTTACTAGCGCGCAATACCACGATCACCAGTGCGTAGACAACTCGTGCGTTGTTAAAAAAAAACTTCTTGTGCTGCTTGTAAAACCACAAAGGCAACCATGGCTTCCATTCAGCTAGTTTTATTAATCGTCAGTGCGTTCGCTGTTTTTAGATCAGGTAAATATTTTAACTTTATTGCGCTGTAAATTCAAGTTGAAGTTGAGGTAAAACTTTCACAGATGATTACTTGTGATATAAATATTATTAGTGTCGGGAAAGTGCGGATAGTTATTCCAAGGATAATCAAAATCATTTTTTCCACATTCTCCCGCTTTTGATGTGCGCATTGCATGCAGCCCGACCACAATGGAAATATGAATATAATAATCTGTTATTGCTATTCTCCGCGCGCATATTTTCAAGCAAATTACCGCAAATAAAAAAGTTACATAATCAAATCAAACCCGAACTAATGATAACGATCTTTTTTAAACAAATTACCACCGAAAAAACTTCATTTCGGCGCAACTACGCCATCAAATCGATGGAAGAAGGCAAAGGTAAATGTTTGCTACGCCCACGATTTGCGCCGGCCTATTATTGTTGATATTGCGCGCGTTGTTTGCGCGCTGACATTGAAAACACAGCGGTGCACAACAGTTCGGTGAGCAGCACCTGAGTCTGTCCAGAAAATATGCGATTATGGCGTAATCGACATCTGCGAGGCATTTAATTCGCGCTCCAAGGTGAACCTGCTCCGCGCCGAGTTGACATTATAGCAATTATTTGTGGTTTTCTCTAGCTTCGACTAACGCCCCGTTAATGTGTGTTATGTATTCGTGGTCGCCATTGTTTCATACAAGAAATGGCGCGCCAATTATTACAGTTTTCTCAACAGCAAGCGTGCGCTTCTCCTGCTTTTATATTTATAAAAGTCATGCATGTTTAAAGTCATTTTTTTATTAGTTGCGTGAAACACAACGTTTTCGAGAGTAAAATGCATTTTTTTTGTCAATTTAGCTTAAAATTTCTTGAAAAACATTTAAAAAATAATTGATACCATAAAGTTGATTAAATTTTTATTTAATACTTTAAATGAAACTTCTACTTCGGAAATTTATTGACCCAGAAAACGCCAACATTGACTAGAAACGAAACTTTCAGATGAGTTCATCTAATAACTCAAATCGTAGCCACAAAGTAAAAGTTTCCAAAGCAAATCTTTGCCTTCGTTGAATACGAAGAGTTTCCTCAAAGGATAAGCAAAGATTTCATCATTAATGCGACTGTTAGAAAAAGTTCTCATCGTGTGACCCAGAAACAGTTGTTGTCGTGTGTTTTGTTTTGTTTGCGTCTTCCAACAACGCAATAACATTCTCTTCTTCCGCTCATTTAAACACCGCATCTATGTGCTTCTATCGCTCATAATTCGCCTTCTACGTTGAACTTTTTATTCGTATATAAATGCCACGTTAATGCACGCCGAGTTAGAATTCTAACGGTACGAAACACTTTTCGATCTTGTGTTCATTTGCGGTGCGCTGTTGCAATATAACTACATTTAAATTGTAGTTTTTCTAGTTTTGTACGTCGGATGGGATGTTGCAACGATATCCGACACTCGGATTCGAAACTTTCACTTCGCGCGCGCAGATATTTTCAAAACGCTATCGCATTCACAAATAATCAATTATTAGCAAAATAACAAGTGTAAAACACATATAATATTAATATCTATAATATACATTTGTCGTTTCTTGCAGGCGAGGCATTAAGATGTTGGACATGCTCGGCCGACATGGGCGCACCTTGCGCTGATTATTTCAACACCACGCAGTATCGTCCGTATACCGGCTCAAACTACTACCAGCCCTACGGTGGCGGCAGTGTTGGAAACCAAATCGCCTTGCAGGATTGTGAACAACAGGGTGGTAATATTCCTCTTCGCAATCAACGCGCCGTATGCATGAAAAAGAAGCAAACTAGTAAGCAATTTGTGGCATAAAATCATCGAAAATTTGGCTGAATTTTGGTTCTGATGTAGCTTTCGGCCGTACGACTTACATCCGCCAATGTCGTTTCCTCCACTACGATGAGAAGGTAGGCGCTTGCCCAACAGAAACCACTGGCAGCTCGACCACCGTCGACTTCTGCGAGTATTGCGACTACGACGGTTGCAATGGCGCCACGACAATGCGCAATTCCTTCCTGCTCGCTGCCGTCCTACCTCTCGTTGGCATGCTGCTGCTGAGGAAGTAACTCCTGCACGCCGCCGCGTGCATCTAATTATCTAATCGATTAAGTTCGTGTTTGTTATAGCTATTAATATGTTTTATTTTTCTCAGTACAAAGTGCATCTCACGCGAAATTGACGAAATTCACCTCCTTTTTTTTTGTGTTTTTGTATGAAAGTCTTGCTCGAGTTTTGTAAATATAATTTGACGAACAAAAAGCGAAGTAAAGCAGTAAATAATAGTAAATTTAAATAAATAGGAAAGCGTTTTAATTAGCACTGTATTATTATTCACCGTGAATTTACTCCTCTCCTGCCCCACGGTGATTTTTTTTTTTTTTTGTGAATTTTCGGTGCGTTGCTTTTAAAGAGCGCATATTTTAAGAATTGCGTGGTCGGAGAGGTTTGAGGTGAGGCGAATTACGTAATATTGTTATTTTGAATACGCCGCGACCTTGGTGGGCTTAATTAACCAGTTATAGGCAGATCGCACGCGTCGTTAACTCCGTTGACTCTTCGCGCGTTTCAGGTGATTCAAGCGCACGAGTCATTCTTATTTTCGTTTTTTTTACAATAGCGCTTATACAGAATACATTAGCGAAACAAGTTTCGCATCGCATATTTCACAGAGTTATTATTTAGATGTGAGCAGTGTTATAAAGTTGATTTCGGCTTTTATTGATTGCACGTTTTTTGAAACAGAAACAATGTTAAACGTGAACAACATTTGGTTTATTCTAGTTGTAATTAATTGGAAGACGAGGATGGGTTTGCAAGTAGAGTGGTTTGGCAGAATGCTTTGGAATAGTCGTACATGCCGAAAAAGATGTAGCCGCCGATGGTTATCCACATCACTCGCGGTACAATACCGGCGAAGAATCTTAAAAACAACATAATTATAAGTTAATATGAGATGTTCAAGTCTGATAATTCTAATTATACCCACCCATTGAATCCTTTACTTTGATAGACGGACATCCAAACATCCGCATACTTTAATGCCGTTCCCTGATTGCGCTCCGCAAGCATTATTCGTGTTTTAACAACATCTAAAGGTGTTGTCACGGCCGCGGCAATTCCACCGGCCACTGCACCACAGTTTGCAACTTGTAAAGAGTTTAAAACTTCCGAATTGTTTAACTTTCGGCTGTAGACTTGCTTCAGGTACTCTAATATAGGCAACTGTATGAACGAAAAGGGAATCTCACGTATCACAGTCGAACCAAAACCTCTATACAGACCCTGAAAACGAAAAAAATCGCAAGTCAAACTACTAAAACAAACGAAACCATTATCCTACCATAAATCCTTCATTCCGATACGCTGCTAGCGTTATTTGCACAACACTGTGATGGCTCACTTGTCGGCGTTGTTTAACAACTTCCATTGGCACGCGCACCAAACATGCGACAATTTCGCCAAGAGATGCGCCCACCATGTACACCACAGGCAAAGCACTTGTGTGCACAAGTGGAGATGCAAAGTTTTTGACTGCTTCATAGGTGCAGAAAAACAAAGCAGCTGCAATCCAACCAAATCATTAACAAAAATGATATAAATTGATGTTTTTAACAACCTTGTGGTGCACTGCCAATGATCTGTGGCCCAATTCCTTTATAAATGCCGCGAAATGCTCCAGCCTGTCTAAAACCCTGTGGGGCTTGCAGTCTTGTCTTCAATGTATCCAGAGGGAACAGTGACATGTCCACAGCCATGCCAGCCATCCCACCACCCTAAAATTCAACAATTTGGTATTACTCTAGTGAAATTCTTAATGAAAACCTAGAATACTTACAAATAATGAGGATAAATATAAATTCTTGTCCATTTTTACAATAGACACCTTTCAGTTGTAGGTAATTCGATTATATTGTGCTCAGCAGGAGAGATTGCTGTTGCTTCAGACACAACAATTGGTTTTGCAACCCTTATCTGTAAATATTAGCATCACAGGCTTTTATTTTCATGTGATGGCAGTAAGGTCGGCAGCGATTATCTTCTTCCATATTGCGCTATTTACAGAACACGCACGCACTATCGCATCGTGTAATAAAACCAAATAGTTTAACTTTATAGTAGTTACACGCGACTGAAGATAAAAAATATTCACAGCTACTGACTGCATGCGTAGATTACATAACCTTGCCGATAAAAAAAACGCTACTGAATTCTTTAATTAGTAATAAATAAGTGAAAATGGAGATGATTTAGTCTAATATTGGGTTTAAATTAATCTAATTTATAATTACACATAAAAACATACCTTTTTGTTGAGTGAATGATTACTTTATGAAGTTATTAACTTAAAATTACAGTTATGCTACTTTAATGCGAATAAACGCTAATAACTGCATGAAAATCTTATCAAGCATTGTTGAAAGCAAACAATTGCAATCCCTGCATGCTAAATATTTGTTTACCGCTTTTATTTGATTAAAATTATCTTTTTTTTTTAATAAAATGTTAATGCATTACATATTTAAAAGTGTTTTATTTGAGATGTCTTAGAAGTATTCCATCTTTCTTGATACTTGTTTAATAAATAATTTAATTAATTGTTATAATTTTGTTTCAGTCAATTGTTTGAAACAATTGCATATTGGTTGCCTAGAGTAAGAACAATGTATATTTATTTATTTGATCAGATCTAACCTCAAAGATAATAGAAATTTTGTGGGGACGAGCGGTGGTGCTCTGCGTTTTCGATACTAAATTCTATTTGTGATAAATTAAGCAGTGATATTTTTCCGTCATGGGTAATATATTCAAAAAGTCTAAAGTCTCTAGAATCACAACGCAAGACCGGGCGGTGCTGGTAAGATTGCAATAAATCCAATAAAAATTAAAGCTTGAATTCACGCTTCATTTAAAATAATGCATGACGTTTCGTACAATAATTGTATCAAGACACACTTTGATTATTTCCCAGCAATTGAAACAACAACGAGATAAATTACGTCAGTATCAACGGCGTGTAGAAACATCTCTTGAAAAAGACCGGGTATTAGCGAAGACACTGCTCGCGGCCGGCAAAAAGCCGTAAGTTTATAATAATTCCACAAACATTTCATATGTGAATGATTGAATATATTGCGGATTTCAGTCAGGCGTTACTCTTATTACGCAAGAAGCGGTATCAAGAAGGACTTCTTGAAAACACCGACCGCCAACTGCATAACATCGAACAGTTGGCTGCCGACATTGAGTTTGCATCAGTGGAAGTCCAAGTGGTTGATGGCTTGAAAGCAGGCAACAAGGCATTGCAAGACATCAATGCCACAATGGATCTTGATGAAATCGCACAGATTATGGAAGAGACGCAGGAAGCGGCCGCGAAGCAAGAGGAAATCAACGCGATGCTTAGCGGTGTGCTAACATCGGAAGATGAAGACGCCGTCCTGCAGGAGTTGGATAAACTCATCCAGGAGGAAGTGGACGAGCTGCCGGTGGTTGCCGCCAGTGGCGATGTTGAAGCCGAAGAGGAGGAGGAGGAGATCCTTACACTGCCGATTGTTCCTGACGATAAGATTAGGGTGAAAGAGGAGCGCAACACGCGCCAACTCGAGGCCGCATCATAATCCGGTACAATGTGATTTATTTTTTATTTTTTGGTTTATGTACTACATTATGTAGTAAATTATGCAGACAGACGTGAAACGTACTTGCGCGGGAGAGTGTGTGATTCTTGTACTAACATTTCTGTAAGATAAATTATACGTTTTTATTAATATTCGTGTTTCAATTATAGGAATCTGGTGATTCTTGATTTTCTTGAATTTTAAAGAAAAACATGCTAGTTCTTTAAATATATTTATATTTTTTTATAGAAAAGATATCTGCATATAATTTTATTGCAAATACTGTGCATAATTCATCAAACATCATAATTTGAGTATAACATTGTCAAGTGCAAAAAAAAGGGGAGGTTAATTTGTTTTTAGTTGGATGTAATCATACCAACCGCCAAAACTAGCATTAAATATATGAGGCAAACCTAAAAAGCAAGTTTGTGCAAAATTTCGTATTAATAACGCTAGTTTTGGTCCAATGATAGCAGTTTTAGTTTTAAAGCTCCAGTTCAGCCTCTTCTTCTGCAGTGAGTTCAAAACTCTGTGTAGGTTTTGCAATTGCTTCCTCCATGTACAAATCATCATCCACTCCATTGTAGATTCCATTTCTGATCTTGCCATTACTCTTTCCAACCTTCAGTTGTTTTTGTTCAGAAGGTGGCATACTGAGATCACCTTCATACTCTAGGAATTCATTCTGCGCCAATCTCCATTCCATATCCTCAGTGCTGAAATCATCTCTGTTACCCAGTGTGGTGAAACCTACCAATTTATCCACCATAATACCATTGTGAATGGAAATAATTGACGGTATCACTTTGATTTTAAGTTTTTCGGCAAGGAACGGGCACTTTTCTGCATTCAACTTGGTGAATAAGACTTCCATGTGTTTCGGGGCGAGAATCTTGAAGTGTTTGTCGACGATTCGACACCGTTCATTGGAATTTGTGTAGAAATGAATGATAACTCGCTCTGACTTCTTGATGACTTCAAAGAACTGTTTTTCTTCGGGCAGCTCGTCGTAGCTGCCGTGTCCATTCTGCTTCCACTCTCGCAGTTTTACTTCCCTATCCTTCATCTCTTTGATGCGTTTCTGGCGAAGGGCTTCGAAATCTGAGGCGTCCAAATTGTCGAGCTTCTCAAGGGCTGCATCAACTTGCATATCAATTGCCTTCGTCACCTGCTCAAGTTGCGCGTTCATATCCATTGTGTTTTCGGTGTTTTTAAGTGATATATTATCGTTAAACAGAAATTTATTAATTTACAGCACGTGCTGCAGTAATTAGCGAACGTTTATTAACCGGGTGCGTTGAGGTAATGTAAATTAAAAACGCGATGGGAGACAGTCAAGTGACGTCATGTTTCCCTTGTTATTATTAGTTCAACTTTTTACCACCAGACTTTAAGTTAAATTAAGGTTTTTTGACGTCATTTTATTAGTTTATGTAAACTAATAGTTACTTCAGCTTAAAATTTTATGTTGGTTTAATAATAATTTAATATATATTTTAATAAAATACATTAATTCCGCTTGTAATTCTAATAAATCTAGTACTGATTCAAATAATTTGAGCGTCAACGGTAGCGCCCTCTGTATATCACAAAATATCCGTCATTGCTAAATGTTTTTATTTTCCTAGCGCACATCCAAATCGAAATTATATGTGTTTATCGCGCTTATCATCGTTACCGGCACTCTGAGGTCTGAGGACACTCAAAATCGCCAGTAATTGCGCGTTCTATGCTGTATAATGCTGAAGGCTGCCAGTAACCTCTTGCCCAACGGAGTATTCAGCTGCCTGACCGCCGCATATTTTAAAGGTGAGTGCAATCGCTTTCACCTGCGTATTAGTTCGATTGCGAATGTTTTGCGGCGCGCTCTGTGTTGGGTAATCGAACGTCTGCGATAATTTCCAGCTTCAGCGCTCAAACAAAACGGACTCCGAGGCATGCATAGCACACCGTCGTTGATTCAACTCGAGAAGTTGAATATTCAGGTTTTGCCTGCCCTGTCAGACAATTATATGTATTTGGTATGCATTTTAAATGTTGCCTAGGGGCTTTTAATTATAAAGGAGATTTCTGCAGATTGTTGACAAGGCGACGAATCAAGCGGCGATCATAGATCCGGTCGCTCCTGATGATGTTCTCAAAGCAGTGGCTGAACAACAGGTTAACTTGACAAAGGTTTTAACAACACACCATCATTGGTAAGGATTTAAATCTATAATATTTTACTGTTTTATCAGTTTATACTGATAAAAATAGTGCGCCGTTGAGCTATATTTCAATGAAATAATTAGAAATTTTAAAAAGATCAAGTCAAAGACTTTTATAATTGATGTATTTATTAATGTAATTATGATGATTTAGGGATCATGCAGGGGGAAATCTTCAACTGATCCAGAAATCAAAGAATCCACTCCAGGTCTTCGGCGGCGATGATCGAATCGATGGTTTGACGAATAAAGTGGGCCATGGTGACAGCTTCACCATTGGCGAAGTAAACGTGGAGTGCCTCGCGACTCCTTGCCATACAACCGGCCACATTTGCTATTATCTAACAGCCCCAGGTCAAACACCGGTGGTTTTCACCGGTGACACTTTATTCATCGCCGGTTGCGGACGTTTCTTCGAGGGTACCGCCGAGCAAATGTATTCCGCACTCGTGGAGAAGCTCGGTAAACTACCGGACAACACACAGGTATTCTGCGGGCACGAGTACACCGTATCGAATCTAAAGTTCGCACAACACGTGGAGCGAGATAATGCCGATATAAAAACGAAGCTTGCATGGGCGATGGCGCAACGCGAGAGTAACATGCCCACCGTCCCGGGGACGATTTCCGAAGAGAAGCGTATTAATCCGTTTATGCGTGTGCATGCGCCCGGCGTACAGAAGCACGCGTCCTGCAGCGAACCTCTGGACACGATGCGCGTCATTCGCAAGGAGAAGGATAGCTTTAAAGCTTGAGGATATTTTTGATATTGTTACAATTGGTTATATGCATTTATATTTCTACTGACTTCTTACGGATACGTACACGGCATATTTTTTATTGGAAATGTTATTGAATCTTAATTGAACAAAGAAATACGTTTGGGGAAGCAAATGATTGAGTTTTGCGCATAAATTACAAATAATCTGGGCCATTCTTGTAAAATTTTAATGAAATGCAAGTTTGATAACAGTATATCATGCATGCAAGAATCAATTCTATTTCAAGTCTATATCCTAAGAAATTATGATACAAATCAACTGTACATTCATCATTTGAAATTTTCTTAAAAAACTAATCACAAAACGAGTGTTAATGCATGCTAACTAAACAAAATCACGGTATGCACACGATTTATCTACAGTGACAGTCCATTCACTCGTAAATCATTAATGAATTACATATCGTATCCTCCATTTATCACTTTGTTGAGTGAACTTATTTTTTTAAATTATATTCAGTCATCTCCGCCGCGTACTTCTCTTTCGAACGCTCGTACATGTCCACATACACTTGCTTCTGCACCGTGCTCAGCGTTTTCCACTTGATTGCTAACTGCCGCGTCAATTCCTGCTTGTTCGGTTCAATTTGGCCGGGTTTCAGCTCGGCTACCAACTGCTCCATCAGCGGTTGACGCTGTTCTTGGCAGAACTGGAAGAATGGATTGGATGGGCGTTTTGGCGCTCGCGGATCTTTCTCCGCCTTGGAGACTTTTCGCCTAGGTGGTTTCTTGCCTTTTATTGGTTTTTCTTCACCCTGCTGGGTTGGTTTCTTTGTTTTGTTAGTGGATGATGGCTTGGACTCCTTCTCTTCTTTGATCTTTGGTTTAGAGGGTGGATTTGATCCCATTGCCTCATAAGCTGCTTGAGGTATTTCAGTCCAGTCTTCTGAGTATCTAGCTTTTAGGCGTTCTTTTATGTATTCAACTTGATCCAGTCTACGTTTCGTGATTTTTTTCACTTCTTCAATTCTAAATCATATAAAATATTAGTGAAAATGTATAAGATTGCATAAAATGTATTATTTTACCTGAAAACTAATCTTTCATTGCTTTTTTGTATGGTTTCACATTCTTCCAAAAGTAACTTATATTTTTTATAATAAACATTGTTTTCGTGCAGTCTATCGCCATAAATCCCATCATTTTCAGAGTCATCAGACATCATTTTCAAGAATATTTTCTTCGTGATTTTAGGGTTTTAAGGTTAGGAAAAACAATTCCTCTAAAATTACAATAGACATTTAACATTAATCTAACCTACAGTTTAAATCAAACCTTTTCTCTTACAATTGTACCGGTCCATCAGCATTTAATGTAATACTTACATATTTGCTTGAGAACTATTAATAATTGGTTTTTGTTTGTAAAAGTCGTTAGTGGTCGTTGAGTTCATGACATAGTCCATCGGGTGAGTTAGTCTGCCAAATATACACTTCTTTCTGTTTCATTGATACAAACAATAACGCTGTGGTGAAACGTCTTTAGACGTATTTAAATGATAATTATAAACAATTAGTGCAAAATCCGCAATATATTACTGTTCAATTGCAAACGCACCAAATAAGAACCAGTACGTATACCTCACTTATTAGTCAACGAATTTTTAACAATAACTTGTAACGCATATAAATACTAACTCTGGGGGTAACCTTGGTTTGTGCTTAAAACTAACCAATTTATTATTTATTTACGTTTACGTATGCGTATTCCTATTGATTTAATAGACCCACATTTGTAACGATCAGATCTCGATGCTGCGTTCGTGGTTCCCTGCGAAGAGATGCGCGCGTAAAAGTGCTCCTATAGAAAACGACAGGAGTTATTAATAGCAGTTTCACCAAAGTGTTCAGCAGAGAGCCACAAATACTTAACATTGAGATAGGACTAGAAAACAGACAGGAAGTGGTGAGCCTTGACTTTAGATTTCAGTTCATCAAACACTCATATTCTTAGCTGTTGATGTATTTTTAGCAGCAGGATCATGTCTGGGAATAGCTCACCCTTGCACAGCACAGACACCTCATTGTCACTCAGCCCTGGCTTGCTCCCAGAGAAGAATACAGTCAATGAGCTGAAAACAATTGAGCAACACAGCAGTATTTCAGGTATTATTAAACTGCAAACGCGTTTTATAACATTTTCTAACCCAAATTGAATTTGTGCTTCAGAACACCTATCCAGTTTAAATAGTTTAGAAAACGATCGTTCATTGCTCGAAATTGAAATCAGCAACATTCCCGATCTCAACACAATTGTCGCCGATGTCTCGCCACCGATCTCTCTTAGTTTATCCAATTTATCCAACTCAGCTGGCAAGAACGTTAAAAGTGTGTTGGAAGAAATCCTTCACAATGAGCAGTTTAAGTCGGAGCGCTCCGACCGGCTCGATTCAAACGATGATGTCAGCTTGAATATTTTTGATGGCGTGAATCTGGATGACAGCAGCATCAATAACTATGTGCTCAAACTGAAGAGTCAGGAGTCGGACGTGTACAGCTATCAAGACGACGCGAAGGTGCGTAGTCTGGAAGACGCGCTCAGCGTCAAAGACAGTATTATTCAAGCGCTCAACGTCGAGGTGGAATCACTCAAGGATCTTGCCAGTAATCAGAGCACGTTGAGCATGAACACGACGCTCACCGAATACAAAATGTTTCAGGACGAATGCGCGACGAAATTTGTTAACTTCGAAAATGCACTGGCACACCGGGATTCCGTTATTGCGAAACTTAAAGATTCGTTGATAACCGCGCAGAAACATGAGGATGAGATGCGCGCTGAATGCGAGCAGTATAGCAAGGATATCCAGTGCGTTCAGACCGAACTCGCCGAAGCTGTGGAGTATATTAAGAAATGTAAATGCAAGTGCCTTGATACTAGTAATAAGAATGACTTCGATTTCGATCTAAACGCCATTTATGCTCAACTAGAGGAGCGTCTAGACTCGGATACCGAATTTATTGAGAGATTTAAACGAAGTATTAGTGAATATGTACAGTGTAAGCTAGGAAGAAATGATTCCGTCCATGAAGTGGAAATCAGCCGATTACAAGAGAAGCATGTGAAGGAAATGGACGATACGCGCAAATTCTACGAGGAGAAATGTGCGGACTTGTAAGTTTTGATGGTTTTTCTTTCGATTTTGAACTGATCAAATATTTTATTTGTGCTTTGCGAAGAGGTGAAACAACACAGTATGTTATCTTATGCAATCGAATTGAACGTAAACACTGACTGAACTTTGTATTTCTCTAGAATATCAAACGAATTAGTGAGTCCACAAAGTAGAAAGCTTTCCGATGAGGAGCTACAATCCGAGGATGATTTGTCTGACTTGTACGTGGGCGAATTTGCATCGAAATCGTTTTTGATTGAAGATAAATTGACGCCAGAGAAAGTGCACGCATTCAAGAACAAGATCGATGATGCATCGCTTGTTTTAAGCAAGTACGACTTGGAAAATCTCGGGGAAGACGCGCTCAATTCGCTGAAAACCACTTTGGATAGTTTTAGGTTTGTTGCAAATGCGCCGCTGGATGCGCATCATTATCAGGCGGAAATTGACAGTCTGCGACAACAATTGGATATTTTACAGCGTGCCAAAGAATTGAAAGATGCTGGTACACAGGTTAGTTTATTTACGCAGAAATTTAACTCTGTTTTTCTTAACTCACAGATATGAAAATGTGAAGAAGAATCATTATTTTGTGTGTTTTTTATTATTATTGAAGGCTAACTCCGGGGATCAAGAAATTGATGGCATCGTGCAGAGCTACCAAGTACGCCTTAACGAACAGGTGGAACAAGCTAAATTTGATATCATGTTTGCGTTGGAAAATAACATCTCAGTAAGTTATTTGTAATTACCATAGAAACTTTATTTTGACGAAATAACTTTTTGAGAAGTACGAATATTTTTTTATAAAATAAATTCAAATTTTTATTTATTGGCGTTGATTTCCACTAGAAACTAGCCGAAAGCGAGTGTAATGACGATGATTGGCCAAAGGAGTTTCTTGAAATCCGTAACAAACTCAGCGCCAAATACGAAAGGCAACTCGTCGACATCAAGAACCACCATGAAATGGAAGTGTCCCGCTTGAATGAGAAACTAAGTCAAGTGAGGAGCATTGCGAGAAATTGTATCACGCCACAGCGTTCACAAGATGGTTCCGACGATGAAGAAATTACCAAAGAACGCCAGACCACCAACACGCTGCGCAATTTACTCATCGACTGCTATAAATACTTTGGGCAGTGTGAGGAGGAGCTCAACACTACTTTGTTTGAAGAACTCGCCAAAAATTCCATGCTGGACTCCGACAGTGATCATAACATCCATGACTCGAATTCCAGCTCCTCTAAAACGGACGTATCTGCATCGAAGCGCGTGCATTTGGCTCCGAATATTCAGGAGTATATAGAAAAAATTGACAAACAGGCTGAGAATGTCTCAATGGAGTTTAAAAACGAATTGAGATTGTGTTTAGCGAGGTTGAAATCGGAAGCCAATGCAATTCTTGAATTAACTTGTAAGAATGTCGAAAGTGGATCGTCGCATGGAGTTGTGTTGCGCAATGAAAACGAGCGCCCGCTCGAGGATAAGATCCAGTCGCTCAGGATGCAAATCGCTTCCGATGCACAGATTAAAGAAGAGTTAAACAGTCAACTCTCTGAGGCGAAGCAGCTTGTGCAGACATTGGAAAATGAGAAGACTCAACTCGATCATCAGATGGAGGGTGTGATTGCTAAAAATAGAATCACCGAAGACGAGTTAGCGAGGGCGCGTGATAAAATCGGCGAGTTGATCGACTACGGCCGGAAAGAGGTTGTTTCCGAGGGGTACGGTGAGAATATGCTGCATGGTGGGTCGGTGCGAACACCGCTTGTGGAACTAAACGAGAGAGCGCGACAAATCATCGCCGAGAATAAATGCGACAGCAAAACACTGCGGATCATTGAGGAGCTAAGTCGGGAGTGTGATCAACTTGTAGAGGATGCAAAACGTGAACGTCTGGACTTTGTCTTGCAGGTAAAAACAAACATAGATTATATTATTATAACATTGTTGTCATGGTTTCTGTCGTCAATCATTTTCTGCTTTTGCGATTGTAATTTTTCGTTCACTTCATGCTTTTCGTCAACGCCCGGCGCAGATCGAATCGGCCGATAAGAAACTTAAATCAACACAAAGGTTCCTCGAGGAGCAGGCGGTTGAGCGCGAGCAGGAGCGCGACGAGGCGTCGAAAACGATCAGCGTACTGCGCGATCAGCTCAAGGATCGTCTTAAGGACCGTGCTGGTTACGAGCGCGTCAACGAGGAGGTAAGTGTGCGCGATGGACGCTTTTTGCATGCACGGCACGCTTTTCTTTTCACGTACTTGGTCCATTATTACTAACTGGTTTGGCGCTAATCCTGCACTACTCCTGCTTTAGACAATGGATCGTGGAGACACATGGGCGTGGGGCGATCGTGGACGAATCGTTCAGATTGAGAGAAGCGTAAGTCGTATGCAAAGCGCGAGCGTGCTGGAAAACGGAAAAACATTCGTCGCGAAGACTCGAAGTCGCGCGTCGTGAAGTTATTTTTGGTTTCACGCGCTCGTGCTATATTTGTGCTTCTTCCTGTCTTCAGGCATTCGGTCGGCGACGCGCGCCGTGTCTAGTGCCCGCAGACGACGTAGTTCTCAACACACTTTTTTATTCACTCTTTGCAAAATGTAGACAGCCGCACTAACTTCTCAGTGAGCAAACGCTAATTATTGTGTCTTGGTCAGGTCGAGGGTTTCGAGAAGCAGATGCACGAGATGTCGAAGCTGATTTCCGAAGGGGAGAAGCGTTTCCAAGTGGTGAATGTCGAACGGGAAGAAGCAATTGAAAAGATTGGCTTACTTCGGGACATCATAAAGGATCTGGAGAAGCAAATCAAATCCAAAGAGGACTTGGAGGCCGAATTGCAGTCATTGCTGAGGAAGCAGCGTGAGGCGAACGACGTTTTGGTACAAGAATTAGACGCTGCAGCCAATACCACAAACTTTGAGGCTCACATCATTCAACTCGAAGAAGAAGTCATCAAGTTACGCAGGGCAAATGATATTGTTGGCAATGAGGGATTAATAAAACAAATCCAGAGCCAGGTAAGTTACGATATCAAAAAAATTGCATATTTTTGATTTATTTTTGTATAAAGTTGCATGAATTGGAACTGTTGGTTGACAAAAACATTCGTGAGATTGAATCTTTATACGCGACGAGGTCTGCAACAACTTGTAGTACACCGTCTGAAGAGATGTCGGTCCAAGATCAGATCCGCCCAAAAACACCGAATTCTACCGTGGATGACTGCGAGGTACCGTTACAACAGTTATCGCGTCTTAAAGAAAAATTGCTCAAACATTCGCGGGCTGAGAACTCAGCGCTCAAACGGATTCAGGACATGGAACTACAACTTTTACATGCCAAACAGGAGCACGATGAGCTGCACAACGAAAAGGATGTGCTGCAGGAACAAGTCTCCGAGCAATTGGTGCTCATCTCGTCACTGCAGATGCGTTTGGATGATCAACGAATTCGAGCCGAACATGTGCAAAAACAAGCAAACGCCTCGCTTGAGATGCGAATTTATGATCTAGAGAATGATCTCCAAGCGTTAAGGGATAAGCTCCAGTCTAGAGAGAGCACAATTAAAAATTTAAACAAGATTATCGAGGAAACTAAACAACGACTACGGGATCGTGAGGAGGAATTAAGTTCTACTCTGGAAGAATCAGAAGTTTGTGATCTCAAGGCGCAAATTGACCGACTTAAAGCAGACAACGAAATTATGCGGCAGAAAATTGAGAACGATGCGCAAAACGCTCAAATTCTACCTAGTTTAGTTGACAATATTATTGCGGATAAAAATAAAGACATTGAAAGTTTGCGCTTGAAGTTAGAGGACACCGAGCGACAGTTTGAACTGTTTAGGAGTTCATGTTCCGCGGATAAAACCGACGACGTAACTCGCGACGTATATTCTTTATTTAATGTTTCTTCTCCAGAACGAATGCGTGGTGCAAGCTCGGTGAATTCGCCCAACTTGACAAAATTCGTACCGGAAATTTCTAGCATCGAAAAGTGCGGTCCACCAAACTTGCATTATACAACTGACGGATCGCTTATGAAGCCAAATTCGACCGAAATTCAGAAAACTATTGAGAGGCACGTACATTTTGAAGATGAAGCTGCTCAGACAATACCCACTCCCGAATTTACGGGTGAATTCGACGTCCTTAACGAGGAACTGCAACAAGTAAAGGAGAAACTTGAAGCGGCAGAGAACAATGTAAGTGAACTTCGGGTTGATCTAGCGCAGGCCAAAATGCATCTGACTGAACGCGAAACTGAATTAAACGGGCTGCACGAAGACGCAAAGCGAAAAGATGACATGTACATGCAGTTGGCAAAGGAGAAACGCGAAATTGAAATGCAATTTGATACCCTGGATGCTATCAGGCACAGTATTGAGGACTTGCAGAAGAATGAACTGCAATTGAAGGAATTACTCCAGGAAACACGCGAGAAATACGCTGAGAAGGAAGATAGTTGCGCAAAACTCCAAACGGAATTGGCGAATTATCAAATTTTAAAGGAGGAAGAAATTATTAATATCATGGAAGAAAATAAAAAACGTTGTGAGACGTTAATAACAGATTTAGAGCATTTAAACATCGAGTATCAAGAGTGTCGAAAGAAACACAATGAAGAAATGAAAGAACTGAAGCGTTTACTTGAAGATCGCGAGTGTGAGCTTGAGATTCTCAATGAAGATGTTACCCGGTATCAGAACGAGATTCACACGTTGGAGGACCGTCTAAAGCAGGTGCCAAAGGAAACGCTACAAGGCGCCATGCACAAGAAGGAACTCGCTGAGAAGGAGCTCGAGATTGTCAAGTTGAAGTCCACAATTGAGAGTTTGAAACGCGAGACTAGTAATATCTTGGATCATCTCACTGTCAAAGAGGAGATCATCGATAGAATGAAAGTGGATAGTGAAGCATTGCGCATCAATCTAGAGACGATTAAAGCAAAAATGAACGAAAGTGGTAATATTTACGATTTGCGCCAGAAGTTGGTTCGTGAACGTGAATTCAACGCGCAATTACATTCGGAAAATGAAGCATCCATTGATGAAGTCGCGTATCAAGTGCGTCAACAACTGAATGACTCCGCAGTACTGGATGATAAGATTTTCACGGCGTTGGGTTCAGGAGATTTCAACAACTATACTGAAACTGAGATTCTCGAGGCTAATTTACGCAAAGAACGCAAAAGTCGAATGTTACTCGCCGAAAAATTCAAAGAGTTGGAAGTGAAGTTTCAAGAAGCAATGGAAACGGAAAAGCAATTGCAGAGCGCACTGGATGATCAAAAGAAATTGTTTGATCACGTGCAAGTGGAGGATACGAATATGATGTCACAAATCCGAGCGAAATTAGAAGAAGCCATGGCAACCGAGTTGGAGTACGAAGCGCAACTTAACAAGGAACGATCCATGCGTTTACAATTAGAAAATGATTGGGCAGCTTTGCGCAGGAACTCAAATAGCGTTAATTCAGCAACAGAGTATGTTTCATTGGGTAACCTGCAAGAGCAACGTTTACAACGAGAAATCAAACAGCTTCAGGAGGAAGTGGTCAATCTCAAGAGGGAGATAAAGATTTTGAAGAAGAGTAAAAATTCGGCTGACTGTGAAATAAAATATTCCAAGGAAATGTTAACGTTGAAAGACACTGAGCTTGTGAAACTAGAGAAGAAATTAGTAAAACGCGAGTCCGAGATTCGTATGCTTCAGGATAATCTTAAGCAACAGAAAATCGAACTTGATATGAAAATTTCTGAGATAGAAAATAGCAAAGTCCTAGTTTCCACTTTAGAACAAGACAAACTTCAATTGACTATGAAGGTGACTGTTTTGGAAGCAAGACAACCCGTGCAGTCTTCATCGATAGTTCCTGATGTATTCTTGCAGAAAATGAAAGACCTAGGGGAGCTTGTTACTGAGCACATTAACGAGAACAAATTGATGTCAGATACAATAATGAAGCTGACTACGGAACGTAATCAATTGGAGGGGAAGATCCGATTGCTGGAGGAAAGAGATCGTATGCATGTGCCTTTCGACGATCCGGTTTCACGGGTAGGTTAATTTTTTAAGGTGATTTCTTGCATTGACCAATAATTTGTTATCCATTTAGGCAAATCACTTGTTTGGAAAGTACCTACGCGCAGATAGCTACAGGCACGCGCTATCATTTCAAAAAAAGTACCTGATTGGCTTATTGGCAACGTATCAGGATGCCGTTGGGCATCCGCTGGGTAAGTTCGAGCCGAAGAGAAGTCACGCGAAGAAAAGGGGCGTGAATCGCTTTCGATCGGTTGCGGTTGTGTTTATCGCCATATTTCGAATGAAATACATGGTGCAGCGATGGCATAGTGGGTCGCGCGGCTTCCAGTATATGTCCCTGCAGCGGCGTTTTCGTAGCGAGAACCTAGGGACACATTTTCAAGTTGGAAAGCCAGTATCTGGAGACCATTTCCGAATAGGCGCTAATACTCGTCAGCAGCATTTGAACCTGGGCGCTTCGACTTCTGGTATTCCTTGCTCGGGGATGTCTCCGCCTTGTAAAGATGCCACGCAAACGACTAGTACTAAAGTGGTTCCTGAGTAAGACGGCTTCACTTTTTCTTCGTGTCAGTTTTTATTTCATTTTATTTTTTTTATTAGAGTTTTTGAACAAATGCGACCTCGAGCAGTTGACCTGGATTCCTACTTCGAACGATTTAATCTGATCCAGCAGCGTTTGGGGACGACGTTGAATACTTTTAATTCTTAACTATCTTAAATATGTCTAAGTTCTACGAGACTGACATTGTATTATGAATTATGTTTTTATAAATAGTTTTCTCAAATTTCTAAAGATTAAGTTTAAGTCACACTGTATCTGCTGTAAAAATAAAATAATTTGAGGTTTTTCATAGTTATATTATAGTTTTAACCCTTTGTGCATACATTGTCGACTTTTTAAAAATACAGGAAGTGCCCTGGAATGCCCATCAACATTTGCTGTTTGTTGCAAAACATCACATATTTCCTTTTCGGACCGCATGTTATAGCTTAAGACACTCCTTACAACGTGCATATCTGAACGACTGTTTTAAAGGAAAGGAAGTGCCCTAAAATACCCATTTTAATGACTACTTTTTTAAAACATTATTTGGGGTTTCTCAACTTCACCTTATTTCAGGAACTACTAATGATAATCAAAAGCGGAAAACTGCATTATGTTCAGGAAAATATTCTACGTCAGATTTATAAGATTTTAAAATTTTCATTTTTAAGGAAATGAAAAACAATTTTCCGCCACGATTTCCTCGGAAACTATAAGCGCTACAGCAAATGTGTTTGCATTTTCTTCATGACACGATAAGGCTCTATAAAAGTGCAGATTTGTTTTTTGATTTTGAAAAGCTGACAAAAACCACTCAAAATTAATCAAGAGGTTATACTTGACTATTTTCTGGCTCAAAAATTATTTTTTAAGCTAGCTGAAAATGGAAAACGCCAATCTATAGAGAATTACAAAAGGATGAAAGATATCCAGTCAGTTTTTCGATATCGCCTTTATTTCGGAGAAACCTGGTGAAAATCGAAACACACCAAATTGAACCACCCTTCAGATTTTCAGAAAACTTTCTAACATGGTGTAGAATCGTGCAAAAAGTCCATTAATCTTGTTTTATTTCACTATCTTAATTAGTTTTTGAGTTATTAATCATTTTCAATAATTACGTAAGTGCTGCAAACTGAAAATTTTGAAGTGCTATATAGAATTCCTCTCTGCAGCCAAATCTGAAAACCTTTTTCGTTTATCTCTATCGGTTTCGAAGAAACGTAGAAAACACTGAATTATTCAATTTCTTCATCATTTCTTAAACAAAAAATAAAAATTGCTAATAGGGCCTAAACGGTCAATATTAGGAAAATAATTACTTAAATAGCCGATATAGAATTGAATTATCTTTCAGAATCCGAAAAGAGAATTCAAAAATTCCAATGATTTCAAAAGCTGCATTTGCTGAAACAAATGATTTTGTTATAAAAAAGGCAAATGATTTCTCTTTTTTATGTTTTATATTTCAGATTCTTATAGATTGTTTAATTCTATAATATAACATTTTTAGAATGAACTTATCCGTCAGAATCCGAAATTAGAAAATAAAAATTTGTCCCTGCTTTTCGACCAAAATAACAATCTCGGCATTTGTAAAAAAAACTTCAACTTCACTTATAAGTTCCATACGACATTAAAAGAGATGATTCATCAATTACCGAAGATGCCAATTAAGGTAAATGGCAAAACCTACAAAAACATATTAATTTCTGATGTAAATTTGTTGTTCTTTTATAGCACTTTCTGCATTCACAAGTATTGAAGTTTTGGTGAGGGAGTAAAATGAATTCGGAGAAATTTAAGTGATATTTGATTGCAATTTGCTTAGATATTCGACGAGATATTTGACTTGCGCAACTTGAACGCAACTAGCCGTTTATCTTAAGCATGATGAATAATAAGAAATTATATAAGTACAAACAATGCGTCCGTATTTGCATCGATTTGTAAGCATGTTAACTATGGTGTTAATTATAACAAAAGCTGCACCCTAAGGGAATATCATTAAACACGCTAATAAATTAAACACAAAATAGTTTGATATGTGCTCGTATATTGTTTCATTTTATCCACATTAGCCTAAATAGATTTATAACAATATCATAACACATTGGTCTTACACTACTCATTGAACAACATCATCATTGAACAACGCCTCCAATCATTCCCAAAAAGGCGCCTAAACGTTTAGTTCTAAATAGTATTGAAGAAAACAATTGCATTTTATAAGTGTATTCATTGTCGCCCATTAGTTTCATTCCATACATTCCTATAATAACACTTAAATCTGCGTAGTCGGGGGTGGCGGCCTGCCGAATGCAAATGCACATACAATTGCAATAAGCGCACGTAAACTGCGGTAACCTTGATTGCGACACACGCGCGCCAGTAAGAAATGCGCATCTCGCACTTGCAGAATCTTTCCCAGCTTTCGCAAGTCCCGCTGCGACTGCATCGCATTATGCATTACCTATATTGCGATGCGCCTAATATGTGACATTGCGAATATGTAGCTTATAATCATAGTTAATTATTCATCATGCAAGTTAGTAAGTTTCCTACTCCTTGCGCGCGATCCGTATAAAAAGACAATGCGAGCCAGTCACTCATCAGTGCACATCAACCAATTGTTCATCTGCCATCCTCAAGTTATATAATCAAAAGTTTATCAAAATGCAATTCGCATTTGTTCTGTGTCTGTTGTTTGTTGCGGCCGTTTCCGCCCGCCCGCAATATCAACCTGTTGCTGTTGCCGTCGGCCCTTCAGATCCTGTAAGTAAATTTCATTTTAATTTGTTTTGAACGATATTGGTCATGAATGCAAATCTAATTAATAAAATGAGTCAGAAAAATGTAAAATCTTATTACAATTTCATTTGTTCAGTATGAATTCAATTATAAAGTGGAATATCCGCCAACAAATACTTTCTTCGGCCAGAACGAGCATGGCGACGTGGCCGGAAACAAACATGGCAGCTATTACGTTCTCCTTCCGGATGGTAGGACAATGACGGTAAACTACATCGCCGACGCCGCCGGCTACAACCCTAAAATCAGCTTCCAAGGGGGTGGCGCCGCTGCCGTTGTTGGTCGTTATCATTAAACCGGCTTCAATTCATCTTTTGCTTGTTACAAAATCAGATTGAAAGCCCACCGAGAAACGCTTTTATAATCAAATAACTTTTATGTGCTGCAGACGGTCGTTGTCTGTGTACCCTGATCAAAAATGCTATTTAATGCAAGAAAATAAAATAAATGATGATTAAAATAATTTAATAAACTGGCATTCAAAAAGAATATTTGTTAATCCCAAGTTTTCAGTAATTGAAAATGAATTATATGCAGAAAGCAAAAAAGAAATTCCCATTTTACGAGTAATTAACAAATGGATTTCAAATCAGACGGAAGTTAATTTTTTGCAGGTGTTTACAGTTGCCTATGTTAAAACCATTATACTTCGTGGTTAAAACAACGAAAATCCCAAATCTTCAAGTTTTAACACGAATATTAGTAATGCTTTAATTAAAAGCTTACAAATAAGTTAAATTGCTATTATTATAACAAAGTAAATCTAATCTTCAGTCTAATAATTGCTTCATTATACAAAAGTTGGTCGATTTAGTCAATTTAAGTACATTAACGTCCGCCATATTGAAAAGCAATCAGAGGACAACAACAGAAGTATTCAAATTTGTTCGTCTGCAGACTGAGGATTATCTCGTAAGTACCGTAATTATTACCATAACAATAGCGCAATGGAAGTAGAAAAGTATTTTCAACGGTTTTCGGTCGATTCGAATCACATAGAGGGCGCATGTGTTCGACGGAGTGGTAACCGCCAGGTGAAACAAAATCTGCTTCCAAACACAACAAATCGGAGTGCGCGTGGAGTCGTTTTTGTTTCTGTATCAGCGCTTACAATCGTTGTCGTGTGGTACAATTTTTCTGTCTTGTCGAATAATAGTTGCTGTTATTACCATGTTTTCTCACGTCTTAAACAAGAGAGAGCCTCTTGAAATCGCAGTGGATGATCCAAAAGTAAGTACACACACTGAATATTTGGTTAGTGATAACCGGCTGGTTTACTGGTTTATCAGTGATATTTTTCACCTAGTTGCGGATATATTAATAAAGATTGTAGACGCTTGCTTTACAGACATGCCGTAAAACACTGAAAACTATTCAGCACCAGGAGGTGCAGAAGGAGAATCTCACCATTCGCAAAGGCTTGAAACCTGTGTAAGTATTTGCCTTTACAGCCTCAATTTTGAAGCGGCAAAATTGATAATATTCTTATAATTGATAATGTGTTTACAGGGAGCCTGAGAAGAAGAAAACCTTTGAAACCAAAGCTGTTCAAACTGGAGAAGATTTCAAGCCCACATTCACTGCTGATGATTTAGTAAATGAGACTGCTACAGATGATTATTGGCGTGCACTCGCTGTGCAGCGTGGTGTAGCGCTTGACAACAGTTTACAGGAAAACGAGAAGCTGCAAGAGCAGGTTGACCACTGGAAGAGGGAGAGTGAGGCAGCCAAATCGTTACTGGAAGAGTCCCGCAGTTTGGTTAACGTCTTGGAAGAGTTGCTAGATTCCGCTGGTAACGCAGATGAACTAGATGTTGACATCGAAGGATAAAAGACTGAACCTTGTTAGCATTTATTACAATTAATTCTTTATTAATGTAATTCTCATCACCATGAAATTCTCAAGGACTACCTACTCTGCATGTAGAACGAATATTATTAAATTATTTTTGTAAACTTGTGTTTTATTCAAATATTGATATAAATTGACATTATGCATGTTTCCTCCAAAGGGATATAAGTAATGCATGCGCGAAATTATTGTACAAGACAATCCAAAGATAAATAAATACATTGTATTATAAATATTATTGCCTTCCTCAACATTCATGCAAAAATATTACAAAACTATCATCGTTTTTGTATATAATAAAATTTAAAGAATGTGTGGTATTTGAATTTTTCTTTTAATGTTAAAATTCTAATTTTCCAAAGTCGTGCGAGGTCATGACAAAGGCATGGTTGAAAAATTTGCTTCGAATGTCCACAATTCTTCAATAAGTATGTAGAAATTTTGTTCTGTAATAATTTATGTTATTGTGCAAAGTTTTGCGTGATAGCTTCTAAATCATTCTTAACATTAAAAATAACACGAAAACGAAGACAGTATACACATATTGTTGCATTTTACTGTACATATTTAGTAATACATTAGTTTATTTTCAGGTAAAAATGCAACAACCAAGTTCTAGTGGCCAAAATAACCAACTTGTATCAAAAACCCCAAGGAGAAACATTCCAGCATTACTAACATATGCGTCCGCAACCCCAACCGAGGAAACAAATGTAATAAATTACTAAGTATGTCTTAACTTAATATCTCATGTTAAATACTGGTAAATTTTTGTTTTCAGCCGATTATTAGCCCACGTTTTCTCTCAGGCACCCCTGAAATGCTTTTGAACTGGTTCTCGGTGATCACGTCGCCATGTTTATTTGAAGTAATTGGACAACTGAAAGAAATCGAACGTTGCGAAGAATTACAACAGAGCGTTTTACTACTACGTGGGCAACTGGGCATGATATTGAGAGTAACATTCTATATAAATGACTACCATACACTGTCGCCGGATTGCAACGGTTTTTGGATTCGGTAAATTCCCACCAACCATTTCCAGCGTGTTTTAATGTAGTTTTGGCTTATTCACAGACGTTGCGGCTAAATATGCGCTTTAAAAACTCCACCATTTATGAGATACTTAACAAAACTGAACATAACTTTTGCGTGTTAGCGAAATACCGACATACACTACATTTGTTTTGTGTATTTTTCAGATGTGTCGGACGAATGCAGGATGCCAACACGATGAGAGCATTCACTATTCGAGAAGCGACACCGAATGAAGTGTATGCCCTGCCGAGAATGAGCTCTTTGAGTGAGCAGGAGGTGAATCTCATGAAGTTCTCAACAGCTTAATTACATACACATCGTCGTATTTAAAATTTAGCACCTATAACATCAGCACTAATATTTGTCAATATATTTGTCTAACTATCTTTTTATCAACTTGTAAATAATTACAATTCGTCGAATTGATAAAATGCAAGTACGGATATATTTGGTAGCAGTGTGAATACATTCAACAAGCGCAAGTTTTGTGTACTTATCGGTGCATTGATGATGTACGCGGAACCTGAGCCGACTGCATTCCGTGAACAATGTAATATTTTATTAAATAAGTTTGCAAAGTAGTCATTTTTGGCTGGTAAGTTGAAGGCATGAATTTGCATTACGGAATGCAATACATTAACGTACACATTCACACGCCTACACACATTTTGAAGGTTGATTGGCAATGATTGAATTCAGTCAGTACCAAAGTTGGCGTTGCCAAATAAATAAAAAAAGTGCAAGTTGTTGCAGCAATTTGCGCGCATGTTTAATATGCCACCGGGCTGAGCGTCGGTGACAATGATTTTTCATTATTATAAGTGCGCAAAATAGTTAATCGGCCATTGACGCCCACGTGTTGTACAGATATCATAAATATTAAACTGAAGTTTATTCGTATCGAAAATACAATTACATTGTTCAGGTTTGATAATGTAAGTCACCATGTAAAAGCGCAATACTCTGCACGCGTATAAAACTCGGTTTCGTCAGGTTTCGCAATCGAGTCGCTTGTGTGAGATTACGTGAACTGCGACCGTTGGTCAATTCTACCGCGGCCTTTCAACAAACGCAAGCGGCTAGTTGAATGGCAAAATGATCGTTTGTTGCGTTTGACGCTACCTGACACGAAAGTCTCGTCAGTTGCGATTTCGACGCCGCGCTCAGCGTTGCACACCAGCATATCGAAATTTCGGTGTTTGCCGGTGAGTACCGGTGAAAATAACTTTACTATCAATAAACCAGCTTTAATTTACACATTACACATTTATATTTTTTGTTGAATATCGACAGCAAGCATTAAATGTCACTATTTAAATTGTAAATAATTGAATTCATCAAATTTGACAATAGTGTTCAAAAATTCGTGAGAAGAAAAGTCAACATCATCATCAGTTTCATGAGTGGTAGTTTCTAGAACACTTATCAGGTGATAAGTGCGAGATTTACTCACTGAAAGTTATGTGTAGTAACTTCAATGTTAGAAAAGAACGATGAACTTGCTTACTATTTAGGTATTGAATTTTAAAATTTCTCTTTGTTGTAGATCAAATTTCCAAAAACAAAGTGAACATAGTAAATCTATTCATGTATTTTTTAATGAGAAGAATAAGTAGAGTTGATTCGTGGATCACTCATTGATAAGTGAAGTAGATGTTACTTTTATTCGATCATAAAAAGTTGTTGAAATGATCTATCTCACTATGAAAGGCTTGCTCAGTTTAATGCACGCACTGTCGATCTCTCCACTCATACTCTAACAAGTATCACAAGCAAATTATTTACTGTTTCAATGTCATTTCTACTCGTTATAAATTATTCTAGGTGCATACAAACCCATAGTCAGCTTATATCATATCATCATCACTCATCTGTTACAATAATGCTTTATTGTTGTTTGTCCCATTTGCTAGGTCTGGTAACTACAAGTCAACTAAACTAAACTAAACCAAAGTCAACAGAAAATGGTAATGTTAATCACGGAGTAGGGAATGAAGCGCTGTTCGCATATCGCGCGTTCGCGTTGTGTATGTGATTAAAACCGAGAGTAATTAAATCAGATTTACAGTGGCAATCAAAAGATTTACCTAAACGCCTGATAACCACGCGAGAATTTCTAAAAAAAAACGTGCCGATTCAGTTCGTTGGATATGCATCAATCGTGCCTGAAGGTCCCTCAGTGATTTAAACATTTCGAAACTTTCAACATAAATCTGTGATTTATTGCAGCCAACAACGGACTTTTTTCGGCATACAAGAAAATAGGATCTAGGAATTTTACCAAATCTAAGCGCAAGATGTTTTGCTCGTTAACGTAAGTATCCAGCGCTGATAAACGTCAATGTCGAGATCATGCGTTTGTGTAGTTTTAATGTATAAACATACTTTTGTCAACCCAAATGAGGTCACGACAACATTGTAAAGAGCTATTAAATAATCAGAATAATTATTCTCGGTAGTTGACATCATTTTAATGATTATACTTAGCACGTGGATAATTATTTTTGTTAAAAGGCAGTTAATCCTAAAGAGTTAAAGTGCAGCATTTCCGCAAAACACTTTTACTCACGCCTGATAATTTCCGATAATAATCACAATGATTTGGTTGATGGAGACGTAAATTATGATAAATACGTCACTAAATGCCACTGGCTTAATTATAATGACAACAAAACTCCTGATAATGTCAATTTTAATCAGGTATTATTTAGTTCCGAATAAAACTTAACCGGAATTTCAAATAAATCATAGATAAACCTGCATAAAATACAGATTGTTTGATAAGTGTAGTTAAATACCACGGATTAGATCGTCAATCACATTGACAATTAGAAGTACATAAACTAGTTTTCAATTTCAAGGGTGTCAGTTCTCCATTGCGGTGGAGGCAAGTAAGAAGCAATTGAATAAATCCGTTTTCTGTAAACGAACTCCAACTGGCCAATACCATCCAGCAAAAATGTTATTCTTGTAAGACCAATATATCTTGCTTTGATTTGGTTTGGTGTAGTGCGCAAAAGGGCTACCTTTAAAATCGTTGTTAATTCTTGATTTGGTTTTCAGTAAAAAACAACTCATCACCCTCTTCGGACTGGTATTTTTCGGTTTGATTGTCACCGGTGTGGGAACGGTACTGTATATGAAACAGGACAGTAGTGTTTCCGGAAATTACAAACTAAATAGGAATCATCATGGCGCCGCCGTTACCAACGGACCACAATGTGCTGGTGTTGCACGGTACGTGGAAATATCTTACCAGTTATGAAACAATATCAATTGATACATTTCTGTATGGGTAGAGACATTATTTATAAGGGTGGATCAGTTGTGGATGCTGGCATCGCAGCTGCTTTATGCGAAGGTTCCTCAATGTCCCAGAGTATGGGTCTTGGAGGAGGATTCTTCGCCACTATTTATATTAAGGAAACTGGACAAGTTTATACGCTGAACGCGCGGGAAACTGCTCCAAAAGCTGCCACAGCTGATATGTACTTCGGTAATCCAGAAGCATCACAAACTGGTGGGTATTGAATGACTAAAAATAAATAAAATGTAATTTTTATCATATTTATTTGAAGGTGGTTTAGCAGCGGGCATACCTGGTGAGATCAGAGGTTTTCAAGCGCTTCATCAGAGGTTCGGTGTGTTACCCTGGAAAGAACTTTTCCAGCCTACCATAAAGCTGTGCCGTTCAGGATTGCTTGTTAATGATTATTTGGACTCGTTGTACCGCAAGAATAACGATTTTCTGAAGAATACTGAAGGTTTTAGGTAGGTAGAAGTTTTTTATGACGCTATTTTCGTTTATGATAGCATTTTCAGTGATTATATTGACCCGGCCACGGGTGAACCGTATAGGGTAGGCCAAAAAATACGGCGATTAAAATTTGCTGAAACATTGGAAATAATTGCCAGTGAACCAGATGCTTTAAATGCAGGATCTTTGACGAGAGGTTTTGTGAAAGATGTTAAAGAATTGGGTGGAATCATAACGGAAGAAGATATGAACTCGTACGAGTGAGTTTTCAAATGGCTTAAACGAAAAAGAAGTAAAAACTAAACATTGTTTTGTAGAGCTGTGTGGTCGGAACCTCTGACAATACCTTTGGGTAGAAACTATACATTACACACGTTTCCGCCGCCCGGTTCTGGAGTAGTACTCGGTCATATTTTAAGTTTACTTCGGGACAATATGGAATTTGATGAAGTGGACAAAGTCATAAATTGGCAGCGTATCTTAGAAAGTTTCAAGTTTGCATACGGCATGCGGACACACTTGGGTGACCCGCTGTTTCTATCTAGTGTTGCGACTGTAAGTGTCCTCACATTGTTGGCAACTTGTGGATGTAACAGATGTGTATTTACAGACTGTCGAACAAATGTTGTCCCCGGAGTTTATAGCTGAAACCCGTCATAAAATGCGAGATGACATCACTTTCCAAGATCCCACGTATTACGGTGCGAATGCAAGCAACGTGGAGGATCACGGCACTGCGCACATTAATATCTTATCACCAAATGGCGACGCGTTTACTTTTACGGGTACCATCAATTTGATGTAGGTGCCTTTCCTTTGTGATCAATATCATTTTGCTTTATATTGATTTACTTATAGTTTTGGTGCTAAAGTCGTTTCTAACTCGACCGGAATTATTCTCAATGACGAAATGGATGACTTTGTCACGCAGCCGCCGGATAGCTATAATGTCGCCATTATGCCTGCTAATCAGATCGAACCTGGAAAGAGGCCGTTGTCGTCAATGTGTCCCAGTATTATCCTTGACGAATATGGTAACGTGCGAATGTTGGTTGGTGGTGCTGGTGGGTCCAAGATTACTACCGCAACGGCGCTGGTCGCCATGCGGCACCTATTCTTCAACCAAACTCTTGTTGATGCTATTAATAGCGCACGTATGCATCACCAGCTTTTCCCTATGCAGGCCACCTACGATCCGGAGTTTGAGAATGAACTTATTGATGGGTTGCAGCACATCGGGCATGTGATGAAGCTGGAGTCACCGGATGGTTTCGGTGCCATCACGGCGGTAAGCAACCGGAGTTGGACTGTGGAGGCAGCTTCCGACAAGCGGCGAAGTGGCTCCAGTGTGCTGATATAAAATCGTCCAATTGTAATTTAACTGACTTGTAGTTAAATACTCCACGTTGGTATCTGTGGTGGGCTCTGTTGTTGAAAGATGGTGCCAAAATTTAAACTGAAATACATATCAAATTTATGTGAAATGTTATACAAGGAGAGTTGCAACAAGATCCCCAGTGGCGGATTATGCTTCAGTGGGGCCCTAGGCGCAAATCAAGTTTGGGGCCCCTAAATCCGAAAATTTTCAAAAACGGTTATTAGCCCAGTAAAATTAATAATTTTAGCGTACGGGCGCCGCAAAGTCTACTTCAATATTCGTTTGTGCCAAAACTCATTTCCACACCACCATGAGGTAGAGTACGTGGCGCGTTTTTTATCGTGGTATCCCCAGCAGGCCTAATCCACACGCACTATTCCAAAATTTAATGGATTATCTTCCGATTCGCTCTTCGCGATGGACCAGGTGTTGTGCGTTAATTGTTTTCAGAACCGATCGAAATATCACAGGTAAAATTTTCTGCCATACTATCCGCGATGGGATTATCGTTTTCAATGCTATCTTGGTTCTCGAGTTCATCGTACGTGTGCTCAAAAACGGTAATCGTATTTAAATACAAATTACAAATTTACTTTTCTTGCCTTCTCTTGGGCAAAGATTTCAATAATTTTGTCGTACCTTAGTTTTTTAAAAATATCATTTTCTATAAACATTAATGCGAAGTCATTTAAGTGCTCTTGTGAAAGAAGTTTTAAAACTGAAAATGTCCTTTCTCCACTTGCATTAGAAACGGGCAAGGTCAAAAAAATTTGCAGTATTGTGTGTATATTTGGAAAAGTTGATTTTAGACCATTACTTAATGTTGCATACATTTCATGTGGATCTCTAATATTTTCTTCTTGTATGTATTTTAGAAAATGAGTTAACTCATCAGTGAAATATTCTGGCTCAATATCTTTTTCATACTTAGACAATAATCGCTCTACACAATTATTAGTCTCAACACGGCTTAATTTTAAATCAAAGAAAATTTTAAAATCGTTAAGAACATTGATATAGACATCGCCCCTTCGAGTAATTTCTGATGTTAATACATCACATACAATATAAAAATGTTGACAATAAAAAAATTTCTTGACAAAAATGCTGTATCATTTTTGTTCGTTTCATCATATGGATATTTGCGTTTTCTTTGTCTCATCTCTTTATAAGAATGATGAGCTGTTAGGGATTTAGCCTCCTCTTCAACAGTTTCGAAATTATTTCTGACCACTGTTATAAATTCGTTTAATGATTTTAATAAACTAACACTATTAAGAATATTTGTCTTTGGTTCCTGTAAGTATTTGCTGGTAATTTCGATTCTCTGTAGGAGTTTGTTCCAGAAAATTGTTAACAGTGCCGTCTCAAATTGATCGAACTCTTTTGAACTCTGTTTTTTTAATCCAACTACCACCCCAAAAATCTAGATAAAAATTGTAGGAGGATAAACGTTGGTACAACGTGTTCCGCAGATGTAAAAAATGATAGAAAGACGAAATAATTAATATTCCAAAAAAGAGAGTTACCCGCTATTTTACAACCTCAATGGAATATTCCTCAACTCATCTCCTCCACAGATGTTCGAAATTTAAAAAAATTGGCAATATACTACTCGCATTATAGCTACAACTTTCTAATGCAATATTCAAGAAAAGGTCACAAAAATTCGTGGCAGAAAACATCCAAATTTTATTTTAAACAGTTTGTCATAAAGAAATAAAATCGGAGATAAAAGTTTTAAGTCAGCTATATATCCGTGACGGTTGCTTTGCGGACACGTGTGAAATGCCGTTTTGGGCGCCAAGTGAAAACCAATACGCTATTCATAAAGGCTGAGGTCAAAACCAACTGATGAAGTATTTGTGGAATTACTATGTCTATATGGGACATATAAGTGCCAGGGGCCCCTCAGGCAGCCGGGGCCCCCCAGGCAGCCGGGGCCCTAGGCGCGCGCCTAGGCCGTAATCCGCCACTGGCTTGTGTCAAATTTATCGATGTGCAACATATTGCGAATTTGGTTCATAGATATTCCTTTTTGAAGACTAAGACTAACTAACAACGAGATGACGGGATCCTAAATTGAAAATTGCAATCCACTGCATCCTCGTACTACCTTTTCTAAATTGCAGTGTTTATTTCTACCAAACTGTACGACACTAACTTAGACAAAACATATTTACTACGGAAACTTTATCTATGCATTTCAACGCTTATCTACATTCTTGCACGTCGCGGCTCCAATTACGCTTTGTTTCAATGTAATTTATAGATATTCGGAATAATTCTGCATGCAGTGAAACTCAGCGAATGACTTGTTGTATGCTTGTTTTCGATTTCTATGATTATTTACATGACTATGACCATTTCTATGAGTTTAACAGCCAAATGTTTATAATTACATTTGTTTAACAATTTGTTTTAAAAATACTTCAGTATCCTCAAAAAAGTTATTATTTGCATTCTATACAAATAATTAGGTAGGAAAGTATTAATTGCTAACCATTTTCAAATCTCACAGTTTGGTAAGGAGCAGACAGTGCGTGATAAATATTTTCAGTTCCCAGAAGATATCTCTCGTTGAAGAAGGAAGTCAAATTTTGAGAAGGCGGTGAAATTTTGTGCAAGATGTTTTGCAAACTCACGTAAGTATCTAATAATGATTGCAATTTGTTCAACTTAAACTCACAAGAGTACTCTTTCAATGCTAATTTATTGTGTATTGGCAGCAAAAAACAAACTACTATTCTGATCGGAGTGGTATTTTTTGCATTGATTATCATCGGTGTGGGAACGGTGCTGTACGTTAATCAAACACAGCAAAAAAGTCATCAGATAAAACGTCTTGGCGCCGCTGTTACTAACGGACCAGAGTGCGCCGTCATTGCAAGGTGTGAAGGATTATCTTACAACTTGTGAAACAATGTAGAATGATTTTTTTTTGTGTGTGTACAGAGACATTATTAATAAGGGTGGATCGGTGGTGGATGCTGGCATAGCAGCTGCTTTATGCGAAGGTGCTTCAATGTCACAGAGTATGGGTCTAGGTGGCGGCTTTTTCGCCACTATATATATTAAAGATACCGGAAAAGTTTATACGATCAATGCGAGGGAGACTGCTCCGCAGGGCGTCACTGCCGATATGTATTATGGTAATCTGAATGCATCAAGAACTGGTACCTTATTTATAAATGCAATAATTTGGTTGTAATTTTTAAATATTTTATGAAATCGTAGGTGGCTCGGCTGCAGCGGTCCCTGGATTGATCAGAGGGTTTCAAGAACTTCATAAGCGATTTGGTGTGTTACCTTGGAAAGATCTTTTCCAGCCTACTATAAAGATGTGTCGTTCTGGATTGTTAGTTAGCGCATATCTTGATGGTGTATACCGCAACAATGTCGATTTCTTAAAGAACACCAAAAGTTTTAGGTAACTAGATATTTCAGCAGTATTATTTTATCATTGTTTATGATCGTATTTATTTAGCAATTTCATCAACCCTAAAACTGGTGAACCGTTCACGGAAGGTGAAAGACTACTGCAATTAAAGCTCGCTGAAACGTTAGAGGTCATCGCCAGTGAACCAGACGCTTTAAATGCAGGTTCTTTAACAAAAGGTTTTGTCCAAGATGTTAAAGGCCTGGGTGGAATCATAACGGAAGAAGATATGAATTCATACAAGTAAGATTTCAAGTGACGCAGACTAAACAAAACTCTCCGAAACAATACCAAACACATGTTTTAGAGCCCTTTGGACAGAACCTTTGGTAATACCCCTAAGTAATAACTATACGTTGTACACAATTCCTCCGCCGGGGTCAGGGGTGGTACTGGGACATATTTTAAAACTGCTTAGCGAGAATTTAGAATACGATTTACTGGACAAACTGAATAATTGGCAACGCATTTTGGAAAGTTTTAAGTTTGCGTACGGCATGCGGACACATTTGGGTGACCCGCTGTTTATGCCTGAAGTTAAGACAGTATGTACCAATAATAATATCATATTGGTAAAGTATAAGTTACAGATATGTATTTACAGATTGTTGAACAAATGATGTCGCCGGAGTTTATATCTGAAACCCGCCTTAAAATGCGTGATAATACCACATTTCAAGATCCGGAATATTACGGTGCAAATGTTAGTGCGGTGGAGGATCATGGTACTGCACACATTAATGTCTTATCACCAAATGGAGACGCTTTCACGTTCACAGCCAGCATCAATTCAATGTGTGTTTATGAATATTTTAACTGACTCAATTATTCTATCTGTTTTTTTTTTTTGTAGTTTTGGGGCAAAGGTAATTTCCAACTCAACTGGAATCATTCTTAACGACCAAATGAACGACTTTGCTACCCAGCGGTTGGACAGTGTTGGCGTTGCTGTTGCCACCGCCAATTTGATCGAGACAGGTAAAAGGCCACTGTCATCGATGTGTCCCAGTGTGATCCTCGATAGTGAAGGTCATGTTCGAATGCTTGTGGGTAGTGCCGGCGGGTCCGTTATCACGACCGCAACAGCGCTTGTCATTCTACGCCATCTTTACTTTAACCAACCTCTGCATGAGTCCATTGGCAGCGCACGCATGCACCACCAGCTGTATCCTATGCTTGTAACCTATGATTCTGGGTTTACCGATGAGCTGTTAGATGGTTTGCGACACCTTGGGCATAAGATGCAACTCTGGTCACCGGGCAATTTGTTTGCGTCTGTCACGGCGGTGAGCAACTACAGTTTGACGGTGGATGCATCTTCGGATCCAAGACGTAATGGATCCCGAGTCATGATATAGATTTATATATAATGATCTGTAAATTTAAATTTGTACTTTTTTCTGTAATGCCTTAATGCCCTAATTACAATATCAGGAAATTCTTGGGCCGTGACAATACACATAATCGCGTATTGAACAATTTATTTACAGTCCAAGTGTAGGAGAGGAGAGTTCCGGACCAGCGCGAGGCAATGCAAATTTGTTAATTATATTCAAACAAGATGCGTTAAATTACAACTTATTCATAGCGATCATGTAAACACAGACATGACATATGATGCATTCAATAAAATGTGTGCACACTGTTGGAAGGAACAATATGGTTTTATTGCTATTAATTAAGATGAGCAATTAAAATGATGCATATTTGTGATAACAGTTTAGTATGTCACTAAGGTGGCAGATGGTCACTAAACCATCGCGTGTTTGCAGCACGTGCTAGTGTTAAAATTACCATATCAGACTGAAGCAGTTCTTCTGACATATGTTGTTTTTCATAAAACTGTTTCCTGTTCGTCCAATTCTTTTTTAAATTTCTACATTAACGGTTTTGATGCAAATTTAATGTTATGCTGTTGCTTTTTTAATTGCTTTTACGCTTGCTCGTGCAGCAAACACACGCTTGTATTATTATCAACACTTGGCGTATCACGAAAGCATATCGACAAATAAAAATCTAGAGGGTAAAAATGTAATACAGTCGACTCTCATTGATTCGAAACTCGAGGAACTCTTAAAATATTACGAATTATCGAGTGTTTGAAATATCAAATGGTTCGAATTTGTGAGAGAAAATAAATAAAACGTCGAAGTGTTGATCAGCAGTTTGAGCAGCATTAATTTTCTTTTTGTGCTTTATTATGGTTAAGTGAGTACTCAGAGGAATCTTAAATTCTTTTGAAACATCACTTTTCTTATCAGCTCTACTTTCACGATTAACTTCTTCTTTTCAGCAATCGTCAAACCTTACCAAACACACCAATTCGTGCAAAAGTGTGTGTCAAATAGTCAAATTAATCGTAACAACAACAAAGGCTCGTGTACGTTGGTACAAGTTTGAACTTATCTACTTACAATCTTTCCGGCTCTTTCTCTCTGCAACTTTGAATTGTCAAGTGTTGGACGCCGATGAATTCGAATTAACGCGTTGTTTTGTTGTATAGCAATGATTTTTTCGTTCGAATTACCAAGTGCATAAAAATGTATTGATTCATAATTAGAGCTTGTTAGAATTAGAATTATAAAGAGGGATAAAACAATATATGTGTGGATTATCCCATGTCAGTCGTTAAAATGAATTATGCACATAAGCATAATTGAAAAGAAATGCAAACTTATGAAACGACAAATTTTAAATACGTACGTATTGGCCTCAATCAACAAAGCATTTTATCAATCTCTGTTTTATTCAAACGGGATATTGCGGTTTAATGTATTTAGTTTCAGGACATATTTAATTAGTGGTTCAGTGATAACAAAAAACAATCGTGATCAGGTACGAACGAGAAATATTTGTATATAATTAGCACTTCCTGGTGATAAAGAATTAATTTGTATTGGATGAATAACTGCAACTAAATCAATTATTAGTAAATATGTTCTGATAACTGTTCTATTCACTGAAGACTTCTGAAAAGTTTCAAAGTGTTAACCAGTTTTGTGTTTTATATTTTGTTTCTTATCGTTGCATTAGAACTGCTTCTAAATAAGGCGAATATAAGTGTGTGTTACGTCGAAAAATGTTGAAACAGGCCGCTGTAAAAAACATCGAAATCGTCTAGCAAGCATTCACGCGCTGAAACGAGGGGAGGAAGGTGCTTGTGTTTCTTTTCAAACCACAGTCTACTAAATCACCTCTTCACCTCTCCTCATGGACACGCCCGGTTGGCAGCGGATCGACACAATTTCAGTAAACGTGAAGCGTGACATTATTGTACCAACAACGCGAGAGTGTGGCACGAGACAGTGACGCGTTTTAACCCAGAATATTTTGTTTATTTCGGTGAGTTTTGTGCATATCACTTTACATTTTAATACTATAAGCAAATCAAAGTTATGCATGTTCTGAACACTTTTACCACCAACCAATGTTAGTTTTGTTGCTAATTAGTTGCGCACAAATTTATTTGTTCATTCGACTTGAAAGTCAGTCCACACGTGGTCGTAGTATGAAATGTCTGGTTCACTGTAACTAAAATCGTGGAGTGTTTTCTGATAGTGTGAATCACAAGCAGTGCAATCTCTGAAGATAATATTTAACATGCCAGTCAACTAAAATTTATGGTATGTTACCAGACGTTTAAAATTACCAAAATACTTTAGAAACGCAAACGATAATATAATCAGATTAATTATTGCTTTTGTATCTGCTGCAACTATGGTATCGTTTGTAAGATGGTCACTGCAGCGCAACAATAACTTGGTAATATTCTACATATATAAACTACCTACATATAAAGACCACTAATAAAAAAATAAATGTGAAACTAGTGCAAGAAGTGAGAAAAGGTTTACAACGGAATATGACAGAAACACATACCACTTTACTTGAAAAGACTAGAGATAACAAGAAGTAGGTACTTCACTGACCCATATGAGAAATGTGGGCTAAATGCTTTCCTCTACCCAATTTTTGGGTACAAAAATAGGACTACATAACTACGCACATTCAGAATGTTTCTTGTGTCTCAAGCTATTGAAAACACCAGCAAACCCTGCTTAAAACCAGTAATGGTACTGCTGTTCCCACATAATTCGTATTATACTACAGTTTACACAAAATAGTAATTAACAATAAACAGGTGAAAAGTAATTACTAACATGTAAGAAAATCTCAGTGCATCCAAGAGACACACAGAAAATATTAGAACTACAACAAGTTATTGCGAAGATTTTTGTTATTCGTCCATTAATATCATTATTTTCATTCAGATTAAACTAGTTTTCCATTCTTAGTGTTTGTCTGCACTTAGTACGTGTCATTATCATGCTTATTGTTAACCATCAATACGCATTCAACTGCACTTAGTTCACCACGTAGCTATCTATCTAGCCTTATCTAATTTCACTATGAAGTTAGGAATCATATTTTCATCGTGGCTGTCTACTTCCAAGCCCCGAAATGTAAGCACGTTCGTTGTACAAGTGGTAAGCTGACAGATAAAGACATTTTGGTGGTGTTGGAGTATTTAGCTGAACGTTACGCTGGGTTTAATGTGTAAGCATTTAAAGTTTATTTGCAAACTATGTTTATAAAAAATGGCACAATATAACTGATTGAAAACAACGATGTGGGGAAGCAATTGGCGCAATATTAACGATTGGGTTGAAAAAACTAACTCTAAACGAATTGTCTTTCTAATGTTGATATCGAACTTTTCATCTTTTCGTTCTCGACCCTTCTCTTCATCACCAACTCACTTAGCAAGGGTAGGAGTTAGGCGGTTGCTGATTGGTGGATGAGTAAGGGTAGGATTTGGCGGTTGTTGATTGGTGGAGTATCGGAAAGTTGGTTTAGCGCTGACATCAATTTGGCGACCGCGCTATTTGGAATTTTGGAACGTCTAGTAATGTTGGGAATTTCAAGAAATAAGGGATGGTGCAATAAGATAATAATAAAACAGTTGTAAAATAATAAAACGGAGTAATTGCGGATAAATTGGAAATTTTTGGAACATGTGGTGTTGTAGATTCCCACAAGCTGTTCATCAGTTTAACGAAAACTTTTGACCTGTGAAGATCTACAATTTTTTGACTTCAAATACATTAAAATGTCAGCGAGTGTGATTTTTAGTGATAATAACCCAAAAAAGAGCGAAAGATCAAACGAAAGTGTAACTAGGACTGAGGTTTATCAACCACCTAAAAAATATAATTCAAAATTTGCAAATTTCTATACACCTATAACAATTAATGGTGAGAAAAAAGCAATATGTTTAGTGTGTGAAAAATCCAAAGTGACAAAAATTATTAGCCGAAAAGATAACAATACTTCCGGTATGAAGAAACATTTACAGTCGGCTCATTCAAAGGCGTACGAAGAAATTTATGGAAACTTAACTTCACTTCAAAAACCAGTGCCATCAGCTCAAAAACAATTGACAGATATGTTTTCTGAACAGGTAATTTAATTTTATTTCAATCTCAAATTACTTAAATATTGTTGATAATTTTTTATATTTGCGGCAATTCATCATTTTTGTTTTCGTTTTCAAATGTAGTTTTTGGGAACAAAATTGTCTTTAAATTTTAACTTTATTAAAGTGGTGTAACTCAGGATAGACTGGAAATTTTTGGATTTGGGAATTTTTATATATGTGGTTCGTTGAAGACTCCCATAATCAAAATCAACACAACTATAATTATCGTTCAAATAACAATTCAAACTATAATTTGAAGTCTTCAAAGTCCACATGGTTTTACAAATGCAAACACAAGTTCTGCAAGTACAAGTTCAGGGTCCAATAATAATCAAATACATGTAAACTCAATCGTCTTAACAAACAATGGTACTGAATTATCTGTTTGACCGTTAAAACTTCTAATGTGATCAGATATTCGATAATTTGGCTCATCTTCATAAGCAAGGTAATGTCATACATTTTCAATTCCTAATTGACACGAGCGCTAATGCATGTGTCATTAAAGTTGACAAAATTAAGCAAACAAAGAATATTCTTCAATCTAAATGTAACCATAATTTTAAAACGGTCTTAGCAAGAATTCACCAATTACAACAGATGGAACAATTGTCTTAAAAGCAGAAATCGATAACTATAACTTAAATATCAAATTTAATATAGTCTGTACCAAACTATCTTAGCAACTTCCTACCACCACGTACCTACCATATCACCACCATGTGATTTCTTTCGAACCATAAATACTGCTGGGTACACACAACACAAAAAGAATATAGACATAACACACAGAACACCCATGTAGTCAACTAAAGTACATGTTACTTGACACTAGGGCAATATTATTTTCTCGGAATGCAATTTAAAAACTTTGCCAGCACATTTCTTATATAAATCTTAAACTGAGCAGTCATAACACTTATTGTATAAATTTTGATTGGAGCAATCAGCATATTACATTGAAAAAGAAAAAAAAAATTTTCTGCGGGCCGGATAAAACAACTGAAAGGGTCGAATCCGGCTCGCGTGCCGGCTTTTGCCCACCTCTGTATTAGTATACAATGGAATCCCGGTAATCCGATATGTTTGTACTTTAGGATTTGTACTTTGTCGGATTACAAGATTCTTTTTTGTAAAAAATTCCGGACTGTAAGGGGTCTTAGGCACTTCTCTATAATCTGGACAAATTCGCTCAATGGACACTGCCTTGCAAAGTGATTGTCGGATTACCGGGATTCCACTGCATATGTATTTTCTGTCTTTCTTCTTTCGTCTTTCCGACTTGATTTAACGTGTGGGCTGAATATCTTAAAAGAAAATATAATCACAGTAAGAATATCCCAACCTTTGTACTGTGACTTCAGCGAGAAACTAATGTGTAAGCACAGAGTAAAATGACGCTTATTGGGTAGCTTTTATCAGCTTACGAGGCACGAACGAAAACAAAGCATGATATTCATTACATTTGGGGCTACGCAGTACTTATGCCAACAAACTGAAGTCCATGTCGAGTTACGTCCTTCAATGCGCGCAAAAACCACCAGTACCACCCAAAAGTCGCAAAAGCCCGGATGTGTTTTGTCATTATTCGAAATCGATCTCTGTAAGATGTATTCACCAGCAAACGATCGTTTGCAGCATTTCAGACGTCGAGATCATTCTATGGCAAAGGAATATGTACACTGGGAGTACCACAAAAAGCAAGAGCACAATTATTGGGTAAATAGAGATGTAGTATGGAAACGGGTGACTTATTATGAGCCTGGTATTGACGAGCGCATCACAATGTACGTGGAGGACTCGGACAACAGAGTTACCCAGATTCTCGATGAGGACTACACGAGTGATCAGAACGAAAGTAACGATGATACGTTTCAATTTAAGCGGAACTTTGACCGTGATTCTCGCCGATCGTACCGAAAGCATAGACGACAATGCGCGGATGGAAGTGACAATGACTCTAGGAGATCTTTTCGTGAGGGTAGCGAAATACTATACAATTCGAAATATCATCAAAGCAAACATGTAAGTTCATGCTTCAAAGTTTTGCTTGCATGTTATTTACATAGGTATTTCCGAGGTGCTAATTCTTCATATTAACATTTGTAAATACGTACAAGATATAATGATAAGATTTATTTAAGAGCTGATCGTAAATCATTAGTCTTTAGGACACGCAATTGCACTATATTAGCGTGTTTTGCATAATAGAATTAGCACGTAAACGCTTAATCCAATCAACTCAGCAGGTAGAAGTGTTATAATCTTCGGAATATACCTGGAGCAATGTTAAGTGTGAAAATAGTCTTCCTGAGTGTTTGTTGGCGCCATGCTTCTCCGCGTAAGATAAGCATTTAGTGTCAGTTGCAAGTTGCAAGATGCTTAGCACGGGAACCAGACCCAAACATGATTATGAATCCACATCATGTTGTGACAAACCAAAAGCTTGGGACTGGTGGGTGTCTAGATTCTAAATAGCGGCTATTTTGATGCTTCTGATGTCCAGATTTGCAGATGAACCTATAGTTTAATTTGATATGTAATGAGATCTTCAAAAGGTGTATTAAAAAAAAAAGGGGTGCGAATCGTCGTATTATAACTGTTGGCACTCAAATGTGTCCTAAAATGCCGAGGGACGTTACTAGAGCTTGGAAACCTCTACCACCAGACTAAATAAAGCGACTTTCAATATCGGGCTTTACATGCGACTCACTTTGCGCGCCCACAGTGCTGCTTGGTCGCTTGCGCGAACTTGCAAGCTTTCAGTTTTCATTGTATGACCGCGTCTGTATATTTAAGATAGCAAATGCCCGTTACGGTTTTTCTTTTGTTACTGCAACAAAAATTTTTAATTCGTCATCCATGCCGATTGAATAATAAGTGAACATCACGGTGTGATGGATTACCATTGGAAAACAAAGACTTTTAGCGGCAGCAGGAAGTTTCAGGTTTGTTCGTAAAGTTTTTATAGATCGAATATTATTAAATAAAAAGTAGAGACCGACCGAAATTTCGGTTTCGGCCAAAAATTGGCCCAAAGTTTCGGCCGCACCGACACTCAGTGTTCGTGAATTTTATTATAGTTTTATTTTGAAGTGACACACGAAAAAAGTTTGAGGGATTCCTCAAACAAACATATGTTCTAAAAATTTCCAAAACCAAAAATTTCCGATCTATCTTCAATTACTTCACTTTATTGCTTATTACTGTTGTAAATAATTTTCTTGCACCATTCCTTAAATCTTGAAACTTAAATTAAACATATTTTTATGTAAGTTACAGAGTCGGCCGAAACTGAGGCCAGGGCCTAAATTTCGGTTACGGCTAAAAAACCAGTTTCGGTCGGACTCTAATAAAAAGGAAGCTAACTTTAACGATATTTAACATGTGTTGGCGCATGACAGCGGTGCTGAGTGTTAGGTCCAGAAGAATCTACTTATTTTCTTGTGTCCCATCGGAACATTTTCCGCCAATCGGTATGTGCGAATCGGTAATAAAATTTATATCATGTCGATTGGTTGTATAATACGGCGTAGAGCAGATAGAAAGATAAATTTTCTCTTAAACTAAGTTCAAAACATCATCGTCATATGTTTTTTTATTTGGAATTTTGAACACAACATGACTATAATTAAACATTAATTGACCACTTTTCGTTTTCTTAATTATATGATAATCATATGATTCCCACCGTACATCTTAATTTTTGGCGATTAAGAATAAACACTAACTAAAGTAATATTTTCAGGTCAACCACAAGAACCTTCTCCACCTTCATCCACCTTCTCGGATGGATGTTAACAAAAGGTTGGTGATATCAGTATGATTTACGTTTCGCGCTTGTCTATTAAGTTTAATTTTGTAGTGTTTCTAACGACAGATCGTCCCCTTGCCAAAAACCACCTGAGGTCAATTTTATTCGTTCCTGTTATGGCCTTAGTAATGAACTGGAACTGGACACAAATCAAAACATCAACAACATTGACGATGTTAATAAAAATGACTTGGCATCAGAGCATGTTTCTGAAGTTACAGAATATGCCTCAGAAGTTTTGGAAACAATTACGCCCTCATCGTTTAAACCGGAATCAACTAAAGAGAAAAGCATGCCTCTAATACCAGATTTTGTAAACGAACTTTCCTATTCACCTGAAGTGGAATCTGAAATAGGTATGTTATTATCATGGTCACCAAAAACAAAATATATGATAATTTATTTTAGGAACAGCTTCTAACACGGAATGTAAACGCACAATGGAACTGGACACAAATCAAAACATCAACAACATTGACGATGTTAATAAAAATGACTTGGCATCACAGCATGTTTCTGAAGTTACAGAATATGCCTCAGAAGTTTTGGAAACAATTACGCCCTCATCGTTTAAACCGGAATCAACTAAAGAGAAAAGCATGCCTCTAATACCAGATTTTGTAAACGAACTTTCCTATTCACCTGAAGTGGAATCTGAAATAGGTACGTTATTATCATGGTCACCAAAAACAAAATATATGATAATTTATTTTAGGAACAGCTTCTAACACGGAATGTAAACGCACAATGGAAAACTTAGAAGCTGTAAGGGCGGCTGACAAATCTACAACAAAATTAAATTTAGATTTATCGAATAGGAAACGTCACAACAGCGTCTCTAACTGTGAAAATGTGAAGCCGAAAAAAAAATCCAAACATCGAGATCGTGACACTTTGAAGTCATGCAACAAAACAATATCAACAGCACAAATTAAGGAACTGCGTGTTGTTTTACAGAGATTAGATTCAACGATGTTAGATGGTATTCGTGTTTCTACGGGACAGTGTGATGCATCCGAATTTAAAACGCATCATAGTGATCAAGCGTCCTGGACGAACGGGCACAGCAGTGTCTCTAATAAGCACATGAGCGATGTTTCAAAAAAGGGCACTAATATCAAGCTTAACGATAGGGTTCCTGTGCTTCCCCATAGCAGTGTAGATGTCGTGAGTGACCAGTTCGCATCGAAGAAGTCTCATTGTCATAAACAGGACAATTACAATTTAAAGAAGAGTGAATTGAAAGCCAATGTTAGGCGTACCGACAATGATGAGAAACGACATCTTACTAAACATGTCAACGGTGGCCAACGTGAAGTGAAGTCTCATCATAAGAACAAGGGCAGTGATAAGAAACGACATCACAGTACTAAACATGTCGCGCGTGATCATACCAAGGAAATTCGACGTTTTTGTCTAATGGTAGGACCAAAATACACTAAAAAGTGCCAGCAATATGGATTTGCATGTACGAAATCAATTCAAACAGAACATCGTTCGGTATGGCAAAAACTAAAGGCATATATAAGAGAATCAATCAATTCGAATAAAAGTCCAGATGAGATTGAAGGAGGAATTGATAAGCAACTAGAAGAAGTTGTTAAAGCAAAGAAAGAACTAGTTGTTGTTCCCAATGTGAAGAAACAACACGAAATTAATTTTCTTCGAAAAATCACTGCAGGGAAAGTTTCCAAGGGTTCTGTTACTATCAGACCATATAAATCTGTAACTGCTAACTGTATTTCGTTGACAAAAATGACTGATCTCCCCTGTCATGAACAATTTTATAGCCTACTCGACCAAGTCGACTATACCAAAGAAGTGGACACTTTCGCATCACTAATTCCTTTTCCGAACCAGACTGTGCCGGAACCGGATTCAGCTGACGTAGTAATAACAGCTGTAGGACAACCTATCGTTTACGAAAGATCTGCTTCAAGTTTTAGCGACGCCTCTACTCTAGTTCTAAATGCTGAAGACGATAACCAATTGGTTATTGATGAAGGCGAACCGGTGGCAAATGTGGAGGAGAATCTACAAAGTACCTCGCGGGATTTGAACGATATTTCTAGTGAACAGAATATTCAACAGACAACTTCGAATTTGGGAGATCCCGTCCTTGGTAATGTGCAGACGACATTTCCTGGCACGAGTGATGATGTTATCAGTGATGTGAATAAACAACAGACTTTTCTGGGTTTGAAGGCTGCTCCCAGTGATGTGCCTATACAACAAACTCCTCTGGGTTTGAAGGATGCTCCCAATGATGTGAATATAGAACAGACTCCTCTGGATTTGAAGGATGCTCCCAATTATGTGAATATACAACAAACTTCTCTGGGTTGGAAGGATGCTCTCAGTGATGTGCCTGTACAACAGACTCCTCTGGATTTGAAGGATGCTCCCAATTATGTGAATATACAACAAACTTCTCTGGGTTTGAAGGATGCTTCTAGTGATGTGCCTATACAACAAATTCCTCTGGATATGATGGATGCTCCAAATGATGTGAATATACAACACACTTCTCTGGGTTTGAAGGATGCTCCCAGTGATGTGACTATACAACCAATAACTTCCTGTTTGAATAATCTTAATGAGAGTGCGCATCAAATACCCCTGGGATTGAGAGATGTTTCCAGTAAGGTAAATGTGCAAGAAATCTCTCCGGATTTGAACGATGCTCCTGGTCTTGTCAGTATACAGCAGATAACTTCGGAATTGTATGATCTTCTCAATAGAAAGGTGCAAGAGTCATCTTTGGAGTTGATAGCCAGTGATGTGAATATGCAACAGACAACTCAGAATTTGAACGATGTTCTTGATGAATTGACTACACCACATATCTCCCCTGATACAAACAATGTTCGTGATGCCGTGAATGCTCCAAAATCTTCCTCGAACCAAGCTCCCAATGCTGCATTGCTGTTGGAGGAATTATTTGGAGCAGCGACCGATATAGAGAAATCGTCTTTCCATAGCCAGCAAAGCTTTATGATCGTCCCAGCATCGACTATCGTAGAAGTTACCCATAAAAGTAACAGTGGATTAACAGAAATTAGAAAGGATACTGAAAGTACCCAAGTTGATACAAATGCGGTTGCTTTGACTTCAGATGTTGACAAATATTTTGTTGGGAGATATTATATGGAATGGACTTGTCTATTCCGTTTTGAACATCATGAAAGTGACACCACCTGCACGCTTGTCAAATGTACGACACAGTTAGTCAGTGTTTTTCATGAATATCTGGTTCACGAGGCACTGTTCAATAGAAATCTGTTTCCAAATTCTCATCCGCTTCCTGAGGGAATATCGACAACTCCTTGGAGATATCAGTTGAATCTTCAGAAATATGCAGAGACATTTTTAATGATTACTCGCAAGTTTAGTATTGATGATAATCCAGATGCGTTTCTTGAGATGGTGCTTGGCTTGAAGACGGAAAACATGTGCGTGTATGCATTCTGTCTGTTGCGCCTGATACAGTCGATGCCTGCGATTAATACGTGGATACGTAAAATTTTGGACAGATTGGCCATTTTATATTATATAAATGCGAAAGCGTACACTGCCGTACTTGATGAGTCTCTGAAGAGATTGTCTCCGACCGATGCGAACAATTTTCTGAGCCGATTACGATTGGTCAATGAGCAAAATTTGAAAATGAAAGTGGATGCAACCAAGCAGCCGATAGATATGATTTTGCGTGAACTTCTGTGCGGGAACCGTGCCATTGGTAATCCAGAACACCTGCTCAGGTTTGAAGAAAGAACCGTTCTAACATGCAATGAGATAATATCGGCATGGAAAACATGGAGTTCGACGAATCCAAAAATAAAGATAAAAACAAATGTGTTGGCAAAAAGCGATCCTACCAAAATGGTCGTCAAACCAGCCAATAAAAGTCCCATTGCTCAGTGGCAATACAGAGCTCCCCAGAAACAGAAGAAGCAAGCCGGTACACGTGTCAATCCAGATCAAAATACTCCCTCTTCTCAATCAAGACAAAACCCAATTCAGGGGTTGCGGACAATGCGTCATTCGTACCAACCTGCGCAGAATTCTCAAAATTATCCAAGGCAATACAATTCAGGTGTACAACAGTACATGTCGTCATACACTCAATCCCCTGGATACAGTTCCGGGGATTATCAATGTCCTGTTTCTATCAATTCATCACAGCAAAATGCAAATCAATGGAATTCATCAATGCCATTAGCCGCTAACTCATTACCACCGAGAACCATTGTTAATCAACAGATAATGCCTCCAGTAACTGGCTACACCTCGAGGGCCCCAAGTCACTGGGGGGTAGTGCATTATTCCGGTGGGCATGCACAGAATCCCTCTTTGCCATACATGCCAATGGCTTCAATTCGGCCTACACAAGGCTACAATCGTGATGATGTCTATTGCCACACGAGGCAGTACCCTCAAATAGCACCTATGCCTGCTCCGCACTTCGTTCCAACATATCGGCAGGAAGCTGACCGGTCTGGGACATTGACGCAGGCTACCCCTCACGCAAAATCTTTAGTACTTATTCAAGGTCTAAACGTGAACCCCGAACCTGTCGGCTCTGTCCAGAGACAACATACTCCCACAACAATCTGTGCACCGAGATATATACCAAAGCAAATAGTTTATAGTAGTCAGTCGATCAACCGTAATAATCAACCGCAGATGTGCGCGCCTCAGCTTACAACCGTTACTACAGCTGATCCATCACCAACTACCCAGCCTTGTATGATTAGGGACTTGATAGCCTCAACATATGCCAATTCTCGTCAACCCAATGAAAACGTGCCATTGGCTCTACCAGTGCCTCTGACGGCCGCATGGTACAGCAACAATTCCTACCAACAAAGAGAAAACATGCCATTGGTTCAGCAGGTACCGCTACCGACCCCAACGTACATCGACAATTCCTATCGACAACGAGATAGCGTTCCATCGACCCAAGTAGAATCTGCACAACCCGTTATTTCTTTAGTGGCCGGTACTGCCGATAAAGATGTTGAACCAGCTACTTCTACTACTGTCAATGTTTCCACGCCTTCGTCAAGCGAGACACTAACTCAATCTGCAGAATTCTACATTAATCGCTTAGCGTCTTGTATTGAGCAAATGAGTAAACAGGGAATAACATTGCCTGTGGATTTACAGAAGAAAGTAGCCTCGCTGAAAGATCGTCAACCCTGTGAAGAACCGGACTTTGATAGTACTCATTTAGGCATTATTGCAAAAGCGTTTCAAGCGATGGTACCGGTAATGGAGAATATTACGAATCTATCGTTAAACGCTGTCAAACCGATGAAGGAGGCAATCGAGGTGATCGAAATTGATGATGATGATGAAGTGAAGGTTGAAGTGACCGAAACAACTGTCAACATCGGCGATTGCCAGTCCCAGGTCATCATTTAATTTAATTTTAAAACGTCAGTTAGGTCAATTTGACCTTTTACTAATTTGTTCCTTTTATTTTTAGACTTTAGATGAGATTCAATTCCCTCCGAACCCGTATGAACTTACCGAACCTGTTGGTTCCGAATTGACCGAGTCCAATGATTGTGATGACATTGAATACCAGTGTATCTGCGGTAAGAAGGCCCATGTTCGTTGTAGGTGCAATGCGGCGATTTATTGTTCGGAAGAATGTCGTTTAGCTCAAATTGAGGAGCATAGACCCACGTGCATGTTAAATTTGGGCGGCACCAGTCTCTATAAGCTATTGGGGCCCAGATAAAATTTTTTTTTATTTAGATGTCAGAATTTTATATAAGAGTCTACCAGAGCTGAGAATTTCCTTTACTTTATTGCCTGATTAATGTTAAGTTAAGATGCACGACGGTCAATTCACCATGATCTCAATATTCCAGTTATTACTATCAAAGTATTATTTTGTGATTCAGCATTTTGAAGAATGGCTATACGCAATAATTCGTTTTGATTTGATTTCTTTTACATTGTTCTGCATTGGAGAGATAAATAAAAACTGTTTAAAGTTCAGTAGGTTAAGGAAGTTATTGAATAAATGTTAATTATATATTTATATGTTTTCTTTGTTCAAATGAATATTTTTTACTGGAAATTTTAAGGCAGAATGCTATTTTTTTCGTTATTCATCTGCCCTTTTTTTCCACGTTTGCGGAATTATATAGATCATTTAGAGTCCGACCGAAACTCAGCCGAAACCGAAATTGAAGGGGGTATTCTACTAGAGGCATGAATTTCATGTGATTTTTGAAAGGCCGTAAAAAAAATCAATTAATATTTTTACTATCCATTTTTTTAACACTTATTTATTAATGTTTTGAGAATACAAAAAAAAATAAAAATTGAAAAAAGTTCAAAATTTTAAATTCCAGCAGGTGATGAAGTGGGAGGTTCCAAAAAATTGGCACGTGACCGTACCCATGATTTTAGTCCTCCAAATGATCTGTATTAATCTAGAATAATTAATTATTAATCTAGAATAATGTCGCAATCATATGAACTACGGACAAGTGAAAAAAAAAGTTTTTCACAAAATGGCGACTGTTTGAAAAAATAGTGATTTTTTTACCCTTATTTTTTGATATTCTAGATTTTTTTTGGAATATTTAAAATCGGAATTTGGGGATAAGCGTAGTTCATCTTAAAGAAAAGTCTATAAAGAAGACTCTGTAAAAATTTCAAGTAAATCGGTTCAGTAGAAGTTGAGAAATCGTGGGTACCGTCTCGAAAAATACAGTTTCGAGAAAAACACGTTTAAAGTTTCGCGTCAATGCGAACCAGTATGGATGCCGCGTCACCAAAACGGCTATATCTCGGAAAATAATTTAAATTTTGAAAAATCCTCTTGTACACGTATTCTTGAATAGTTAAACTTTGAAAATATCAAAAAAAAAATCGATTTTTTGAAACCTCTAGAGTAGAATACCCCCTGAAATATCTCTTTCGTGTGTCACTTCAAAATAAAACTATAATAAAATTCATAGACACTGAGTTTCGGAGGGGGCAAAAGTTTCGAGCCGAAACTGGCCGAAACCGAAATTTCGGACGGTCTCTAGTATTTGGTAGTTGTCTAGCTTTAACTCGAGAAGGGGGCATCTCTAGAAATGTCAAATTAAATTCTCCATGGGGTTGTATTAGTTTGTTGCAGAAGTTGCGTCTGCAACATGAGTAAATTCAAAAATTTGGTGGTGCATTTTTTTACTTGAGGGTTGAAATTGTTGGGATTTTTTTGATATACGAGTAGAACTTCCACTTTTTCTTTGAGTCCTTTATGTTATCTAAGTAGAATTACTGTTTACAACTGTTAACGCTCTTGAAGGCGTCTTAAGGAACGCAATTCTAATTGCTTATATTGATTGTAATTTGTATGATTAGCACACGGGAAACCTCTAAAAAGATAATTTTTGTGCTTCGATGTACTGATTTTTGGTAGTTTTAGGTGTCTAGCGGGCGAACGAAATGTCATAAGACAACGATTCTTTTATCAGATTGTAAGTATTGAATTTGTATATCATTTACATTTATACTTTGTGTGATTAGCACACGGGAAACCTACAAAAAGATCATTTTTGTGTTTTGAAGCAGTAATTTTTGATTGTTTTAGGGATTTTGCACATGAGTCTGATATCGTAGATGGACCACTCTTGCATCAGATTGTAAGTATTTCATTTCTTCATCATTTTTGTAAATAACTTTTGTGATTATCTTACAAATTAACCACCAAAATTGCATTTTTATATTCGAAGGACTAATTTTTGCTGCTTTTAGGGATTTCACTTAATTATTTAGGATTTTTGGAACACAAGCCGAGCGTTACTCAAATCAAATTGAATGAATCAAAAGTAATAAGTATTACCCTGATGTTTTTCATTTTGTTTTGTGTCTGATATGTTGCTTGTGCCAGCGCAGCGCGTCAGTTTTCTTGCTTATTTAGATAGTACTGGCAGGGGCTATCTGCTTTGTTTACGCCTAATATCAATTCTCTTTACACTTTAGTCGATCGCGCGCTGTGCTACGGTTAGCACGTGTTTTGTTCGTCAGTCGATCTTCGTAGGTCTCCCGAAATACTCAGGCATATCAACAATTTTTATGGTGGGGGATCATCCCCCGAGTGGGAGAACTCCTTATAAGGACAATCCTTATATTGAAGCCACCCTTGGCTCCGGCGCCCTCTAGCGGCGAATCGGCTACGAGCACCGCCGACTAGACCGCGCTAAGGACGCTCAACTGGAGATCCTAGAGTGCTAGGATCCTAGGGAGCTATCCTCATGACAAGCGGCAGCCCACAATGACACTCGCGCTTCCGACCTCACTAAGCATAGACACCTTACAAGCGAGCTCAACCTCTCAGAACAGCGACATCCTCACCAACCCACCAATACCCAAGCCCTTCACCACCGCTGACAGACAACCTACGCATCAATATCTTGTTTAAATATTTCCGAGTTTTAAGTCGCCTCAAGAGAAGTGACACTTAAAAATATTCTTACAAGTTCTGACCTGTAGCTGAAATGAAAGATGGAGTAAACAAATCATACAGGATACCTTAACAATTTTTGTAGTGGGGATCATCCCCTGAGAGAGGGAAATGTTCCTGAAATGATAGAAGGGGTAAACACAAATCAAAGAAGTCAATATATCATACTATTTCTTTATTAACAATAGAATACAAGTTTAGATTTTACAAGTCAACAAAATAATGCCGCCATATTGACACAGAACTTATGACCTGCATCATCGCGCACATATAAGCAAGTAACACGTCAAAATGTTCTACCGGGATAAAGAAATTAGCAAATTGCCCATTTTCTAGGTGATGGAAAATGGAAACAAATATACAGGGTGTTACAAAAGAAAATTTTTAAGTGCAGACAGGAAAACATCTAAACACTCAAATATCAAAAAGAAAATTCAAAGTGCAAGAAGTTAAATTCTAATAACAGTCAAAGCAAAATTTGATGTGAAGGAAAACGATTATACAAGGTGTCACAAAGAGAAAATTCAACCATGAACGTTAAGAGTGCAAAAAGAAAGCCCTAAAATCACAGCTTTTCACAGACACAAAGAAAAGCGAATATACAGGGTGTTCCAGAAGGAAAATCCCAAGTTTAAAACAAAGAACACTCAAAACTTACAAATAAAGGCGATTTACTACATACTGTCAGAAAAACTAATATACAGAGTGTTACAAAAGGAAAATTTTAAAAACTACAAATATGGTTAATATTCACATCATGACGAGAGAAATTTATACGGAAACAACTATATCCCTACTAATATTATAAATGCGAATGTCCTGATGTTTGTTACACTTTCACGCAAAAACTACTTAACCGATCATCATGAAAATTTGTACACATATTCTTAGTGGTCCCCGAATGGTTATAGGCTACTTTTATTTAAAAAAATTATTTTTTAAATAAAATAAAGAAATTGTTTAGCCAATAATACCTCGGCATCTGGCTATTTGACTACTTTAACGCCATCTAGCATTCCAGCAATGAAGCTCAAACCTAAGTACTATAGTACCATCGCACTGTATTATCACACTGTATTACCGACAGCTACGTCAACCTCAAATCCAATGGACTACACTATGGAGACTGTACACTATACTTCCATAGACTATACTTTCAGCCATTTTAAACTTCCCGCCATTCAACTTAATTGTTACTTCTTCTGTGACTACAGACGCGTACGGAAGCAATTTCATTATTTTAGATATTCGCGAGCGAAGCCGCGGGTTAAAGCTAGTTTTAACATAAATTCAAAGATTTCACCCGAAAATCATCGGAAAAGTTGAGTAAGAAAGGTGCTACAAGAATAAAACACTTACATTTTAATATATTGTGTATATATTTACCATTTGATGATAGCATCAACTGCATAAGGTAACAGACGGGTAAAAGCAACATCTTAAATTGATAGAACATCCAGCGGAAAACATCCAAATCAGCAGACGGCAAGCGACGGCGCGTGGTAATACTGTAGGTAAATACGATAAAAACAACTAGTTACTTGCAAATATTAAGATATATGGAGACTATGATAGCAAAAAACAATTCAACGTACAAGATTTGATTAGATCAACAAGAAACTTTTAAATTTAATGATGCTAAGGAGTGTAATTCGATTAAAAACGTTTAGCGAAAAGAGGAACGAGCCGACGATCGACGGTAAAGTGAGCGTGGTCGACCACATGAATATTGTCATTTTAAAATCCTCAGATACTTGTAATAATTAAATCATGCATGATATTTTCGGAAACAGGACTATGAATTCAGATAAAAAGTGCAACCACGTGTTTGTAATTTGCAAAATTAATATCCCGCAAATGGAATAATCAATTTAATATAAACCGTCTTAACTTCCCGCAAAAAAATTAATTACACAGCTACCAGTGCAGTGATGAAAAGATTTTAGATCCAGGAATATATCTTATGAACTGAAAACTCGTGCAGAAATTAACAGACACTTATTTCTTTCTTAAGAACACTCTATCCGCCACAACTCATCAAACAAAACAGCCACACATTGTCGTTACGAATATTTTGCTGATGATGAAAATAATACACGACGATTAATAGAATAATTGAAGTCTGCAAACGCGTGGCTAGTAGTGAGATGCGCTCCCGGATCACGCGGTGAAACGACTGCCGTGTGCGCTGCGCGTTTCTAGGTACGAGACAGGTACGTCGCGATAGTACACATCAGTGGAGCAAAAAAGTTGTTTATAGACACACGTAGTGGTAATCACGTACTTGAGAAGACGAAAGTAAAAATTCACAATATTGAAATAACACACATACACGAAATATACTTTTACTTTCAATATTTCTCGGCATAAGAAAAATATATTGGTTTTGCGACGCAATAAGAATTTTAATTCTTTAGAAAAAATCGGCAAGGGGGTTAAATCATTTATTTCGACGACTTTCGATAGCAAATATCTTCTAAACTAAAAGAGATAGCAACCAGAAAA